AAAAAAAAAAAAAAAAAAAAAAAAAAAAAAAAAAAAAAAAAAAAAAGGAAAAAAAAAAAAAAAAGGGAGAAAGGAGATAAACCCCTAACCCCTAACCCTAACCCTAACCCTAACCCTAACCCTAACCCTAACCCTAACCCTAACCCTAACCCTAACCCTAAGAAAATCGCGCCCGGGCAGCTTTCTAAGTGGTCTAGTGCCACAACCGTAAGGATTCAGGAGAAGATGTAAGTACATAAAAGATGCATTAGGATCTCAGCTATCGAATGGTACTAATTTCAATACATATAGTTGAGGTTGAAGGGCAAAGACGGTTGGCGCCAGATTGCGGTTGGAACGAAGGGTCCCTTTGGGGGTGGTTGATCCATCTGATGGGATGCGCGCCAGCGAAATAACCTGGAGTGAAGGGTCATTCCTTGGGTCATAAGTATAGGACGGGAGGCCTAAGGCATTCTTAATTCGAATTACAAAATTTACAACTCCTATCTTAACGACAAACTGCGGATGGCCAAGGGCACCATCCACATCAACGCCGTGTTGCTAAGCGGGCCGGAACCTGGACCCGTAGCAAGGCTATCCTTTTGCGTAGCAACAAAGCTCATGACCTAATCGGGATTGGCGTAGTGCTAGTGATGACGTGCCTGTGAAGGCGTCTGAATCAAGCAACCGAGATAGTGCAAATAGGACTGTTACGGATGAGGATCAGAGTAGAGGCTCATGCTCCCTATAAGGTAGAATAAGGGATGCCTATCACGTGAAAGCACGCGATGTGCGGCAGAGAGATGCACTAGCAGTCACACCCACGCGAGTGGACACTAGACTGCTCAACAGACTTAGCTTTTTTTAGGCTAAATCTCATCACACAATCAAGGCGCCTCAGCTCGAGACCAATGCATAATCGCCTCTGACCAGATAATTATGGATAGATTAGACAGTAGTTTTAGCTCCAGCAGAATTAGAATCAGTAGTTTTAGCTCTAGCAAAATTAGAATCAGTTTGAATTTCCACCGGCCGCAATACTAGCCTTTGTATCTGTGGTGTTTCATTTGTGAAAGCGTGCCGCCCCACCTGGAGGTTCGCATCATGTGGAAAACTTTTATCTAACCACAAATCCATGCAGTCAGGGGAGTTTTGGCAAAAGAACACTCTGGAATCTTCAATTTTGAGGATCCAGCGCATGCATAAAAGACTACTTTACCCTTCTTTCGATACAATTGGAACAACGACCGTAATGTTGCTCAATATCATTCAATTGCATGAGCTTCAGAAGAAGAGTCGACAAAAAGCAACAAGTCTTGCGCATGTCTTTGACAACTTGGACTTTTGTAAGCAAATCAGCACAGATGACAAGCGATTTTACTGCAAACAGGATTGCGATGAAGATGAGTCAGAAGAAGAAGAGCTCACTTTTGAGATTGTGGGCGTTCTCGGCGAAGGTGCACAGCTAGGGCCCTACGGAAGCTTCGACCCTGCATTGCAAGAAATCGAGGACCTGAAGAAAGCGGTCCTTTCTTTTCAAGTCAACGTTCAGAACCCGGAGTTGGAAGATGTCTATGAGGATGCACTCAATGCACTTGGTAAGTATGGGAGCCTATGAGGCAAGTGACTCACAATCTAGCCGGCATGGTGGATTTCAAAAAGACACCTGCTGATGCACTAGCAAGACCTTGGGCCACCAAGAAGCATGGCCAAGTATGCAAAGGGAAGTTGGTCTTCAAAAAGTTTCTTTGTTACCTATCGAGAGGCGGTACTCAAGTAAGACCGCTGGAAGGTACAAAGTGCGTAGGCAAGGTTGTCGATGACCCTGCCCGTATTCACAAGAAGCTGCCCAGGAATTGCTTCATTAACGGTGGCGCATTTCCATCATGTTACAATGAAGACAACCAGGCAATGGCGCCGTCTGAGCTAAAGACCGGAGACGTCGTCAATGTCACTTTTCGGCTGACGGCGTATGAAGGTACTCAAGTGTCAGGCTTCAAGCTTGAAGCAGACCAAATCAAGAGATGCGGATACATCGACAACTTCATCTCAGGTTCAGGCCGTTCTCCACGGAAGCGACGAAAGATAGACATCTTTTCAGAGTAGTATGATACCACAATGTTATTCAAAGGACGTGATTCATATATCTCAATGTGTGAGCTGCGGAACGAGGAGCTCGTTGCTGTCTTTGCTGCAGTCCTCCACTTTGTCTTTGATAGCCGTGAGACTGTCCTCGCCATTTGTCATCCCTCTTGCAAGCGTCTAAGCCTGCGACCAGGAGCAAACGTAGCCCAATCAGTCCCGTTCGCTGTTCGCAACAATGTTGCAGTATTGTTGTAGTGTGACGACATAAACCGATGGTCGGACGACGTGCATCTTATCATCTATACCCACATCATTGTGCAAGTCCTGTTTCTGGCACAAGCACTTCCTCTGGCCCGTTGCTCACAATCTTGTAGCATGTCTGACGTCAAAAAATTCACTCTGTGGCTGCGGGAGGCATGTCCTGTAGCTGTGTGGTCGCAGACTTGACCAGCTAAGGCTCTGTTGGCTCTTGTGCGCTGCACAATTAGGTAGCTCGTTTTGGGCGAGGTTGTGCATGGAGCCTAGGAAACTCTTGACTTGGGTTGCCTCTTCTCACGCGCTACAAAGATGAGTACAAAAGACCCCTCGACGCCCACTATTCCCCCACAACACACACACGCGACTACAAAGCCATAAGTATATACCAAACATAGCTGTCGTTAGCTGCTGATGACTTTTGACAAGAGATGCCTACATTGCGAAGAGCCAATTTTGCAACTGAGACAAGGCTTACAGAATCATTAGACAGACATAGAGTCTCAGGCAACAGATGCTATACTCTCTGTTGCCTAGTGAGAAAGCCGTGAGAAAGCCGTGTTCCACACTAAATAAACGGCGAAGAATACAATCCAGCCTTGACTGCTTATTGGTGCACTAAAGCATGCAAGGCTTTTCGCAAGGTGCGATTCATGCACTTGCTGGTGCTGCTTAATGAGGAAGATTTGAGAGTTGATCGTATGCTGACCATGCTCTAGCCTGTCCAGGTGCTGCTGCTGCGTGTCCAGGTGCTGCAGAATTTGCTGGAGTAGTCTGTCTGTGGATGCAGAGCCAGAGGAGGTTGGAGGGTGACCGAGCACCAGCAAATCTTTCGCCATGTCGATTGTATGGAGATTGAACCCTGCCTCGTCCTTGGAGAATGAGATTCGCACCATAGCAGCCGCATGGATAGCTTCTGCGTTTGCCGAGGGCCATTGCTGCATCCCATGACCGGTCTCCAAGTCAAAAAGCGAGTGGTAAAACAAGACACAACTTTCGAGGAAGTGTTTGATTGCCTCATGCCTGGTTTCGTGCATCAGGTCCAGCTGGTTATAAATGCAGATTGCCAAACGAGGCCCAAGCCAGCTTGAGCGAAAGAAGGCAAGCGCTGATTCCTGATGCAAGGTTAGGATATGCAGGCATTGCACAATCAGGATTTGTCTCTGCAGAAGCTCAATTGATATTCCTCCTATAGAGAGGCAAGTGTCATGCCAGATGGAGGAGTAGAGCCAGATGCCGGGGTAGCGTGAGCTGGAGAGACAGTGACAGAGGCAGGTGTAGTGGAAGACATGCTTCGGTGGGTGTGGTTGTGTGGGTTGGCGTGAAGGTTGTGTGTGTGAGCGTCGATGCAGTATGTGCTGGCGGTGTCGATGCAGACATTTGTGTAGGCGTGGACGCGCGCAGGCCACGGTGGTCGAATGCTGCAGCCTGGAGAATGGACTACTGTGCCTGAGCGCCTGCAAAGCATCAAGCGAGGCCTGGCATTGACGTCGCGGTCAAGTGAGATAAAGAGCCTCTCCACAACAACTCTCATGAACGTGAAAGAGCGTGGCTTGAGGAGAGTATTGGTGCCGTTGCAAGACGCGGGCATTCGAAACAAAGAGTCGTTCAGCCGCAGCTTGTCTGGCTGCAAAAGAATATCAGATCAGAGACGAAGCAGACAGGCGAGGCATGAGTACACCCAGGACCATGGTCATTAGCGCTCTTCAGCCCTTGTCGCTGTGATCCAGGGAGGCCATCTTCTGCGTGTTTGGCTTTCGATAAAAAATGGAACGCAAGAGAATTCGCCCTTGAAGTCAATGGGCAACGCTCGCACGAGTCGCACCCAAGACTACAATCGGCAAAGGTGGTGAGATCTAGCATGGTACATGTGGCAAATGTATACTCAAAACTGCAATGGAAGAGTCTCTGTGCTTGGTTACCCGATGCAATGTCTGGCCTGCGACCATGACAGCGCATTGTCTGGCTTGCGACCATGACAGCGCCTCCATACAACGGGTGCCGCACATCCGTGCCGAGTTGTTGTCTTGCTGCAGGTCTACGGCAATCGCGTCTCTTATTCATATAACAATATCGTGGAGCGTAACACAGCTGGTGGTATGTCGACGTAAGATATGAGACGCGCAGACAAGTCATCCCAATGTTGAGGTATTTGATGGTCTTGACACATCTGGATATGTGCGGCGGACAAGCGATCGCTGACGCTCAAAGTTGATGGACAGCATTTGCAGTCTCCTGGCTTGCGGAATGGAGAGTGACGATGAAGGTATCCCGGTCAATATGGTTGAAGATGAGTCGTGTGGACGCTGAGAGACTTGCACAGATTGAGCGACCACACATCTCAATGGAAGCGTCAAAGCGAAAAGAGAAAGGATGAAAGGGGCCGAGCATGGCCTAGGAGCAAATGCTACCTGCTATATGTGTGAGAAGCGAACTGCTACAAGTCTGTGCTATCATCGACATGGTCTTCAGATCTTGTTTCCGCTTGCACGGAAGTACAGTAGCAGCTACTGCTTACAACGACAGCGACATCCACGGGTACAGCAATACAGGTGAGGTTGCACAGTCTAACGCGGACGGCGAGCTTTTATTGCGGCATTTACAGACAAGCTTTCGAGCAAGGCTCTGATGGTGTGCTCATCTGTAGAAGCTTTATGCCTACGGTATCGTGCCATTCCTTGGATCCGTTCTCCATTAGGACCGCTAGCATAAGACGTGTACCTATCTCTGTCAAGTGTACCTCAATACCTGGAGCTTCGACAATGAGGGCTCTGTGCAAGCTTGAAGTACGCCGCCCGCCGTCTTTGAAAAGGTTATAGGCGCTTTTGAGGGTCCTTTCCTCCAACTTGCCAATATGCGGGGTCTCCTTCGCAATGTGCGCTTTGTTGAGCGACACCAAGCGCAACAAACAGGTCAAGTCCTTTTCTCTCTCGTCCATTGCATCGCTCTGACAAATCAGGCATGCGTAAGCAACGAATCGGCGCCAAAATCCGGCATAATCCTCGCACCACGCACTTCCAAGAGACTGGCCCTCTTTTGGTTTCTGCAATTCCTCCCTGATACGGGTGGCATATTGGAGATAAAGGGCCAAGAAGTCTTCAACATTGCCGCAGACCACAGTGCCTAACACATCCAATGGGTTGAGCGTCTCCTTGGCCTGGCTCATGATCGCGTCCGAGAGGGGGAAGAAAAAAGAGAAGATGACAAGCATCAGACTTGGCTCCACTTGAAACGTGCTTGGCAAGGCTGCTTGATTTGCGACTTTCACAGCCTTCCTCGACAGACTTGCAGTGTCGTCATCCGCCGCATTTCTCTTCATAGGCACCTTCTTCTTGTGGCTCGTAGTCCTTGCTTCACAGCTTTTCGTGTATGTTCGTGTATGTGAGGAGAGACTCAACCCTGTTGTTTTGGCACCTGGACCACTTTGCAGCATCCGTGTTCTTGGCTGAAGTAGGAACCTCATCCATTATGCCGAAGGTATTCAAGCTCATCGGGCCGCTGCCGTCCATTCCCGCCGCTCGCAAAAGGTAAGCCATCCATCGCAATGTGCGACCTTGCGCTCCTTCCTCGGCGCCATGTTTGATGAACCAGTGGCTATGCTGTGCTTTCGCATCACATTGCGATCTTGGGATACGCTCCTTGCAAAGCTCGCAGAATGCCACAATCTTCGATTTTTTTTCGCCCTCCTTTGCCGACAACAGAATGGACCGCAGCATGATGCAGGCCAAAAACCTTGATCCTTGCTGGGTGTAGTACCTGTTTGCGTTGAGTCCAGTGTATCGTGGCCCATTTTCGATGGAGGAGGATGTTTCAGAGACCTTCCCATCCATCAACGTGGAATAGGCAAGTTTAAATACACCCGTAGACTCATATCGCTCCGTGTATGGGTTCAGTGGTGCCAGAGATACCATATGAGGTGATATATGCTCCGTAACGGATGCCGTAGAGCAGAAGGAGATTTTGATGAGCTTTGGGCCGACTCCGCTTTATGAATGACCTTATCAGACTGGTTGCTCGCAATACTCTCAGGATTCGTACTGAAGTCACTGCGCACTAGCACATGGGACTTGTAGCTTGCGAGCTCTTCGATAAGACCTTCCATTGTCGCCGTCAGTCGTGTGAGTGCCGGCTGTGAAAGTGTATTCTCATGAGCATGAGTATCCTTGTTCGTTGCATGCCGCATCGACTTAGATGCAGAAGCATAAGCATCTCCACTGCTAGCAAGCAGCTTCGCCTCGAACTCTTCGAGTGACCGTGACTGAAGTTCTTGAAATCGTGCTTCCAATCTAGCTTCCATCCCTTCCAGCTGAAGATGAGAAGATCTTGACAAGCGGCGCCCGAGTCTCTCTATCTCAGCTTGGTATTCCTGCTTTTGCTCAAATAAGATCCCGGCCAGCCGTTCTTGCATCTGTTCATGTTCACTCTCAAGCCTCGCTATCCGCTGTGCATCATGATTGGTATGAGACGACTCATGATCGTCTGAGTGCTTTCTTTCAGTCTCGACGTTGATATGACCATTCGGCAGTGCTTTTGTTGCCGCAGAAGTAGGTCCATTGATAACGATACCCTCCGCAATTGATGGAATCGCAACGGGTGAAGACCGTATGCCTGTGGAAGTACCAGAAGGATCATTCTCATCATGGCGCTGCTGCTCTGCCGTTGAAGAGGAAAGACCTACAGCGTCAATCGCGGGCGAAGCTTGAAGAGAATTGCTTTGGATCTAGAGTCAGACAAGCACGAATGATCAAGAGATTATACCAGAGGTGATGCTGCATCATGCTGAGGAGCCGGGACCAGGGTTGCAATGGAGAGCAGTGCTGAAGCCGGTCGCAAGCCGACCACAGTGCTTGCAGCAACAGATGGACAACGCGTTGCTCGCGAAAAGAAGTTTCGATCAAGGCTCGAAACTGTTCGCGGGCTAGGCGTGTTCAGCGTTCGCGGGCTCGGCGAGTTGAGCAAAGCTCTTATTGGGATAGTACGCGCGACCTGAGTGGTACTAGATGTCTGCACAAGCGGAGCGTCAGGAGCGAATCCTGATGGGTCTGCGACGGCGATTGGTTTTGCGCTCGATGCTGCGGCAGCTTGTAATGCAAGCTTTGCGGCCTTTGCTCTTCGTTTTGAGAGCTTGTTCCTCTCGCGACGGTCGGCCTTGAAAGCTTCCTCTTCACTGCTGTTCCGGCGAGCTCGGGGCATTGAGGAAAGAGCGACGGTTGCTGTCAACTTGCTGACAAGATCACTGATGCTTGCTTTGTGGTGGCCTCGATCTACACTTTCCTCAGTCAGAGTCAGTCTGATGCGCGTTCCTCACCCGCGCTTTCCTCAGCTCGAGTCCTCCTAAACCGCGCACCAGAAAGTTTGGCATGGTGGAGGGCAATTTGGCATCTGGTGCGCAGTGGCGGCCATCTCTACCTCTCTCACCAGACTCACCTTAATTCAATCTCAAATCTCCGCAACCAACAGGAATTATGGGATCCTTCGCCCAAGTTGACAGGCTATTTTGTGTGATTCTTGTTATCCGTCTAGCACTGTGTTTCTCTGCAGGGAGGAAGTGGGAATCATCTTCTTGGAGTACTCCCGCCCTCACCCTTGCACCACATTTGATGTAGCGCCTTAGGCGGAGTTAGAGCAAACAAGAGCTCTTCAAGGCACCTTCTAGACATCATCGTCCACCAGTCGTTGATGATCGAGACAGGTTTGCGGGTGTGGTTCAATACTAGTCCAAGCGCAGTCAACAGACGATGCAAGGTCAATTGAAGATCATAGAGAAAGGTGGCATTGTTGGCTTTTGGTAAGTCTGCTACGAACGCTAGACGATGACTTGTGTGCTCATGGCTGCAGATTGTGGTGGAGTCTTGTAGTTTTGTGTCCAGGCCCTGACAGTCATGTGCTGCAGCATCAAACGTGGTCTGTCATCGACGGTGTAGCTGCTTAATCGGCATGAAGCAGAGCGTCAACACGGCGAATTCTCAAGAGCGTAGAGACCGTGGCTTGAGATGCTGAAGCAAGATTGTCGGTGCATTGCAAAGGATGTAGGCCGCATCTGCTTGAACGACTCGCCTCTCTCTGATTGTAGAAGAACATCTTGACGGAACCACAGATGGAGCAGATCGACTCGAGACACGACTGCAATCAGGACCCGGCTCAGTGTTTGTGCTTTCGATGCTGAAGAATGGTCAAACGCAAGAGAAGTCACCCTTGGAGGATGCTGTTGTTGACGGGCATGGCTCGCACCTGAGACTAGAGTCGGCAAGGACACCAGAATAATCAAGTGATGAGCCTGCATGCTGATTTTGGCAATGAAGAGTCTTTGTGCTTGCTTGCATCAACCTACATGGCTTCTTGCGTGTATGCCTGCTGCACCGCCGGACCTGCGACCATAACTTTGCTCATCCATAGCGCTCCTTCAGCCGTTTCTTGTTGCAGGCCTACCGCAACCGTATCCTTGAGTTTCTGACCGACACGGCATCACGGAGCGAAGTATAGCTGGCGGTATATCAACGTATCCGCATATGAGACGCACGGGGACGAGTCCTCCAGATATTTCAAACCTTCGTTGATGGCCTTGACATCTTTGAACAGATTTGTGCGGCGGTGAACATTGAGTCAGTGGGCGTCTGCTGGCTTGGGCCATAGAGAGTGACGATGAAGGCCTTCCATCGTCAGTATGGTTTGTTTGGTGATGAGTCGAGCGAGCAGACTTCACTTTACAGATTGAACTGCAACCAACACACTCAAATTGACTCAATGGAAGCGGCAGAGCAGCCTGGGCAGGGATGAGGAAGTGAGCAAGGCCCGCTCTCTGCTACAAGGCGAGGAAGCAAACTGCTATCAAGTCTAGGCTCTTATCGACATGGCGAACTACAAATCTCTGTGCGGCTCCGTGGATACAGCAGTCGCAGCTTGCAACGACAGCGATCTTTGCACAGTCAAGACAAACGGCGAGCTTTTGTGGGGAACGCAGCAGTCTGGCATTGAACAGGATGTACAGTCAACATGGCGATAATGCAGACGGCGCTGCATACACATATTCAGCATAAAAACACCATTGCGCACTATTCAAAGCATCTTGGGCATCTTTGGCACCGCGGCGTACAATGCAATACCCGATATATCTATTCTGGGCTTGATGACCGATAAGGAAAGCATATTGGGCATCTCTTTTGGAACCGCGGAGTGTACTATTATCTTTGGCACTCTCTACTTGCACGACGCTGTCTGAATTTCAAGTATACTCTTCAATTAAAGGAGGCGCCTTTCAATGTTTCAAACAGTTCATATCTACATTGCGTCAGATCTGCTGACAGAGGTTGAAAGTTCTTGTGCTATAGACAAGGCAAACTTCTGTCGAACTGTAGGCATTTGCTCACGAAATCCACGATTTGAATGTTCTCACAGATCGCCAGGGTGTCAAGGGCAGAACAAGTGGTGGAAGCAGAGTTACTACCGGCTGCTGAATCTTTACAAAGATCGGCAGTCATCTACAATTTCAAGCAGCCTGCGGTCTGCCTTGGCCGTGCGTGCTGGACAAGTACCTGGAATGGGTTCCCGGAGGCCTGTGTCTGCTTCGCCGGACCTTGCGTACCCAATGGAGCTCGTGCTTTGACACATGCGTTGGGGACCGCGCTTGATGCCTTCTGGCCCTTGCAATCAGGGAAACGTTACTGTCCCAATACGGTGGCGGCGTAGCGTCTTGGTCGAACCACATGGACAGCTTGAACGTGGTGAGGAGCGAGATGAAAAGAGCTCTGGGTTATTGTGAATGAAGCCGTTGTTTCAAAGTGAAATATTGGGACCGAGAACAAGCAGGCAGGATAGTGAGCTACCGAATGAGGAGATCAAGTCTCCGTCTTCATTACACATACCTTGCTCTGTAGCTTTGGGATGTACGTCTGGCAACTGAGGCTCGCAGCGATGTCTGTCTGATCTGCAAGGTTCTTGACTATGGGTCTGCTGACCTGTTAACTACCTAAGTTGGTCGCTAGTTTCGAGCGAGGTTGTGCATGGACCCTAGCTCTATGTCGTCTTGTCGTCTCTTCTCACGCGTGGCTACGATATGTACAAAGACCTTTCGACGCGCACTTTTACTTCCTCACGACACCACACACACGCAAGTCGATAGCCATAGCCATAGCCATCTCCATGCAGAGCCATTTTGCCCATCCAGCGCACATTGCAGGCTGCAGATCTAGTTCCGCCTGTTCTTCAATGGAGAATACCTTGACATCCGATTTTCCTCAATGCGAGAAGCGAGTAGATCTGTGGCTTTGCATTGTTGAGTCGGTCGAAGGTCTCTTCGTTTTGTTGCAATTCTTTGGAGATCAGATAGTTCTACAATCCATAATCCAGGTGCGGGTCCTCAAGACTTTCAGGATAGACAATGTGCCGCTGCATATACCGAGGCAGATCGTTACATAGATCTTCCTTGAATCGTTCCCAAATAGCAAGAGGATGCGGCATCTCGTTATGCAATAGTGCTGTGATGAAACTTGATCGCATCTTCCTGCCAGTCGCCCACGTTTTCGCCTCCTCGAAGGCATGCATTAGTTCTTCTTCAGAGTCCAGAAGGCCACGTGCCAGACATGCCTCTCTGAAAGTGCCGTAGATAACTCCATCGTATGTGCGTAAATCCACATACGCTGTTGGCCCTCTCACTTTCGTCAGCAACAAACGCAAATAGTATGGTTCACCGGCGCCGAACGGGATGTGCACCAAGCGTGAGACGGGGCGGCCCTGTTTTCTCTTCTGCCATCTTGAAGGTTTTTGTTTGTCATCCCGAACGAAATGTTGGGGAAACTCATGGTACAACAGATGTCTCGCATCCTTATGCTGAGCATTGTAGTCAAAGAAGGCCAGCAATCTTGTCCGCTTCGTCGCTACTATCTCTTCGAGTTGCTCGCGCGTGACGTTGTCCGGGAAACTGATGGGTTGCTCGTTCTCCAGATGTAACGTGGGTTGTTCAACAGATGGATAGCCATAGTGTATCGGAAACTCCAAAATACGGCAGGCGGCATGCCACGGTCCAACATACAGCCCTTGCACATAGAGAGCCAGCTCATACACTTTGGAAAAGTCTATTTTCCAATGTGGCTCGATCGGCGCCCTTGTAGATGTACTTGTGAATGTACTTGCATACAAGCGCAGAGCCACACACTTCGGCATTGAGGTTGCGGTTATACGTCAGGAGCAACCATGGGCAGTATGGCACAATCCATTGATTCGACAGCTTATGAGAGACACCTCTCATTGTCTTCACAATATAGCGACCATCGTCGCGACGGCGGTAGTGTGGATAGCCATCGCCGAGTATTGCGGTACTCTCCGAGAATGGCTTTGGATATCCCTTGCTGCAAGTCAGTCTACCATGTTTGTCGCGCTGCATGCACGGAGCATGTGTTTTCAAGTCACCGCAGGGTCCATGAACCATGCACCGGGACACTATTTCAAGAAGTCTGTCGTCTGTCATGGTAGCTGCAGGATGGGTCAGGTATTTCTGATGAGATGAACTCATCAATGGTGTACGGGTCATCAAACCGAATGTCCTGACCAAGAAACAGGAGTGTGTGGCAATGCGGTAGACCCCGCTTCTGAGATTCTTCCGCTTGTACCATGCCTTGGTAGTTCTTTTTGCCGAAGATTGTGGTCAAATTGTTGACCAATGTCTTCCTCTTGGACTCAAAGACTCTGGCACCCAACATGAGGTCGTCTCCTGAGGACACACCTGGATCAAGATTCACACCTTTGCTGACTTCCACGGTGGCAGGCTCAACGTAAGTTTCGCGCAAGACAACGCCATTGCGTGGGTTCGTCTCCCAGATAGCGGTCACCTGAGCATCCACCGAGGTGATAGCGTGGGAGCCATAGCTGTCGACTTCGATTCTGCCGAGGTGTACCCAGTGCTTTCAACTGGCGCTGTGAGTTACAATGGTCAAGCCGTGATCGGCCATTGTGATGGCTCTTGCAGCGGACCTCGCAAGGAGCTGGCGATTCAGTGTGAAGGTGGAGGTAGACGACAAAGACTCCAGAAGACAAGACAGATATGCGCGACAGCTGGATTGCCTCCGATGATGTTGTCCAGGGAGTACAGTCTCCGAAAACGGCTCTGGTGCATTATGATGCGTGCGCACAGGCTGGGAGGCGCGTTTGTCTGGTCAGACTGGCGGTGCATTCAGGGCAGCAAAGAATGATGACACTGTTCATGTCTTGATTAGAGATCTGCTGTAGCTGTAGAGGCTAGGTCAAGTGCGTGAGGTGGTGGGAGCCGGGCCTGAGCCGGTGGTGTGAATATCCTTTGATTTTGGCAAGTCGTCAGCTTCACTGGGAAGATGCTGTAGAAGGCCTACGCTGCAGTAGGCTACGCATTGTAGAGTGCTGCTGCTTGTGTCTTTCACATCATCACATGTCTGCTTTGGATGCTCACTGCACAAACATCAGCGGGAGGTTCCTTCCTCCCTGCAACCGCTCATGATTGTCTTGGCAAACTACCGCCAGCCGATTGGCTGAGAAGTGTCAAATGGGACAAGTGTAGACGACCTCGGACAACAGGCACTGGACACTGGACAGTCTGGACGAGCTGCATCTCGCTATAGCTCCCAGTCTTGACTCTTGAGGCTCAGATGCGCTCAACAGCAGCTCTAGCGAAAGAAAGAGAATAGATTGCTCATGTAGAGAAGCTGCTGCCAGCAGAATGTTCAAGGAGGGCGCTGCATCCAGTTGTCATGGAGCGAGCAACCTCGTAGGGTCAATTGCTTGGCACTCGGAAGTGACGAGACTTCCCTCACTGGTACATTACCTACGCAGCCGCTTGAACCGAGTATATATGACAACTTTCGTCGGCAATCCGGTCAAGCCAAGCAATCGAAATGTCACGACAGCGTAGTCAACAAGCTTTGGGGCAAGGTGACCAGACAGACACCACTGACGCTTCGCAGGTTCACCCCGAGTCTGACGAGTCTAATGCTATCGACCTCGAGGCCCGGCCGCATGTCGAAAGACACTTCAGCTACCCTCGATTGGTTTCTGATATAATCATTGGCATGCAGATGGCCTCACTGTCCCATTCGCATTGACTGCTGGTTTGTCGTCCACTGGGAAACGTGACATTATCATCCTTGGTGGTCTTGCTGAGCTGGTTTCTGGAGCACTTTCCATGGGCCTTGGTGGATATCTTGCTGCGCAAAGTGAGATGGAGCACTACAAGTTTGAACGACAGCGAGAGCAGCACGAGGTTGTCACTTGCCCTACCGAAGAGAAACAAGAGATCTACGACATTCTGGAGCCTTATGGTCTGACAAAGGATACTGCCACGCCTTTCGTTGAAGAACTAGCAAAGAACCCTGATCAATGGGTTGAGTTTATGCTGCAATTTGAGCTTGGCCTGAGTAAACCAGACACAAACAGAGTGTGGCAATCTGCTCTGGCTATTGGTTTCGCCTACCTACTCGGCGGTATTATTCCCTTGCTGCCATATTTCTTTGTGGAGAATCCTAGGACAAAAGGTCTGATGATATCTGCATTGCTCACTAGCGCAGTATTGGTCTTGTTCGGTTACATCAAAAGCTTCTCGGTTGGCCGAAAGCATAAGCCTGCCTCCTTGTCTGCTGTGCAGACTCTAGCTGTTGGCGCGATTGCTGCAGCCGCCAGCTATGGAGTTGTCTATGGTCTAGATCGCCGTTTTCAGACTTGATCGGTGCAATAGTCTTGATGTGGATGGTGCTTCAGATGCACTGGAACATAGTTGGGGCTAGGGTGAGAAACGCTTGTCTGTAAATATGCATGCAAGGGAAACTATGGTATGGAGTATTCATGCGAGCGAATCAAAGCTGCTCATCCATCCTGCCTTTGAACGAATCTCCAGTTAATGAGAAATCATAGCTACAAGCAAGCAATCAGTCGTCGTGTCGTTGTGCATGGACTCCAAGGACAGCAGTCTTGTTCTCATGCTCCGCTATCGACAAATTTCAGGGGCATCGTCATCGCGGCACAAAGAAGCAATAATCCACTTGGGGCCTCTCCCATCAGACCAACCACGCTAGTCTATCTCTATAGCCATGTCATGCACCCCTAGGTCAAACACCAATTCGATTCCAGGTATCCGGCACAATTAACCAAGGGTAGACGCCGCTCATAGCCTTGATTGCTAAATTGTACATTACTGCAAGAAACCGCAGTGCTGTGTGAGTCAGCCCGACCCTTGCTGATACACCATCAATTTCTCTTGTCTTGATAGCTACTGCACGGTATGATGCTGAAAAGCTGCAGTGATACAATCAATGAGTGACCAAACCGGACATTGAGCGTGATCAATTCGCCTTACATGGCGTCACTGGCCATTGCCGGCAGTACAATTGCGCTCTCTTGTGCGCTGGCGAGTGAACAGTGACCTTGTTGTAGCTTAAAGAGCATTTCAGCGATCAGCGAAGATGAATGGAGGTCGCATCAATCATTTCGGCAGCAATCGTTTCCGTTGCATAAGTAGCGCTCGTCTCTAGCGAGAATGACGCAGGAAGCTTCAGTTGTGCCGAAGTTGTGGCCTTCTTAGCCTTGTCGCCCTCAACTCAGTCGTTACAGACCATGTATACCAACTCGATTCTGTCGATTTTGATCGCAGGTCTGGAGTGCCTGGTCACGCCCTTATCATGGCGGGTGCTGTCCGCATAGGCTGGATGATGAGTGGCTCGATACTAAAAAGATGCTCGCCAGTGATAATTGATGAGAAGAGAGCTGTAGCAATGATTACCAGGCACTGTTCACTTGATCGTTGAATCGTGGGCTTGCACATGACGACACGCTGTGTTTGCGCGACACTTTTATACAAAACCTAGTTGAGGATCCATTGCTGCAAGAATCATCATCATCAACAGCAGCAGCAGCGTCTCTTGCTATGGCCAAGTTCAATGCACGCACACTGACGGCACCTATCGCAGCCTTCACCATGGTAATACACCCAAAACGCGACCTCGAACACCAATACTGACCATAGGCCTGCATTGTCTTTGCATATACGCGCAGTTCGATCCACGCTGCCAAGATGAATGTGGCTGAGAAGCGACGATTGGATGGCGGCAGTGTTGACTTGCGTCGCGAAGGGCTACGGCAGCGCGGTGTGGATACGGCGCAGCTTGCATCGGGCATGTCTGAGGACGAGGAGCGTGTCCGTGAGGCAATACGAAGATAGCAAGATGCGTCAGGATTGGATAGCACGATAATAACGAATGACTACATTAGGGATTGGCCGAATCTACGGCACAGATTGCCAAGCCAGTGACGTTGAAGGGATGAAGAGAAACACCAAGCGCAGCAGGTGTATGACCGTCATGCTGCTGGTTGTGGGCAGCTTAGAACATGTAGCAGAATGCGAAAAGAGCAACGACTGCGAGGCCCATTGTGCTGGAGCCGGCCACGGACGCGCCGCTGGTTGCAGTGCGTGAAGCCGATGCAGAGGATGCCTGCGAGCCTGTGGTCATTGGACGCGTTGTCGTAGTCGTAGCCTGCGCCGAGATGTTGCTGTTACCCTGTCGCGTTGTGGATCCACTTGGTGCAGCCTGGTTTTGAGATCTGGACGAGGTCAGTCTTGTGCTAGCAAGGGAGGATGAGCGGGCAGAAGAGGACGTGGAGGAGAGTGAAGGGGAGGAAGCGGAGGACGTGGAAGTGATGGGGATGGGAGTACTGCTCGCTGGGGGAGTGACTGACGTGGAACGCGAGGCCGCAGATGAAGAAGGTGTGGCGACGGCGAGGGTGTTTCCTGAAGCGGAGCACTGGCCCTTGAAGAAGGTCAATGCGGCCTGTATATCTGGGCACTGCTGCTGGATGCACTGCTGGATGATGGCACCGTGGGTTGTGCACTGGCAGGACAGGTCGCCCGGTGATGTGCAGGGCGATGCGATGGCACAGGAGAGGAGACAGGCTGGAGGCGGTGCCTGCTGGGCCCAGATGGCGGCTGGGAGGGAAAAGAGTGCGAGTGCGAGTGCTGCTGCCTTCATTAAATGAGAGTGACTGTGAATACAGTGAATACTGCGTAGATAGATGCTGATAGATGCTCTTCTCTTCTTTGTATTTCTCGTTGCCAATTTCGAAGCCAGATCGACCCTAACCCTGAAATACAGCCAGGAATAGAACAAGTCGCAGTCACAACTCATCAGCCAGCGAGACAGCCAGCGACAGCATCGACACGGCGATTCAGCATCTTGCTAGATTTGTTAGCAAGGTCACATGTATAACAAGTTACTTGCATCGCATCAGACACAGCCTCCAGGTCTGCAAATTCAGCCTGCAATTCCCTACAGTGTGCCATCATACGCTCGAGCTGCTGGGCCTGTTCCTCGGCAGTCTGTGCCTTCTTCATAGCTTCTTGCTGGTCATACCTCGCAGCAGCATAGCACTGCTCTGCAACCTATAGCTAGTCAGCAGCAATTTGTTTCAGCATTCGACGCACAAGCTCCACACGGGCAGAGAGTGCACGGAGGAAAGAGTCATAGCACTCGGCCAGATTGTCAGAGTTGGCAGCCAGCTGTGTATAGCACTGTTCAGCAAGATTCGCAGCTTCAGCCATCGTCAGTTCTATACTCCTTGAGTCCTTGCCAGTACTCGCTCAGTAGTCAGCTCCAACTTGCGCGACTTTGCCCAATTTGGCTGCAACGCTCAACCTCCTGACCACACCACGCTCTGCTCTGCTCTACTCGCTTCAACTTGCTTGCTCCTATATCTGCTCTCTCCGCTCTCAAGGCCTTCGTGAATGGACCACACAATGATGGACCACAGTAAAATGGACCATGGACACATGGGACACGGCGATATGGGCGCAGCCGCGTGCTCCATGAATGCAAGCTAGTGCTATACTCTGCACCGCGCTGACTCCAGATGTACCTCAACGCAGACATCAAAAACCTCTGCATTCTTACTGAGAAGTGGCACATCACTGGCGTCTGGTCACTTCTACAGAGCTGCATCATCATCATCCTCTTTGCTATGCTCTTTGAGTTTATTCGCGAACGAATCCGTCGCTATGAAGCAGGCATCGGCGCCATTGACATCGACAGTTCTCAAGCAGGTACTGTATCGTCAGAACGAGCAACAAATCGTACGCCGCGCGCAATCAGGTCAGTCCCTGCTTCACGTCCGTCAAGCTAACAGCAGGCAATCCCAGATGATCAAGGCATTCTTGTATGCGTTTCAAGTGGCTGTCTCTTATATCCTCATGCTCGTTTTCATGGTGAGTTCCAGCACAGCCAGCTATAATGCTAATAAGCAGACATTCAATGTCTATGTCATGGCAGCCGTCGTCATTGGCGCAGGTCTTGGCCACTACTTCTTCAACACTGATCCAGCAAGCATCGGCAGCAAGTCCATGGCTTGTCACTGATGTTCCTCGAATCTGTAGCCTTTTCGCAATATTCGTATATCGTAGCTGCTTGAGTATGGCCGACATACATATCCATATGTGAATCGCAAGCTACTCGCCACATTTGTGCTCTTCATCGCTTCCGCTCATGCACTGCTACCAGATCTCGAGCTGTAAGGACTCGGTGTCAATAGCCTGGCATGCGTCAGCGATCTTGATGGCGATAGCGCAGCCTGAAGAGAATCTACTTCGCAAAGTGACCCGGCTCTCCCTTGCACCATTTTAACGCTGTCGTCAGCAAAAGGGCGCCAACAACCAAAGGCTATGCAATTCAGCAATCTGGACTCGTGCCATGTTTGGAACCATCATGCTGATTAATGCATGACAACTGATGTAAAACAGAGCTTAGGATGAATCGTAGTAGATATTGTCCGAGTCGCGCAGACTTCTCATGCCAGCACGCGACACCAACATTTGGGACGCCGAGAGGTCCGAGGTGCCATCGAGTCTGCTCGCTACTGCATCCAGCAAGTATGTAGCGATCGTCGCTACTCCACCTTCATTACAGATACCGCGCGGCAGAATGACATCTGCATGATTTTTAGTCTCATTGACGTACTTGTCAAAGCTTGGCTTGACCTTATTGATCCAGCTCGTCAGGATTTGATCTAGCGGTATACCTGCATCGCTCTTATCGAGAACAGTGTTGGACAGTCTTGTATCTGCATCAGTATCGATAAAGATGCGTAAATCGCTCTTCTCTCGCAGCTCTGGCAGCATGGCATAGACGCCCTCCACAAACAGCACCTGAAGGTCAAGGCTTGCAGAGCTGACAGATTGAGCTGCATAGGCGTCAATCTTCTCAATGACAGCAGCTAGAGAAAGGCCTGAAGGCTCTTCTACTTCTTCGACATCATGCTTTTTAAAGTCTTCAAGCGAGAGAATGGCCGTGCTAATGGTAGAGTAGCGAGACTGTAGCAAGTCACTCAGCTGCTTTGCAAGGAGATGCTTGCGTGCACCGGCTCCACCAGCAATAGTCACAACCAGCAGCATCTGGCTTGAAGCGGTTGGTTGAAGTCCATCTGCTGTCGCCAATTCGACGCCGCGTTTCACTGTGCAACGCGACACAAAACAAGCTTTATATCAGCTCAAGCTTTAAGCTCAGGGCGCATCTGGCCTGTCGCTCCATTCTTTTAATGTCTTTTCTATTTGGTAGCAAGAAAGAAGCTGTCAATCTTGGCGCAGTCGATAGCGACGCCCTTATCCAAGTCCTCAAAGGACTTGATCTTGTTCTCGATGACCGCATCCCTGAAGCGCGCGTCATTTTCCAGTCTGGCAGCTCGTCATTCCATCTAGTTGGAGAAGCAGTTGTAACCTTCATTCAAGGAGTCCTTGGCTTTGAGCCAGAGGTACTCAAGCAGGCTGGCACACAGTTTGAAGCAGCAGAGCTTGCGCTAGACAAGGGCGCTCGAACAGCGCAAAAGTACAGACTCACAACAAGCACATACCCTGCTGGTCTCGAGTATGAGATTGTCCTTGGGGAATGCATGTTGATGCACGCCATCACTGGCTTTGCCGGCGAAACAATCATGAACTCGCTCAAATCGGTGCTCAAGATCAAGCGTGCATATGCAGTCTTTGACAAGATCTGGAAGCAGCATGGCGACAAAATCCTAGCTAAGCACAGTCAAACGTCAACAGAAGAGCACGAAGACCCTACAGTGCCGCTTGTTGATGAGGCAATTCAGTCAGGAACGCTCCTTTGCTATGGCTTGCTGACACTCATCATCTCACTTCTGCCACCCAAACTAGCCAAAGTGCTCAATGTTCTTGGCATGCATGGCAATCGCCAAAACGCTCTCAAATTCCTTTGGCTTGCCGCTTCCAAGCCTCAATCTCTTCACGGCGCAGCCGCCTTTGCTAGCCTTGTACAATACTATGGTGGCGCTGTACAGCTTTGTGATATATACAGCACTGAAGATGGACCAGATGGATGGCCGATAGAGCGAGCCAACAACACATTGCAACAAGTCAATGCATTTTATCCAAAAGGCAAGCTATGGGTACTACATGACGCAAAGCTCAAATCAATGGAGCGCAAGCTGAATGAGGCACTACAGGTGCTAGATCGAGGCTTTCAAGGGGAAAAACCACAACTCCAGCAGATTGAAGCGCTCATGCTGTTTGAGTATGCGTTGAATGCTGCGTTTGATCATCGCTACAAGGAGGCTGCCGACTATTTGATTCGCGTAAGAGATCAAAATACTTGGTCGCATGCGCTCTACACCTACTTTGCAGCCTGCTGTCTATTGCAAGACGCTCGAGCCAATGGCGACGCTGCCTCCCTAGCCTCTGCCTCTGCCCTCCTCGAAACTGTCCCTGCCATGTTTCTCACAAAAGCCAAGATGTTTGGCGGCGTTAAACGCGTGCCCATTGAGGCATTGATTGAGCGGCGCATACGGAAATGGTCTGCGCGACGCAAAGCAACACCTGACGCTGGCTTGGCTGAGTTTGCTGGTCCGAATCCCATCATGGAGCTCATATACATCTACAATGGCTATCGCCGTATGTCGCCTGCCGCGCTAGAAAGGTGGACGCAGGTAACGCCTGCACCAGACATGGATGACGATGATGTGTTGTGCAGCAAGCTCATGCAAGCTGTTGTGTTGCGTAACCTTGGCAGACCAAATGAGGCTGGCACGATACTGGAGCAAGATGTTCTTGCACGCAAGAAGAGCGGTACAGAGGAAGTATGGGCGTTGGCGTTTGGCGAGTATGAATACGCTTGCTGCATGTACTGGGAGGCACTTCCGTTGGAGGATGCCATTTGCAAGAAGCAACTGGACGACTGCTACGGGCACCTGCGTGCCGCGGTAGATTATGGCGATGCAAACGAGCTCGAAGGTAGGCTCAATATTCGCGTTCAACTGGCTAAGGAAGTGGTCAAGGCGAAACGCGGTACTGTATGATAATGCGGTTTGTACAATCATGCTTGAATCTTGACATCTATTCTCGCTTCCCCGTCCCAGTATCCCCAGGCCAATAGCATCGCTCCGTACCATAAGATCGCGGCTGCATTGACAGTGTTGAGCAACAGAAAGGCCGGCACGCCTGCTGCCGTATAGAAGATGACCTTGAGCAGGATGAAGCGGTTGAGAGGCTTGAAAGTAGACAAGATCTCAGCCGACACGACGACAGTACCCACAATGATGTTGGTGATTTGAAGTATCGGTATCGGCGCCACAAGGGGCTCTAGAACCTTTGTGATGAAAGTGCAAAAGGCGCGAGGGTAGAAGATTGCCCAGACGGCTGCATAGACTTGGTAAATGCCGCCAAGGATGATGACTGTATTGGCCACTGGGATTAGCGCTTGCCACCGTATTGTCTATGCTTACGATCCGACTTGATGAGAGGCATCGCGGAGGGAAAGACCAAGGAGCCCGCTAGCCTTAACTAGAGCCATCGACGCAGCAGGGTGAGCAAAGCAGAGGACAGTGCAATGTGCAGCAGACCGAGCGCAAGTTCATTCTCTTTTGCTTTGACCTTGGAGAGCCTCAGCTTTCGTGCACGAGCAACCATATTGCAGCCGTGCGTTGTGCAGGATTGATGCAGATGGGAGCAAGAACAGGACATAGAGGTCGTCCATATCGCAGGCAAATATTGACAACTCAGCGTTTGACTGGTTTTGAGACCCAGGCCTCGGGTTGCCATTCGCCCTTCTCATCACGCGTACCGGGCGCTTCCAAGTAGTCTGATGAGACATTCTTTGTTTCAGCATCCTGCTGAGGTGCTGCCAACCTCTGCTTCTCATCTTCCCATCGCTGATGCACGAGCTGGGCGTTTTGACGGGTTGAGTGGATCCGTGCCACCTCAGCATACAGCTCATCGAGCGTCGGTGCATCCTTTTTCGTATGCCGTAGCCAGGACATCCACTGCGGCGTCACATTGTTGTCTGTATAGTGTCCGTCATGCACATACTTGACGGTCCGCCTAAACTTGGCCGGGTTGAGTGGATTATGCGACTCAAAGTACTTGTTGCCATCGAGGTCAAACCCTCGAAAGAAGCTCTTTCGCCAGGGTAGCTGCAGTGTCCTCCATCTGCTGTAGTAGAGCTGCGCAAACCACGTCGGCTTGAATGCTTCCTTCATTGATCACTCCAAATGGACGCGTCGTCTCTGAATGAGCTGATGAAATGTCGTCGCCAAATTTGAGGACATCAACTCCCACAGTCGCCATGTCGCGCATAGAGCCCCTCGGCCAGGAGCATGTTCTGAGCCGGGCCGCGCTTGGACAGGCGCCGGAAGACTGGCAGGAAGCTCAGCGGCTCATTGAAGCGCGTCTGACACAGGTGCTCGCAAGCTGGCCGTCATCCATCGATGCAGTCTCCTTGGCAGAGCAAATCAATGCGTACCCAGCGCCGCCGCATACAATTCAGCGACTGGCAGAGCTTCTGGTCGATCCGCATCGCTGGTACACAGATGTGGACAAGTATGTTCGTGCGCTCGTCAAGGTTCTTTCGGTATGCAATTGCTTTATGCTAATGTCTACTTGTACAAGGACGCTACTGACATCAGGTGACGTCGACGACGCTCGACTTTACACAAGAGGAGGCCCAGCCTGAACCAGCCGAAACCTCGCTGCTAGTCCCCATTCCGTGGCTCACGGAAGACATGCGCACAGTCATGCCAAATGGCGTGGTCTTCACAAATGGTCCACTCGATGACATGCCAACAGGAAGCGCGCCAATGGATGCTGCTGATCTTGGTCCTCAGTCAGATGAGACGAAAGAGGCGATTGCGCACTACGCAGGCGCGCAAGCGCAGTCTGTACAGATGGATGATTATCCTGGTGCCTTCTCAGACTCGGCTGTGATGCGAAGTCGTCAAGCGGAGCCTGCAGATGTTGCAGAGTGACGACGTGCTTGCAATTTGTGCAACATGTCGACATAGATGGTCGGTGTCAGCAACAAGTCGCCCTGGGAGACGCGTTTTGCGAGCAGACGCATGAGTGCTTGATCCTCCTTTGGCAGGCACTCGATCCAAAAAGTCTTCAAGCTGCGAAACAGTCCGGGACTCCCCAGTTCCTTGGCACACACTTCACTCAACAGGTACAGCACGATGGGTGTCGTGTAGCTGCTCAGCCCGAAGAGACACAGAGACTGCAGGATGCGCGAGATGCGAAGAAAGTTGTGCGTGTGATTCATGAGATTGCAGTAGCGTACCTTGTAGCTGCTTGTTCGACCCAGCTGTCGCAGCTTCTGGTCTTGCCACCGCATACCGTAAAAGTCTAGCATCATATCCAGCGCACTCAGCATTCTGCATTGCGCTTCTCGTGATGTGCTGAGTATGTCAACTTCCTGCTGTAAGAGAGCAGATGCATATGGATTGACGCCTTGTTGCCGTAATGGGAAGAGCCACTGTATGTAGCCGTGGCGGTCTTCGAGGACATTATACTGTCCCCGCCATTTCAGAATGAGTTCATCAATGGTCAGATTATCTGGCCGACAGGGCAATCCCTGTAGATAGAAACGAACATTACTCAACGATGCGACGCGTTGCATTCCCAGCTCGGGAGTGTTTGTTTGGGGTCTACGCGTCGTTGTGCAGTCTGAAATGGTCGCGTCTTTACAGCAAGCGGCCATGGCCTGAATTGATTCTATGGACGTCTCATACTGACAACAGCTAGGCCATCTCAGCCTTTTGCAGTGGGCTAGAAGAGCGCGTTTGCATCATGGTTGCACCGCCATCTTGACTCGCAGACTTCTCCAGCTCCCGTGGTGGGTAAATGGCGGCAAGCACGACCATGACCAGGAACATGGTGAGCGTGTCAAAGATGTAAAAGGTCCACTCATGTGTGGCGAGCCATCCCTCACGGCCTTCGATGTACTCTGCCAGTCTGTAGATACTTCGCACCATGATAAGAGCACTGGAAATGTGCAAGGCAGCCAAGATGCGCTCCACATGTGCAAGCCTAATGAAGTTGAACAAGCCAGCGCCAAGGTTCATTGTTCGACCATGGTAGATGCCCGTCTCTGAGGCCTTGCGAATGTGAATTTGAAAGCGGACAGCAACCAACATGTAGTAACCAAAGGCAAAAACCTGCACGACGAGACCGGCAACCACGACCCACTGCCCATACTTGGAGATGTCCCCAGATGTGGCTTGCAGACCACCACCAGATGATTGTACAAAGAGTGAGATGCAGTCAAAGGTCACAAAGATCTTGGTCATGTTCTTGACCTTCATCATGCTGTATTGCTCCGCACGCTCGTGGACAATGAGCTTCTTGAGAACCATGTAGATGGAGGCGGCATAGAAGATAGGCGGTAGGAGGAGAAGCAGTGATTGGCCAATGTACGCACCAATGGCTTCCTTGTCATCTGCTGAAGCGATGCGAGCACCGTAGCCTCCGACCTGTGATACGCCACCGATGATGAATGGGATGAAGTAGAGGCTTTTATGTTTGCAAATCATGACCACATGGTATGCTGTCGCGATGGCAAAGGCAACGAGACCAACGTAGCAGAGTGTCTTGGAAGGGTCGTAGTACCAAAGAACCATGGCTATTGCAACTTGAAGATGCTTTGCAAGAGCAGCAGAGGAGCCATGCTTTATAGGCTGTGCCAAGATCTAGGGAGCATACAAGGTGAAGGTGGGATTTGCGACAAGCACGATGGTCATGTCTAAGCAAAGAGGTGAATACGCGGTCGTATAGCGGGCGTGCTAAGCCTGGGAGCAGGGGCCGTCACGAGAGATTACAGCAAGCTAGACTTAGCTAGTAGCAGTGAAGCACGTAACTTGACGCAAGCTTGCGGGTTGCAGTCATCGCCGTCGTGTTTACAGCGAGTGGTCAGTGGTCGTGGCTCATGCTGGAGAAACTTGAATGTTCCCTTGGCAGCGAGCTTAAGCAAACACGCTCAATATCAGCGTAATCAGACTGGATCTCGTGAATCTGAATCTGCGTCTGTGTAAACGCGAAAGAGTCGCCAGCAACGACATCAACAGTGATCAACTCCGTGTGGAGCTGCATAAGGGCTAGCGAGGCAAGACTGCAGCTGCTCGCTTGCCAAGCGATGCTTTAAACTTTAATACATTTATACCTCCCTATAAATCATGTCTACTTCAAGCGAGACGACTTCCGCCGGATCAAGCGTGGCTTCACCGCCTGCTTCTGTATACCTCAGATCTACTTCAAGCGAGACGAACTCTCTCGAGTCAAGCGGGGCAACACTGCCTGCTAAGCCCATCAAAAGACGGCGCCGCTACAAACAAAGCGCCTGGCGCTGCGAAAAGTGTCGACTTGCACACAGACGCTGCATACACGATCGGCCTGATGCACCTCCTCTTCCTTCCGTGCAGCAACCTTCTGAAGAGGGGAAAACTATCCAAGTAGCAATCTTGCCAAAGCAGGAAGATCTCTCCGCCACGCGCATCCAAGATCCGAGCACGCTTTCCTGTTGTCCCATCATTGCAACAAACAGAGAAATGACGGAACTGGCCACCTCCTTATTCTCAGTGCCGCCGATGGACGCAAAATTCTGGCGCTCAAACACGCCAGACTTGCTCGATAATTCCCCTGGCTTCAGATTTGCCATTACGGGCTTCTACCTGCTACATCGCGGCCTACAGGAAGACAAGCGTACGGCGCTCGAGTACATCCAAGCTGCAATCGTTCGACTACGTTCACGGTTTGAGTCGGAAGTCAATGCTCAAGGCTTTGTCCTCTGTCTGACCTTTTTTTTGGCCATGAGCAGTTTTGCAATGCAGGAGCCTGTGGAACGCTTTGCCCTCCATAGCAAAGGAGCACGTTCCATTGTCATGGGCTACTTCAAACAGCTCACCTTGCCGCCTTTTTTGGCTGGATTGCTTCGCGAAGAAAACATCCGCCCCGTCATCACACAAGAAGCCTACAACAAGCACAAGCCTGAGATGGAGCCATTTGAGCGGCTATTCCCGACTGTTAACTTTTGCAAAGATTGGTACGATGGCAATATTGTGGATCTTGTCAGTATCATGTTTGATGCTGCATCGCTCATGGATTCTGCAACACTACAGACTTTGACAGCTTCTGTCGTCTACAACATCATTCATCGCTTACATCGGCATCAAGCAGTACAGCACGAATTTGACTTACAACAATCTCTATTGGCGCAGCTCACGGAAGAAAGTATTTATGTGATTTGCATGCATCATGCGTATCGGGATAGGCGCATTCCTGTCACTTTGGTGGATGGCTTACGGACAAAAGTGCGTCTCGCGGAGAGAACAATCGGGCAGGTGCCTTTCGTTTTGCGAGTGCTGCAAGCTGTTGAATGCTAGGTCAGGGCTTCTGAGCTTGTCAAGCTATAGCTACACTGTGTCAAGATTGCCGGTCTGTGTGACATTGTGTCATGGACCCATGGTCCACGGTCCATGGACTTGATGTCCAGGACTCCAGGCCCATGGTTCGCCGCCGCACCGGGCACCCTCGGCTTCAGCTTGGTCGCTTCATCATTGGCAGATTGGCAGATTGGCAAATTGACACGGAAGGATTGTCTTCAATGTCTTGACGATTTTGAGGAGTGCATGACTGCATTATGTGCATGACTCGCGCGATGAACAGGGCTAGCTGCAAGATTGGCAACTTGGCATGGATTGCTGTCCATTCGGGGCCAGTCCGGTCACAGTGTCAGCTGTCAAGTGAGAGTGTCAGATCGAGGTCCTCAGGTCACCGACTCATGAATCAGGATCACTCATCAAGTGTCACACTGTCATCACGACCGCGGCAAGCTTCTCAAAGTCCTAGACCCGCAAGAAACTCACCAATGCTTTTTTTCGTGACGACCGAGTCCCAAAGAAGATAATGAAGTGGACCGTTGTCTGCCATCAGTGCGGGATACGCAACGCATCCCAAACGAGTGCATCGAAGAGCATCAACTTGCCATCAAGCACGAAACGCAGTTTGATGTAGGCTGCAGGGGCAGGGCTAGGTTGGCAATCGGTGGAAAGCTTTTTGGGATTGCTCAATCGTGTGCTCATCCTCGCTAATCTTTCACATATCGACATTGTGGCACCTATCGCGCACTCGTTGATTGATGAGCCTACGTGTATTGAAATACTTCGGATGTCAATCAAGCTGCGGATGAGCTACGACTCATGTGCGTCACTACATGTAGACAATAGTAGACATGTCCAGTTTCCCAATTGCAACGGCCAATGGGCTACGGCCCATGCCTCACTAAGGCCACCGGTTCTACCACATCCCTAGTCATCCTAATACAGCTGACACAATGTCGAGTCGCCATACGATGGACTTGCGGCGAGGAGCCAACCTAGGGCTGTAGCCTGTAGTCTGTGGGCAATGGGCATGTCACTCTTGCCAGAAATTCCAAGATGCGAGGCCCCGGCAATGGACTAAGCACTGCAGTCTGCAGCAGAGCTCGATGCTCGGGTTGTAACTTGTGCTTTTACCTTGCTTATGAACTTACCAATCCGAGTTACCCGTCGCCGATGACGAAACGATCGTTGGCAACTCGGCACAGGAAATCGGAAGATGGCGCTTTTCCGAAGCCCGTCTGACCCACCTGCACAGTCCGCACTCCCAGTGTTCAGTGTTACTGTACAGTGTTCAAGCTACACAGTCTGGAATTTGAGACATGCCGAAATGGAATCACGAGCCCGCCTTTCGCGAGCCTACAGTTGCGCACTGCGCAGCGGCGGTGCGCACGCTGTATCATACTTTATATGGGGATCCGATCGGTAGGTACTATGGACAACTTTTATTGCAATACATAGTAGTGGCCGTTAATCGAGTGTCCTTGATCTCTCGTGAAACTTGTGGGCCACCAGCAGGCCAGATGAGTCGATGACTAGCCCTTGAGGCTGGTATTGGCGATTTGGCAATCTGGCGGATGAAGTTGCTTTGGCAGATGACTGTCAAGAGAGCCGCCAATAACTGGACAACAGATGCGGAACAGGCAACTTGGACAAGCGCCCGGGGCGGCGGGGCCCGGGGGTCCCGGATTACTTTGGCTTTTCGCTGGAGATTGACTCTGATTGAGGCTCGACGGAGAGACTCTAAATTGACTTCCTCCGAACGTGTGCTCGGATTTAAGTCTTGAGTCTTGACCCTTAAGCCCTTCAGGGCTTGGCGGGATAATCCGTCATGTTGGCATCGTCGGCTTCTGTGTTCCAGAGACTGAGGACGGTTGCGGCCTCCGAAGAAGTGACTGGCCATGGCAATGACTCTGACAGTCGATGCTAGATAGCGCTGGCCACACCTGAAGACTCCACATTGAATAGTGACACTCCCAAGACCCATATCAAAGGTCAGACGCCCTCTCTGGTATCTTCTCAGGCACTGAGTCAGTAGAGCACTCGACCAAGGTCTCTGCTGTTGTCGAATTGCCTTTTACAAGCACATGGCCGGTGCACCATCCTCTTCGGAGGGCGCAACGCCGAAACGCAGCTATACACATTCGGACTATGTCTGCGAGAAGTGTCGCAAGGCACATCGCCGTTGCAAGCACGACCCATCAGCAGACCCGACGTTTGATCCGTCCAAGATTCGCAAGCGTCAACGCCGGAAGGCGCCAAATGCACTCTGTCAAAGTCCTGGTGCTACAGCGGCGCCCGAAGCGCTCAATGGCATAGCATATACAGCCCTCATCGACACGCATTCTAGAGCATCCATGTCACCATTGTCCACATCAGGAGCGGGCGGCGCGCAAATGACCGACCAAGAGCTGTTGTCCAGGATTCGGCCAATATTTCCACAGAACAAGCCTATGCAGCAACAGCTGACTGACTTTGGCGTCGATCTCCTCAGTGCCTGCCCGCCATTACGTGCAGCAGCGGTCGCCTATTGTATGGGCTCACACAACAAGCCTTTTGTGAGGGCTGAGGTCGAGAGCCACACTCAAACGGCAATTCGCCAGAGCAGCGCCTATGCAGGTGCTGAAGGCGTTTTCACAGACTATCTGCTCGCATACAATACCTTTGCTTTATCAGGGGCCTTTACCGCATACTTTAGCCATACGGCTCGTACTAGGACAAGGTTGCTATCATGCAAAGATGCTCGTCTGTCATACCTTTTTGTGTCGGACCGTCACATCGTGGAAGGCACTTTGGTACAACACGCCGAGGACATCAAGCCCTTTCTAACACGCTATCCGGAGTCACGCTTTGAAGCGTGGCAGTCTGGCAACCTTGCTGATCTCCTCTCGCTCGTGCTAGATGCATGCAATCTGCTGACCGTCCCTCCATCAATCACAGTCAAGGATGTACTTCACCACCTCTTTTCTTTCATGGTGACTCGTCCCGCGAGATCTGATGAGGCGTTCTCCAACCTGATGTGCGAGTCTGTCTTCCTGCTATGCATGAGCAAGCGCAACAACGTGCCAACCTCGTGGCGAGACAGTCTTATTGTGCATACAAAGGAAGTTGAGCATGGCTTCGATAGCATGACCTTTCCACGCAGGGTGCTCAAGCTCATCGGGCACGACCTGGAGTCTTCCATGAGACTGGACGATGCCAAAATGCACCAAATGCGGGCGTTTGTCTTTGGCGACAGCAAGCTGACCGCGCTTATCGAAGCAACGGCATGTGACCACCCACTCATTGATCGATGGTGGCGGGAGGTAAATTGGGTCTTGATCAAGACGGAACCCGCATTGCTTGCTGCAGCCTATAGCTTGAGATTGTTGCATCTACACTGGCCACAGCGCCGTCAAGAAGCCTTCGACTACGCCTTTACCTCGAAGCAACAGGCTATCTTGGATCCTAAAGCTAAGTTACTCTTTCACTTGTTGCACTGGCTCATAACGGTTGCATCAGGCGCCGGTATTGAAGCCTGGCGACACCACTTTGACTGTAACGTCGACGCCTATGTCTCGCTCGTCAGTAATCTCGATCAGCAACCAGACTCGTTCCGGCAATACTTGATGCACGCGTCTCCCGTCATGACGTGTGCTCGGCGCGACCTCGATCACTTCCCTTTGTTCCGCGAAGACTTTGAATCGATCTTCCCAGAGGTCAATTTCATCGAGGCTGCCATCTCCTTTGGTATTGGCGAGGTTTTATCATATGTGCTACACACGACCAGGCTTTTCTTCAACGTCACTGGCGACTATCGAGCGTCATTAGCCTTGCATGAGATCTTTTTAATTGGGCCACAACTTCGCGTCCTTGTCAACAGAACGCAACCACAAGGACTCTTCCGCATAACAACGCTTGAGGCGGGTTTTGCTTTGAATTGTCATATGGCTTATCCAGGGCGAGCTGGCCCAGAGCTGCGAGAATCCTTGGCAGGTAAATTGATTGAAACAGAACGAGTCTGTCAGCGGACTTTGCATTTTATTCGGTTTGTGCTGTCTGCATTGGATGGGGCCATCTACCAGCCTATGACTGCGTTGTACTCATGACCATTGCTATCGTGAATCAGACATCAGCGCAAATAGAATTGTACCCTATAGTGAACGATTGTGAGATGAAATGACTAGGTAATGAGCTTGTTTAGCATGCGTAACGGATGAGGCTCATGCCGTCAAACACGGGTAGTAGAATGCTAGAGAGCTGAGGGTGTTGTGCAACAAACGTGTTGAAGGTCTTGATGGCGTTGACGTCTTGCTCGAACGACTCTGCTCGACGCTTCTCTTCTGGCGACTCAGCAGGCGAGCGTGAAGGCGGTCCTGACAAAACGACAGCACCACGTCGGAGAGTATTGTCGCAGACAATGAGGCCGTTTGGCTTAAGCAGCTTGCGTGTCAAAATCTGTGTCAAATAGTCCTGGTAGCCTTGCTTTTCTGCATCGATAAAGACGAAATCGTACTGCTCTTTGCCTCCAACTTGCTGCTTGTCTCGCAGAAGAGCGTGTGCATCACCTCGAAGCACACGAACAACATCAGACTTGCCAGCGGCGTGTATGGCTAGCTTGGCAAACGAGGCATGCCGCTCATCAAACTCCAATGTGAGCACACTGTCGGCGCCCGCTTCAGCAAAGCACAAAGCTGAGAAGCCTGTGAATGTGCCAATCTCAAGAACATTTTTGAAGCCGTGACTTTGTATCAGAAACATGATTAGTTGAGCCTGCAGATTTGATATCATGAGACGCTCGCCAAATGCAGCAGCAGATTCATCTCGATGGCGAAGAAGATACGCTGGCAGAGCCGGAGAAGAATGTGCAGCAGCATAATGCTCTATGGCTGCTGCATTTTGTGCGAGAGCCGCACCTTTCCATGCTCCTGCAACTTCCTTGCCAGGTCCAATGCTGGCTGGATGTCTTGATTGTTGATGCAACTGCTGCAAGTCCAAGAAGCTTGTCGTCATGCTTTCTGGTTGCATGCCAGGTGTATTGACGCCGGTGACCGGCGCAGTATTAGCCCTGGATTCATCGTCATCTGGAGCAAGTGCATCTGTGAAGTAGCTGAGAGCGTGCGGAAAGACTTCTTCAGCGAGAAGGATCGCCAAGTCTTCCAAACGCAATGCTTCCAAGCGTTCAGCATCTTCTTCTTCATCGTAGTCTGCATCACCATCTGGTTCAGCAAATTCATGAGAATGAGTAAAGCCAAAGAGCGAAAAGAGAGATAGTCGCTCTTGCTTTTTGGCAAAAGCGACAATGTCCTGACCCTGTTTCCATTTGATCGCCACAGCATTACTGCGCAATGCTCCGCCGTCAAACTTGAATGCCTTCTCAAGTACAAGAGAGTCGTCTGCGAGGTAGTTGTTGCGCGCAAATTGCATAGTCAAGACGAAATCGCGTGGGTCTTGCCCGCGGTCAATACTTAGATCAAGACAAGATTTGAGTAGATCCAATTCATCAGTCTTGATTACATCAGATAATTCGTCTTCAGCAGATAGGACAGTTGCCCAAAAACGCGGGATGGCCTGTGTAATGCGAGCGCGTTTTGCAAAGAGCGGCTTGAAGAGTTCTGCTTCTTTTGCTAGAAGCTGTAGTTTGGCTGATCTGAAGGATTCTTCAATACCAGCGAGCTTATCGACGACTGTGCCTGCCAGAGCCCTTGCTTGGGCGTCTTCTATAGCCATCTGCGTGGAGTAGTAATGGAATCATGTCAAAAGTGTCGTGTGAGCATCAAAGTGTGGGGGAACATGAAGCAGTCATAAAGAAAATTTGGTATGCAGCTACTCGATAGCAGCACCCTGACCCTGAGAAGTCACCGGTTGTATTCTGACGCGGTTGCCCAGGCGGTCAGTCGTGTACGCTGACTCGCTCTCCGCGTCGCTCCCACTCGCCAGGCCATCATCCTGTTCGCTGTCATCGTCTGCCTGTATCGCTCTATTGTCGTTCCCCTGCTCCCATACATCTGCATCTTCGTCACTGCCTGCCTTTCGACGGTCTGTATACTCCTTCTCAAGCTTCTCCATCCACTCTTCCTGCTTCGTTTGCACATCGGCCGAGTCTGTACAGCTTGCATACAAATCCAGCAGTTCTCGATTGACATCAAAGAAGGCTTCGCCCCAGCTGAAATGCGACATGATGTCTCGTGCTTGCTCTTCCTTGCCCGTGATGCACAGACAGGCAGCAATGGCTTCGACGCAATTGAGACGCAAAGGTTTGCCATAGTTGACCGGATTGGTGGCAATCAAGTAAGGCAAGAGCCGCTCACAAGGTCCACCAATCCGCGTAAAAGGGACCTCAGAGAGTCTTGCCCAGGAGCATTCGACCACAGCGACACCGCCACCAACAACAAGATGCGCATCGGCAGGGGAGACGGGCAGCTTGCCGTTAGGCGTCACGACAACGCCCGGGAACTTTTGCCCGACGCGAAGACCGAATATGAGACCCTTGCGTTCCATTTTCTTGCCTGAACAGCGCTTTGGATCGCAGTGGTTGAAGTCCCACATTGCGAGCGGTACATGGTCAGGCTTACTGTGTCCCGAAGAGGTGTCCTGGTGCGATGTATGCAGGCCTCCAGGACCCTCTGCGCCTGTCTGATGCTGCCTACGCTGTGTTCTTGACTGTCCCCGCCTGCCCATCTTCTACTATGAAGCCTCAGCACCCTTCTGCTGACTGAGCAAGTCTCGTAGATCTGGTGGTCGTTGCACGTCGTCATGGACATTTCACATTCCACCCGCAGACAACCAGACCAGCCGCCACTGCACTTTGCTCTCTGCTCGTGCCATGTCGTTTGCTAGACTGCTTCTTGCGCCGACTCTTGCAGCAGGTGCCTATGCTTCCCTGACTCCGCGCCTCGCCACTTCCCGGCGTCTTGCGTGCGAAGGGCCTGCCGCGCCGACTGCTCCATCACCCATGGCAACATCCACACGGACAGCAGGCACGCGGCCCATTCTCGATGCGCATCAATTTGCTACGGGATCCATCATTGGCATCGTGTCTGGTATGCTGCTGAAACGCCTTGGCCGGCTCTTCTTTGTCGTTGCCGGCGGCGCGTACCTGGTGCTACGTGCCCTGGGAGCCTCGCAGCTGATCCCGGAACTACCCTGGCGGCAAGCAAAGCAGTGTCTATTGAACCGTACGACTCGGCGAGATCCCGATGCGCCCGTCACGTCGAGTCCGATCTTGTCTGCGCTGACCCAGGACTTGACATTCACGGTATGTGCAGATTTATGCCTATGAGTGACACTGACAACAGGGCTCCTTCCTTGCTACCTTCCTCATTGGCCTGCTCAACACGTAGGCCCTTTCTATGCCATATAACCTATATATCTGTGTCTAAACGGGAGCTCATGCCATCAACTTGCTCAAATTGATCCTCGGCCAAATTCCCCCCGCGACTTTTGAGCATCCGACAGCAGCAACCACGACGACCACTCCCAAGAAGCCTACTCAGTCAGTAGATAGACTAGTCAACTGCAGCCATGGACACGCTTGCATACAGCCCGCTTCTCACACATCTGCTCAAATTCACGAGCACCACTGTCGGCAGGGACAAGGTCTACCGAACCATCCAATACTGGTCCCGCTTCTATGCTTGGTACCTCCTGCGTAAAGGCGCCCTCCCCGCCGAGATTGCACCCTGGTCGGCTCTCAAGTCGCACCTTGCGCTTGCTCGCAAGTTGATGCGTGTGGGCAAGAACCTCGAGCATGCACGAGCTGCCGCTGTGTTGCTGCAGTCGCCAGCCAAGGCGGACCCGATTGTGAAAGCGCTCGGTGTTGGTAGGCAGCTCGGATATGCAGGGTACCTGACCTACGATATCGCCAACTGGGTAGGCTATTCACTTGCACATGACAGTACTGACAACAGGCACACGGAACCAAGTTCATCACGCTCAAGAACAACAAGGCCATTTCCCAGACGGCCGCCAAATTTTGGTTCGCTGGGCTTTCCTGCAACATCCTTGCCGGTTTGTACAAGCTCTATCTCATTCGCGAGCAGACTGCCCGTGAATCCATCAGCTCTGATGCTGAAAAGAAGATGGCGTCGCAGAAGCTCGCAAAGGACGCCTTTGCTGCCAAGAGGCAGCTTCTCCAGGACTGCCTCGACATTTGCAACCCAGGAACCTCGCTTGGCGTGTTCAACTTTGACGATGGCTTTATCGGTCTTGCTGGACTCGGCTCTTCGTTGCTGGGCTTGCAGTCCCAGTGGAAGAAGACGGCTCCTTAGAGTCTCTCTTGCTTGCAGTCATAGTCCAGTGTTCTTTGTATCGTTTGCTTCCATTTCACTGCCCGTCCTCATCTGTATACCCTGGGCCTGTCTTGACGCAGCGTTTGACTCCATTTTTAAGATTTGCATCCACGCAAACACACCAAAACCAAGCATACAGCCGCAAAAGGTGCCCAGGCCAAGCGGCCGAGTGAGCGGAGGTTGTCGGATACGTGCTGCAGACAGTCTCTGAGGGGTTTGCTGAGACATGATGCACCAAAATGTCATTGTCGCGGCAGTACAACGGCGCTATAATAAGCTCTCAAGGCGACAAAAGATGATTGCTGCAGGGAGCATCGTCGGCACCTTTGCGCTCGTCATGTTATTGACCATCATCTTTCACAAGCGGTACAAGCTTCTTTGCTGCCACATTGTACTGACTACTGCAGGATACTGGACTGGGCGAAACCGCTGGCTCAAAAGTACACGCAACGACCAGGCGGCTTTCTTCTACCGTCATGTTTGCTCATTGTCGTCTCTTTTCCTCCGCTATTTGGTACAGAGTTCATCTCTATTCTGACTGGCTTTGTCTATGGTAATCTCGGCTTCCTTATTGTTTTAGTGGCCACCACGATTGGCGACTCTCTCCTCTTCCTCAGCTTCCGGTATGCTTTCCGCTCAAAGCTCGCTGCATTCAAGGAGCAGTACCAGAATTACGCCATCTTTGTCAGTGTCATTGAAGAAGGTGGCTTCCCCATGCTTCTGGCCATTCGCTTCTCTGCCGTACCCTCACACTTCTCCACACCGCTGTTTGCCAGTGTGCTGTCAATTGAGTATCGGTATTGGTTGTTGGCCGTGGTACTCTCCTCACCAGGCCTCTACCCACCCGTCTATTTTGGCTGGTTATTGCAACGTGGACAGTCCTCACAAGCGACACCTTGGTTGATTGGGATTGCTGGTCTCATCACACTTGGCGTCGGCGCTTATATCTACGTCGAGTATCGACGCCATCAAAAAGCACTAGGTCCACGCCTTGAAGCGCGGAGACAACGTGCAGCTTTGATGGATCTAGAGGAACAAGCTGATTTACTGCATGTCCGGAACGCAGATGAGAGTCATTTTGAGGTTCACTCGAATGAGGAGGAACCTAGTAAGCCTGCTGCGCATGGCGAGCGAGATCTTCTTTAGGCGTCTTTAATGCTTTTTCTCAATTTAATCCTCTTCGTTGATGCGCACGCTGTCTCCTTGTGTAAACTCAAGCTTCTTCTTTGAACGGCGGCGGCCCACACGGCCGAATCATGCCTTCAATCAGATCCGTCTTTGCCAATACGCGTGGAACATTGCGAGCGATGGCCATATAGCTCAAGAGCGCAGGATGGCCAAGCATGCTGGTACTAGAATCGCGGTGCATGTTGCTCAGCCATTCGTACTTCGTTGAGTCGGGGTGTAGTGTGCCAACATGGCGTTGGTGCAGCTGTTCGAGATCTAGTTGAGCACGTAGCTTATCGGCCATGTCTAGCAAGCTATGTAACGTAAATGGAAGAGAAGAGCAGGGGGAGGAAGAGGTCGAGTGGATGGATTTCGTCGTCGCTGCGAAGTTTCTTCAGATGAGACGACAACCAGAGACAACCACTTGTTACTTATTGCTCTCTGCTTTCTGCTCTGTGCTTTCCGCTGCTAGGCTACAATTGGCATGGTGTCAGAGGAACTACTAGATGGCAGTCAAGCGGCAGCTGAGACGCGCTCTTTGTTGCGCACTTTGACCGCTTATGCTCTGTACAGATCATCCATGCAAGCCATCATGCAACAAAAGCGCCAAGACTACATTGCTCTACCTGACAAGCACAAGCAGCTTCTCCCAGATCACCTGGACAAGATTCAAGTTGCAAGTGATGCCATCAGTGACAATGCTGATGTAGCCGAAGCTATCCTGGCACATGCATCCGTCACGATGCTTGGCGCTGCTTGGAGTTCCAAGTACAAAGTAGACGATGTGACAGACGCTGATATCGACAAAGTCCGTCAAACACTGAAGCAGCTTTGGCGTGATTGGTCAAAGGAAGGTCAGGTCGAGCGTGATGCATGCTATGGTCCAATCTATTGTGGATTACAAAAGTACTTGCCCAGGCAAGAGAATTACAACAGTCTTCGTGTTTTGACTCCTGGATGTGGCTTGGGCCGTCTGACTGTTGAAATTGCCAATATGGGTTTCGACTCAGTTGGTAATGACTTCTCCTACCCAATGCTGGCGTGTAGCAACTTCATCCTCAATAAAGTCATGAAGCGGAGTGCATTCACGCTGCATATGGATCCACAAGTGTTTTCAAATCGCAAGGGAAGCGCTCATGTCACATACTGTGTACCAGATGAAGTGCCCACTTCAGGCTATGCTGCTGGCGGCAAGCTCAGCATGGCCATGGGCGACTTTATCGAGTCCTTTTCGAGCGATGATCACAGGGGTACATTTGACGCTGTGGCAACCTGCTTCTTCCTGGACACTGCACACAATATCCTGGAGTTTCTGGATGTCATCAAGCGGATACTGAAGCCAGGCGGACTTCTCATCAACCATGGACCCTTTCTGTATCATCATGAGAATGCAAAGCACCGAACAAAGCATGGTCAAGATAGCAGAGCGTCTCATGATGAACAAGGACGGTACATTGGTAGTATCGAGCTGACTGCATCGGAGCTGCAGAGCGTGATGGAACAGATGGGCTTTGTCTTCAAGGAAAGTTCCTGGAATGATGTGCAGTATTTGGGCGATCGGGAGTCGAACTTGATGCACTACTACCGAACATGGTACTTTGTGTCTGAACTGGAGTATATAGACTCGAGTACCTGATGAGATATATGATTAACGAGCAGCATCGCAGCTGCCTGGGTTGACCAGTCATTGAAGTAGATGGTGAAGATGACCTCGCAGTCCATCTGAGTTTGATTTTCACTTTTCTGAGAAAGCGAAGAAGAGAACAAGAACAGTGACTACATATACATAGAGCGTAACAAGAGACCATGACTGCCAGATCAAGGGCACTCGCAGCATTGCACAGTCCAACAGAGTCAGACATCACCGCTGCTCCTGCACAACAAATCACAGTACCTTCCGTTCGTGTCTCTGGCAAACAGTGGAAACTCCCAAAAACGGCAACAACGCGCTCTCAACTCCCGTCATCGCGTCGCACACCCTATGCGCTGCGTCAGCAAGAATCGCAGCGTCAGAAGGAGGTCAAAATAAAAGAGAGCGAGTTGCGAGCTGAAGCGAAACAAGAACTGGAGAATCGAAAGCGTGCCATTCAAGAGAAACGCGAGAAGCGCGAGGAGAAGGAGCGCTTTGAGAGGCTGAAGGAGAAGATGCACAAGAAGACGGTGGATCGTATCAAGAAGAGGGAAAAGCGGAATAAGCTACTGAAGGACCGCTAGTGCAAGCATAAAACACTGTATCGAAGAAGGGCGTGCAATGTGTGCGCTGAACGAAGTGGGTGAGGTTCTTTGGCTGGGATGGCGAGATCAGGATGCTTAGTCGACTTGCGCAATGGACAGACTCGCTACTGCATCACCAAGAGTCGGCGGTCGCTCCTCTCCATTCTCCTGGATATGTCCACGCCCATGACTGGCTGCAGTGCGCTCCTCAGCAGACGCAGCTTGCTCCCTCTCCGTTGCGCGCAAGTGGTTCTGTCTGCGCATGTACGACTCAATGACCTCTGCAGGCGCCATGGGCCACTCGGAACCCATGGGGAGGCCGTAGTACGTGTATGCAAACAGATCGCGCCTGTCCATCTTGGCTTGTATGCTGACCAGGGTGCTGAAGGATGTGTGTCTGAGAGGAAGACACAGATATCTTGTCCTTGATGTCTGCCAGGAGACTGTCACGAGGCGCCAGGAGACTGAGGATGTTGCTGACTAGGTAGCACTTCCCTCTCCTGACGCGTCCTTCTCCTGTGACCACACCTTCAACCATGTCTAGTCTTCCGTAGTGATGCTCGAGATGAAGAAAGCGCTTGTGCAGTATGCCTCCTCTGATGAAGGTGAAGAGACGGCTACGTCTGCTGCCCCTGCGCTTCCCTCGCTGCCCAAGGAGCTCGATGCAGTCTATGTTGTCGACCCGCGTAAGGGACAGGATCCCGCGTTCCATGGCGGACGACAGCGTCAAGTAGCGCATACTCAAGGACTCTGGCCATCTCACATCCAACTAGATGTAACTCTCTCGCAAGATCAACGGCAGAGTCTCGCTGCATTCCTTGATGCTGCTCACATTGTTCTCGAGGAAGACTATGAGACGCTACTTGTGACACCGCTGGGAGTCGATGCAGACTTGCACATCTCCTTGACTCCAGGCATCATGCTGCCTGGAGAGCACAAGGACACCTTCCCGGAGGCGATTGTTTCTGCCGTGAGCCAGCACAAGAACGGGTCACTGCAATTTGAAGTCATAAGACCAGCAGTCTTTGGCAACATTGATGGTCAGCGTACATTTCCCGTACTGCAATTACGTCCTATCAACCAAGATGGCTTTGATACACTGATGCAAGGACTTGACAGTGTTCTGGGCGCATATGGTACTGCACCGCTCTACACAAGTAGGGAAGGCCTGGCCAGTTTGCATGTCTCCATTGCCTGGCGCAGACCAGAGTCTTCTATCCAGCAAAATCACACACGGCGCTTGGAGCAGCTCAAGCAGCATCCAGCATTTAGGCGACTACAAGGGCAGCTCTTCTCTTGCTCCCATCTACGCGTCAAGGTAGGCAACGAGCTTCATCTCATCGCCCTCTCCTGAGTGCTGGAGTTAGGGTTGACGCTCAAGAGCACAGCGACATTTTGTCGCGCAAGAGCAGGGACGTACATACAAGCGATACACGACTTGGATCTGAAGCTGCTGCTCGTCTCTTTGCTCATATCAACACAGCAGCGATGCCCATCAAGAGAAACTACAGAGGGCTAGGCCGAACCTCCTCACACCGCCAAGCACTTCTTCGCAACCTCCTCACCTCCCTCGTCCAACATGAATCCATCGAGACTACCTGGCATAAAGCCAAGGAAACACAAAAGCTAGCCGATCGACTCATCACGTATGGTAAGAAAGGCGATACACCCGCACAACGATCCCTCGCGCAGTCATTTCTGACAATCCCAACCCTTCTACCAAAATTATTTGGACCACTTGCAGAGCGATTCAAAGAGAGACCCGGTGGTTATACACGCGTTTTGCGGATTCCAGACAGACAAGGCGATAAAGCTGCCTTGGCGGTCCTTGAATTCGTGGATGGTCCAAAGGATGTACGCTTCAGCTTGACGGCAAAGACTATTGCGCGGAATCGTGTGCTCGATCAACCGCTCTCAGAACTGACACTACGGAATCTTGGGAAAGTGACACGATTCAGGAAAGAGGGTGAAGCGGCATTGGAGGAGGCTGTATTGGCAGAGAGTCAGGTGCTGAGTAAGGCAATGAATAAGCGCAAGACGGAAGAGACGTTGTTGCCGTCTGAGGAGACGGCGAGGTTCGCTTCACCAGCACAGGCGAGTGCGCGTGCAGCGCGGTAGGTCGAAGGCGATGCAGTCATCACTCTGCTGATGATGCTCCACCATGCATGGTCTAGATAGCACGACCAATTCAGCATAACATTCCACTAGTGCAAGCCTTGATCGTGATAGAGCCACGCTTGATCCGTCGCCAGCTCTTTGAATGGCTGTACAGCAGTTATAGAACGCTATCGTCTGAAAGCACAAGTACACCTTCATCAGCGCGGACGATCACGCGAGTCTCGTCTCCTTCGAGAAGAATGCGAGTCGGCGTGACGAGAAGAGCGTTCTCGCGAGTGCTTGCGTCTCTGAGGGCTTCTGCTTCTGCTGCGACTGCGACTAGCTCCTCGTCGTGTACGATCCGAATGCCTGTGGTGATGCCTTGATGACCTTGACGAGCGATGATGTCGCCTATCGCGCTCACCAGTATCCTTCTTCTCTGCGCTAGTCACCTGCGCATCCTGCCTCGACTCGCCCAGTGGCTCCATATTGGCATTCGGCGTCCTGTCAGGCACAGGCTTACCCAATGCTCTGAGCACTGCGTCAGCTTCTGCTTCTTTGATGCGCAGAATCTCTGCACGTCTCGCCTCTGCCTGCTTCTCGCCTGCCTCATCTGCACTCTTCGCTGTGCCTGTGCCAGGCTTGCTGAACCATTCGAGATCCTTGTTGGCTGCCCATCGACCGCTAGGCGCCTTGAGACTGGCGCCAAGGTAGTGACTCGCATGACGATGGTCTTCCTTGACATCCTGCCATGAGAAGCGATCACGGCCACCGCGTGTTCCTCCCCTCGGCGGCCCTTCACTCATGCAGGCCGCTAGCTACGCTGCAGGAAAACAAGAGCAAGTCAAGTCGTTGAGTAGTTGGTTGCTGGCTATGGATGTAGATGAAGGACAAAGCAAAGTCTACGCAGAGGTCATGTTGGTATCGCAGCAGGGCCCTTGAGCGGGACAAGGAACTGAAGATGCGCATCTCTGCAGTCGAGCCCATATGGACAGAAGCCCGTCAAGTAGCGCATACATGGCTTGCGACGGATATGTTTACGCTTGCAGTCGGGACCAAGAGGGCAGTAGCCCAACTTATACCAGTCGCAGATACCGTTGCGTGAGCCTGGCGCAGGGTGAGCATACAGACAGTCTTCTGCATTGCCACAGGTCCCTTGCTCCTTCCACTGCTTGCACTCTTGGACGTGTCGCATGTTGTACTCATGCAGGAACTCACAAGCGTCGGCTTTCTTGCATAGACCACGCAGCCAGTGCTTGCAGACAACAGAGTTGAGCCGGCCTTGTTGAGCGTGCGCAGAGGCATTGATGTGCTTGTCTGGACACGCTGGGCCATTGGGACAGGTGCCGCTTTGGCGAAACGAGAGGCATATTGGGCGGCGGACAGCGACGTCGAAGCGGTGTTGCGAGCGCAGGAAGCCGTCAAAGGCGAATGTATGATGCGCAAAGTCTGGCTGGATGTGGACTGGTCTCCCGCCCGTCTTGGCCATGCCTCCGCCTCGCGCCTTGTTCTTGTGTGTGTTGTTCGTGGTCAATATTCACATTCACGACCAAACCATCCTCATATACTACGTGTGCCAGTGGCTTGTGCTAGGCCTCTGCTTCTCTATGCTTCTCTAGTCGTCTATTGATCAAGAACGATACCCCTTGCTTGTCTACCAATATCAGCTCGCCAGATTTCTACAGATGCTGCTCGAATGAGTGAACCCACCGTCGCCTTCAAGAAGTCGCGGCCCAAGACAGCGTCGCGACTCAAGCTACAGCATAGCTACAGAGATGAAGATGACGAGTCTGCTCAAGAAGATGCATCATCTTCCATTGTGCGGCCCAAAAAGGTGACGAGCCAGCTAGCGAGTAGGCCGACCTTCAAAAGTGCTTTGAGTCGCAGTCGTCAGACAGAGTCAGCCGCTTCCTCTGCGCTCGTCTCTGAGGATGAGGCGTCAAGACCAGCTGCACGGTCTATCTACTCTTCTGATTACTTGTCAGATTTGCAAGGGTCAACACCCCGGACACCCGATGAGTTCCGAGTGGATTCAGGTACAACGCTTTCTATGGCGATTGATGCAGCAGATGTGCACAGTAGCGCGATACTGGATGCATATGGCATAGAGCAGCTGATGCGGCAGCGGGAGAAGCCAGCGGATACACCTGATGGCTTCATTGCAGTTGATAACCACGTCAATCGTCTACAAAGCAGTATTAGGGCTGGAGATGCCTTTTCTCCCTACGACGATGGAGGACAATCACGCATCCTGTTTGGTGCTGCTCAAGCCACCTTACAAAATCACCTTCGCAAAACGCAAATCGAAGATGCCTTCGACACACTGCAGGACACTATGGAAGCAGACGCACGAAAGTCTGCGAAGCCTGCTATCACTTTACTGAGTGGCTCTGATGCGAGTAGCAGGGATGAGGACGATGCAGCTTGGGAAGCGACGCAGATCAAAAAAGTAACAGTCCAACGAACCTCTGCTCTCGCCGGCCTCTCAACGCACAATGGCCCTGCAGTATTGACGGCTGATGAGCCGAGCATATTATCGTCGGGCCTGCTGCAAAACACCAATGCAGCGGGCGTCCGTGTGTTTCAAGGACCACCTGTACCCACATTCACACCGCTTGCTACGTTTCCTCAAATGCTCTCGGCCATGCAGGCCAAGCTTGCGCAAACACGCACACGCTTGCAGACACAGGAGCAGCAACTCACTGAGCTTGAGCAGGAAACAGCAGGTAATCGTGAAGAGGAGGCGATTATCAAGGGCAAACTGGGGCAAGCTTCTGTAGATTACCAACGACTACGTTTGGAGGTTGGAGGATTGGATGCAATGCATATGTAGATACGACTTATGAAAGAGCAACAGCAGACTCTGTCTTGAAGTCGGCCAGACTTGCCTGTTTGTAATGCTGCTGCTGCTGCGATGACATCCGACTTGAAAAGTTCCTTGCATTCAATACAGATCCCTCGACGCTTCTGATATCTGCTTTGCACTTCTGAATGCCCTTGTCTGTACTGTCATGCGCTCCAGGAGTCGTATAACTCCGCTGGTATGCCATTTCATTCAAGCTGTCAAGATACTCTTCGAATGCTGCACTGCATCGTAACAGTCCGCTGTATGCATCTGCCTCGCCATCGCTTCTCATGGTCGATATCGACGGCGTGAAATGCGTCAACGTGGCATCAGGTCCCACCGTCGCGCTCTTCTTTGCATCGTCAACAGACACCTCTTTCGCACTTGTCTCTGGTATATCCTCGACAGTCTGAGTATAGCTGTGTACGAGCAACTTGTGTCTTGTTGTATCCACCACAACACCGCCTGGTTCCTGTCGATTGATGTTGATAGCCTCTCCTGTACGCTCCACAAAGCCAGCCGTGAGATCTCTTGAACGAGCCGTCTGAGCAAGACGCGCAGCTAGGAATTGTGCCAGGATCGGACGACATGCGAGGCGCGCAACGAGAGCCGAGGCAGCTGTGAGTCCGAGGTAGAGGTAGACGAGGTTCCAGAATCGGCGCGCTGTGATGAATGGGATGGGTGGTTCGATTGATGCATTTAGAGTCTTCTGCGCAAGGATAAGAGGTTGCCGCCGCTTGCTGCTCATCACTGGGCTCTTGTAAATCCACAGTAGAAGAGAAGCGGTCGAGGTTGAGGTCGGTCATTGACTGCGGAGTCCAGGAGTTGAATCATATGGGTGATTTGAGTCATCCTTTCAACAATTATCAAAGTACAACAATTGCAACTGCCGACATTTGCCTTTCGCGATGTTTTGACGACATGCAACAGCAAAAAGTATGAAATCATAAGGTGTTGTTTGTAGCATCCACTTCGACGTCACCTCACTGAAGAAATCACAAGTCTTGGCACGCATATGGCTGCTGCAACTGCGAAGAAAATCATTTCCGATTTATACATCAGCTCCAGGGGGATATTTCTTCTCCTTTTGATCATGATCAAAACTTTCTACTTGATCGCGCAGGCGAGTATTTGATTTATACGTGTCAAGTAGCCGGACATCAACGGAACATTCTGAGCCGAGAACTTGGCCTTCGAAAGCGAGCAATCTTTTGCTTGGTTCATTTTGCAATGATAAGAAGGCCATGTTCAACTCATTTCCTTGACTCCTTTGCATCAGCCACAGGAGACTGTTCTCTCCCAAACGATACACGTCAGCCGGTCTGGTCAATTTTTAAACGGCTTTTCTCCCAGTCATAAGGGTATCTGAAACATACGACTACCGTCAAGATAGCGCATGTACAACATCGGAAAGCCCCCATTCGATGCCCGTTGCATTCCAGGAATCATGCGAAACCGAATGTAAGCAGTTCGAGCACGCACACAAAGCAACTCTCAATCAAAAAGCTCGCAAAGCGGCGCCGAGGCAAAAGAAATGCCTCAGATCAATGGTTGAAAAGGTCGTTGTGACGGCTGAAGCTTCTTCCTTGCTCGGAAGGTTTTGTCCGATCACTTGTACTTGCGAGATGTCGGTCACTATTCCGCATATCTTTATGCCCTTAGGCTTGTCCTTCACACAACAGAAAGAAGTTTCGCCGTGTATTCCAAAGGATGCGTGGAGAGACGTCTCAATAAATTTCCCAGGAAGCTCAAGCTGCCAGCCAGATGATGTTGGAAAGCTCTTGATCTTTGACGTGCCAGGGAAATGGAATCTTCAGGTGGAGAAAATCGAAGTCGCGTATGAAAGGGAGGTTTGCCCTCCACTGCGCCCCCTTACTGAAGAGGATTTGTGTTTTTGCGGCAAAAAGAAGCCTCATCTTCCCAAAGCGTCATGTCCAGCGCCGGTTTCAGTGAATGAACTGAGTCAACCTTCATCAAGCCAACAATATGATGATGGGCTCTGTCAGACCCAGCAGCAGTTCTTCGAAAACTCTGCGCTCAGTATGAGTGACGGAAATGGCTTGCCATTCGTACTACCAGCATGGCAGGCGGAATACTGTCAACCGCTGACGCTGGCCGAAATTCAGGCATGTCGCAACCATGGTTGGGAGCCTTCTCATGTAACTGGTCAGTGGTCGGGGCAAAATGGGCAATCAGGTTGGGCTCAGTCATCTGCAGCTGGGCAACATGCACAACACTGGCAAGAGCAATCATCTGGACCTGGTGGGCAACAGTGGGAAAGCCGAGGCGGTACAAGTTCAGCAACACAGCCCTCAACAGAAGGACGTCATCGTTTGACTAACGACGAAATGGAGCAATTGAAGCAGCAAACACACTGGCAAGATTCCTTAGGGACTGGCGAACAGCCTACCCAGTATCTTTACGACTTCATGTGACGACGGGCGGCTAACTAGCTTGACTCATACGCGGCATTTATTGCCATTCTTGCGACAGGCAGCCTTGTCGCCACAATCAGATTCTTTCTCTTAACCAACTCTTTAGTTTTGATATCCCAGCCGTATTTTATCCTTGAGAACTTTATCTTTGCAAACACAGATATGCGGCTAAGAGCCAGAAAGCTCGCTGTGATGTCAAGTGAGTGCTGCATCGTTATGCGTTGGCAGTACATGCAGCAGATGTCAAATATGGTTTCAACAAGCGGCAGCAAGGATCGTGAGTGGATTCTTGAAGCCATTATTAAGTAAAAGTAGAGCGCTAGAAGGAATAAAGAAGTCAAGCAGTAGCAGGAGGGTGCGCTTCCTCATTTGCTTGTAAATTGAGCCAGTCATGACGCGAGAACCTGTACGGCGCAAAGAAGGCCTCGATGGTGAAGTGTGCGATTCACGAGCGGGTGCCGTGGCTCCGCGAGTGATCAAGTCTCGCTCAATGAGTGATTCATCAGCTTCATCGTCCTCCCGGCCTGATCGTTCTTCCACCAACGGACTGTGTGCAAGGTTGGAAGTACCCAGTCTGAGTTGAAATCATGGCAGGCTGTACACCTCGTGTAGCGACTCAATTGGCGGATTGAAGAATAGCTGGACTAGTATCGACCACGCCGCTGATTGTACGCTTCTCATGCGATGTATGAGCGAGAAACTCGGCGTATAACATGCGAAGAAACGTCGTCTGCCAGGAAGAGAGTATGCTTGTTTTCCTCGCGCAAGACTTTGCCAAGACAGATGAGTAGCGATGCAGATGATCCTCTGGGCCGTATTGTGAGCCTCCTAGCCACTGCGATCAATGGCTAGATGCTCTTTTGCCGATTGCTTCTACGTTTCACTCGACTTCTTCTCCGTCTCTGCTGTGCACTCTGCTGTGCACCGTGCAACAGGCCTTCTGAGTACAATGACCATGCAAGACCCATACAAGAGCAGAGCAATGACAACGCCACCAGCAATGACTCGAAAGGAAATGCTGATCCTTGCATCGTTGAGTAAGCTGCAGAACGACCGGCGACACTGGCTTCGGATGTCGATGATGACTGAAGCAAAGACTAAGCAGCGGTCATGGGTATCACAGGAGGAGCCTTGGGCGGAACAAGGAACTGCAGATGCGCATCCTTGCAGTCGAGCCCGTATGGACAGAAGCCCGTCAAGTAGCACATACATGGCTTGCGACGAATATGTTTACGCTTGCAGTCGGACCAAGAGGGCAGTAGCCTAGTTTGTACCAGTCGCAGACACCTTACGTGAGCCTAGCGCAGGATGAGCATACAGACAGTCTTCTGCATTGCCACAGGTCCCTTGCACCTTCCACTGCTTGCACTCTTGGACGTGTCGCATGTAGACCACGCAGCCAGTGCTTGCAGACAGCAAAGATGAGTCGCCCTTGTCGATTGTGCGCAGAGGCATTGATGTGCTTGTCTGGACACGCTGGGCCATTGGGACAGGTGCCGCTTTGGCGAAACGAGAGGCATATTGGGCGGCGGACAGCGACGTCGAAGCGGTGTTGCGAGCGCAGGAAGCCGTCAAAGGCGAATGTATGATGCGCAAAGTCTGGCTGGATGTGGACTGGTCTCCCGCCCGTCTTGCCATGCCTCCGCCTCGCGCCTTGTTCTTGTGTGTGTTGTTCGTGGTCAATATTCACATTCACGACCAAACCATCCTCATATACTACGTGTGCCAGTGGCTTGTGCTAGGCCTCTGCTTCTCTATGCTTCTCTAGTCGTCTATTGATCAAGAACGATACCCCTTGCTTGTCTACCAATATCAGCTCGCCAGATTTCTACAGATGCTGCTCGAATGAGTGAACCCACCGTCGCCTTCAAGAAGTCGCGGCCCAAGACAGCGTCGCGACTCAAGCTACAGCATAGCTACAGAGATGAAGATGACGAGTCTGCTCAAGAAGATGCATCATCTTCCATTGTGCGGCCCAAAAAGGTGACGAGCCAGCTAGCGAGTAGGCCGACCTTCAAAAGTGCTTTGAGTCGCAGTCGTCAGACAGAGTCAGCCGCTTCCTCTGCGCTCGTCTCTGAGGATGAGGCGTCAAGACCAGCTGCACGGTCTATCTACTCTTCTGATTACTTGTCAGATTTGCAAGGGTCAACACCCCGGACACCCGATGAGTTCCGAGTGGATTCAGGTACAACGCTTTCTATGGCGATTGATGCAGCAGATGTGCACAGTAGCGCGATACTGGATGCATATGCATAGAGCAGCTGATGCGGCAGCGGGAGAAGCCAGCGGATACACCTGATGGCTTCATTGCAGTTGATAACCACGTCAATCGTCTACAAAGCAGTATTAGGGCTGGAGATGCCTTTTCTCCCTACGACGATGGAGGACAATCACGCATCCTGTTTGGTGCTGCTCAAGCCACCTTACAAAATCACCTTCGCAAAACGCAAATCGAAGATGCCTTCGACACACTGCAGGACACTATGGAAGCAGACGCACGAAAGTCTGCGAAGCCTGCTATCACTTTACTGAGTGGCTCTGATGCGAGTAGCAGGGATGAGGACGATGCAGCTTGGGAAGCGACGCAGATCAAAAAAGTAACAGTCCAACGAACCTCTGCTCTCGCCGGCCTCTCAACGCACAATGGCCCTGCAGTATTGACGGCTGATGAGCCGAGCATATTATCGTCGGGCCTGCTGCAAAACACCAATGCAGCGGGCGTCCGTGTGTTTCAAGGACCACCTGTACCCACATTCACACCGCTTGCTACGTTTCCTCAAATGCTCTCGGCCATGCAGGCCAAGCTTGCGCAAACACGCACACGCTTGCAGACACAGGAGCAGCAACTCACTGAGCTTGAGCAGGAAACAGCAGGTAATCGTGAAGAGGAGGCGATTATCAAGGGCAAACTGGGCAAGCTTCTGTAGATTACCAACGACTACGTTGGAGGTTGGAGGATTGGATGCAATGCATATGTAGATACGACTTATGAAAGAGCAACAGCAGACTCTGTCTTGAAGTCGGCCAGACTTGCCTGTTTGTAATGCTGCTGCTGCTGCGATGACATCCGACTTGAAAAGTTCCTTGCATTCAATACAGATCCCTCGACGCTTCTGATATCTGCTTTGCACTTCTGAATGCCCTTGTCTGTACTGTCATGCGCTCCAGGAGTCGTATAACTCCGCTGGTATGCCATTTCATTCAAGCTGTCAAGATACTCTTCGAATGCTGCACTGCATCGTAACAGTCCGCTGTATGCATCTGCCTCGCCATCGCTTCTCATGGTCGATATCGACGGCGTGAAATGCGTCAACGTGGCATCAGGTCCCACCGTCGCGCTCTTCTTTGCATCGTCAACAGACACCTCTTTCGCACTTGTCTCTGGTATATCCTCGACAGTCTGAGTATAGCTGTGTACGAGCAACTTGTGTCTTGTTGTATCCACCACAACACCGCCTGGTTCCTGTCGATTGATGTTGATAGCCTCTCCTGTACGCTCCACAAAGCCAGCCGTGAGATCTCTTGAACGTGCCGTCTGAGCAAGACGCGCAGCTAGGAATTGTGCCAGGATCGGACGACATGCGAGGCGCGCAACGAGAGCCGAGGCAGCTGTGAGTCCGAGGTAGAGGTAGACGAGGTTCCAGAATCGGCGCGCTGTGATGAATGGGATGGGTGGTTCGATTGATGCATTTAGAGTCTTCTGCGCAAGGATAAGAGGTTGCCGCCGCTTGCTGCTCATCACTGGGCTCTTGTAAATCCACAGTAGAAGAGAAGCGGTCGAGGTTGAGGTCGGTCATTGACTGCGGAGTCCAGGAGTTGAATCATATGGGTGATTTGAGTCATCCTTTCAACAATTATCAAAGTACAACAATTGCAACTGCCGACATTTGCCTTTCGCGATGTTTTGACGACATGCAACAGCAAAAAGTATGAAATCATAAGGTGTTGTTTGTAGCATCCACTTCGACGTCACCTCACTGAAGAAATCACAAGTCTTGGCACGCATATGGCTGCTGCAACTGCGAAGAAAATCATTTCCGATTTATACATCAGCTCCAGGGGGATATTTCTTCTCCTTTTGATCATGATCAAAACTTTCTACTTGATCGCGCAGGCGAGTATTTGATTTATACGTGTCAAGTAGCCGGACATCAACGGAACATTCTGAGCCGAGAACTTGGCCTTCGAAAGCGAGCAATCTTTTGCTTGGTTCATTTTGCAATGATAAGAAGGCCATGTTCAACTCATTTCCTTGACTCCTTTGCATCAGCCACAGGAGACTGTTCTCTCCCAAACGATACACGTCAGCCGGTCTGGTCAATTTTTAAACGGCTTTTCTCCCAGTCATAAGGGTATCTGAAACATACGACTACCGTCAAGATAGCGCATGTACAACATCGGAAAGCCCCCATTCGATGCCCGTTGCATTCCAGGAATCATGCGAAACCGAATGTAAGCAGTTCGAGCACGCACACAAAGCAACTCTCAATCAAAAAGCTCGCAAAGCGGCGCCGAGGCAAAAGAAATGCCTCAGATCAATGGTTGAAAAGGTCGTTGTGACGGCTGAAGCTTCTTCCTTGCTCGGAAGGTTTTGTCCGATCACTTGTACTTGCGAGATGTCGGTCACTATTCCGCATATCTTTATGCCCTTAGGCTTGTCCTTCACACAACAGAAAGAAGTTTCGCCGTGTATTCCAAAGGATGCGTGGAGAGACGTCTCAATAAATTTCCCAGGAAGCTCAAGCTGCCAGCCAGATGATGTTGGAAAGCTCTTGATCTTTGACGTGCCAGGGAAATGGAATCTTCAGGTGGAGAAAATCGAAGTCGCGTATGAAAGGGAGGTTTGCCCTCCACTGCGCCCCTTACTGAAGAGGATTTGTGTTTTTGCGGCAAAAAGAAGCCTCATCTTCCCAAAGCGTCATGTCCAGCGCCGGTTTCAGTGAATGAACTGAGTCAACCTTCATCAAGCCAACAATATGATGATGGGCTCTGTCAGACCCAGCAGCAGTTCTTCGAAAACTCTGCGCTCAGTATGAGTGACGGAAATGGCTTGCCATTCGTACTACCAGCATGGCAGGCGGAATACTGTCAACCGCTGACGCTGGCCGAAATTCAGGCATGTCGCAACCATGGTTGGGAGCCTTCTCATGTAACTGGTCAGTGGTCGGGGCAAAATGGGCAATCAGGTTGGGCTCAGTCATCTGCAGCTGGGCAACATGCACAACACTGGCAAGAGCAATCATCTGGACCTGGTGGGCAACAGTGGGAAAGCCGAGGCGGTACAAGTTCAGCAACACAGCCCTCAACAGAAGGACGTCATCGTTTGACTAACGACGAAATGGAGCAATTGAAGCAGCAAACACACTGGCAAGATTCCTTAGGGACTGGCGAACAGCCTACCCAGTATCTTTACGACTTCATGTGACGACGGGCGGCTAACTAGCTTGACTCATACGCGGCATTTATTGCCATTCTTGCGACAGGCAGCCTTGTCGCCACAATCAGATTCTTTCTCTTAACCAACTCTTTAGTTTTGATATCCCAGCCGTATTTTATCCTTGAGAACTTTATCTTTGCAAACACAGATATGCGGCTAAGAGCCAGAAAGCTCGCTGTGATGTCAAGTGAGTGCTGCATCGTTATGCGTTGGCAGTACATGCAGCAGATGTCAAATATGGTTTCAACAAGCGGCAGCAAGGATCGTGAGTGGATTCTTGAAGCCATTATTAAGTAAAAGTAGAGCGCTAGAAGGAATAAAGAAGTCAAGCAGTAGCAGGAGGGTGCGCTTCCTCATTTGCTTGTAAATTGAGCCAGTCATGACGCGAGAACCTGTACGGCGCAAAGAAGGCCTCGATGGTGAAGTGTGCGATTCACGAGCGGGTGCCGTGGCTCCGCGAGTGATCAAGTCTCGCTCAATGAGTGATTCATCAGCTTCATCGTCCTCCCGGCCTGATCGTTCTTCCACCAACGGACTGTGTGCAAGGTTGGAAGTACCCAGTCTGAGTTGAATCATGGCAGGCTGTACACCTCGTGTAGCGACTCAATTGGCGGATTGAAGAATAGCTGGACTAGTATCGACCACGCCGCTGATTGTACGCTTCTCATGCGATGTATGAGCGAGAAACTCGGCGTATAACATGCGAAGAACGTCGTCTGCCAGGAAGAGAGTATGCTTGTTTTCCTCGCGCAAGACTTTGCCAAGACAGATGAGTAGCGATGCAGATGATCCTCTGGGCCGTATTGTGAGCCTCCTAGCCACTGCGATCAATGGCTAGATGCTCTTTTGCCGATTGCTTCTACGTTTCACTCGACTTCTTCTCCGTCTCTGCTGTGCACTCTGCTGTGCACCGTGCAACAGGCCTTCTGAGTACAATGACCATGCAAGACCCATACAAGAGCAGAGCAATGACAACGCCACCAGCAATGACTCGAAAGGAAATGCTGATCCTTGCATCGTTGAGTAAGCTGCAGAACGACCGGCGACACTGGCTTCGGATGTCGATGATGACTGAAGCAAAGACTAAGCAGCGGTCATGGGTATCACAGGAGGAGCCTTGGGCGGAACAAGGAACTGCAGATGCGCATCCTTGCAGTCGAGCCCGTATGGACAGAAGCCCGTCAAGTAGCACATACATGGCTTGCGACGAATATGTTTACGCTTGCAGTCGGGACCAAGAGGGCAGTAGCCTAGTTTGTACCAGTCGCAGACACCGTTACGTGAGCCTAGCGCAGGATGAGCATACAGACAGTCTTCTGCATTGCCACAGGTCCCTTGCACCTTCCACTGCTTGCACTCTTGGACGTGTCGCATGTAGACCACGCAGCCAGTGCTTGCAGACAGCAAAGATGAGTCGCCCTTGTCGATTGTGCGCAGAGGCATTGATGTGCTTGTCTGGACACGCTGGGCCATTGGGACAGGTGCCGCTTTGGCGAAACGAGAGGCATATTGGGCGGCGGACAGCGACGTCGAAGCGGTGTTGCGAGCGCAGGAAGCCGTCAAAGGCGAATGTATGATGCGCAAAGTCTGGCTGGATGTGGACTGGTCTCCCGCCCGTCTTGGCCATGCCTCCGCCTCGCGCCTTGTTCTTGTGTGTGTTGTTCGTGGTCAATATTCACATTCACGACCAAACCATCCTCATATACTACGTGTGCCAGTGGCTTGTGCTAGGCCTCTGCTTCTCTATGCTTCTCTAGTCGTCTATTGATCAAGAACGATACCCCTTGCTTGTCTACCAATATCAGCTCGCCAGATTTCTACAGATGCTGCTCGAATGAGTGAACCCACCGTCGCCTTCAAGAAGTCGCGGCCCAAGACAGCGTCGCGACTCAAGCTACAGCATAGCTACAGAGATGAAGATGACGAGTCTGCTCAAGAAGATGCATCATCTTCCATTGTGCGGCCCAAAAAGGTGACGAGCCAGCTAGCGAGTAGGCCGACCTTCAAAAGTGCTTTGAGTCGCAGTCGTCAGACAGAGTCAGCCGCTTCCTCTGCGCTCGTCTCTGAGGATGAGGCGTCAAGACCAGCTGCACGGTCTATCTACTCTTCTGATTACTTGTCAGATTTGCAAGGGTCAACACCCCGGACACCCGATGAGTTCCGAGTGGATTCAGGTACAACGCTTTCTATGGCGATTGATGCAGCAGATGTGCACAGTAGCGCGATACTGGATGCATATGGCATAGAGCAGCTGATGCGGCAGCGGGAGAAGCCAGCGGATACACCTGATGGCTTCATTGCAGTTGATAACCACGTCAATCGTCTACAAAGCAGTATTAGGGCTGGAGATGCCTTTTCTCCCTACGACGATGGAGGACAATCACGCATCCTGTTTGGTGCTGCTCAAGCCACCTTACAAAATCACCTTCGCAAAACGCAAATCGAAGATGCCTTCGACACACTGCAGGACACTATGGAAGCAGACGCACGAAAGTCTGCGAAGCCTGCTATCACTTTACTGAGTGGCTCTGATGCGAGTAGCAGGGATGAGGACGATGCAGCTTGGGAAGCGACGCAGATCAAAAAAGTAACAGTCCAACGAACCTCTGCTCTCGCCGGCCTCTCAACGCACAATGGCCCTGCAGTATTGACGGCTGATGAGCCGAGCATATTATCGTCGGGCCTGCTGCAAAACACCAATGCAGCGGGCGTCCGTGTGTTTCAAGGACCACCTGTACCCACATTCACACCGCTTGCTACGTTTCCTCAAATGCTCTCGGCCATGCAGGCCAAGCTTGCGCAAACACGCACACGCTTGCAGACACAGGAGCAGCAACTCACTGAGCTTGAGCAGGAAACAGCAGGTAATCGTGAAGAGGAGGCGATTATCAAGGGCAAACTGGGGCAAGCTTCTGTAGATTACCAACGACTACGTTTGGAGGTTGGAGGATTGGATGCAATGCATATGTAGATACGACTTATGAAAGAGCAACAGCAGACTCTGTCTTGAAGTCGGCCAGACTTGCCTGTTTGTAATGCTGCTGCTGCTGCGATGACATCCGACTTGAAAAGTTCCTTGCATTCAATACAGATCCCTCGACGCTTCTGATATCTGCTTTGCACTTCTGAATGCCCTTGTCTGTACTGTCATGCGCTCCAGGAGTCGTATAACTCCGCTGGTATGCCATTTCATTCAAGCTGTCAAGATACTCTTCGAATGCTGCACTGCATCGTAACAGTCCGCTGTATGCATCTGCCTCGCCATCGCTTCTCATGGTCGATATCGACGGCGTGAAATGCGTCAACGTGGCATCAGGTCCCACCGTCGCGCTCTTCTTTGCATCGTCAACAGACACCTCTTTCGCACTTGTCTCTGGTATATCCTCGACAGTCTGAGTATAGCTGTGTACGAGCAACTTGTGTCTTGTTGTATCCACCACAACACCGCCTGGTTCCTGTCGATTGATGTTGATAGCCTCTCCTGTACGCTCCACAAAGCCAGCCGTGAGATCTCTTGAACGTGCCGTCTGAGCAAGACGCGCAGCTAGGAATTGTGCCAGGATCGGACGACATGCGAGGCGCGCAACGAGAGCCGAGGCAGCTGTGAGTCCGAGGTAGAGGTAGACGAGGTTCCAGAATCGGCGCGCTGTGATGAATGGGATGGGTGGTTCGATTGATGCATTTAGAGTCTTCTGCGCAAGGATAAGAGGTTGCCGCCGCTTGCTGCTCATCACTGGGCTCTTGTAAATCCACAGTAGAAGAGAAGCGGTCGAGGTTGAGGTCGGTCATTGACTGCGGAGTCCAGGAGTTGAATCATATGGGTGATTTGAGTCATCCTTTCAACAATTATCAAAGTACAACAATTGCAACTGCCGACATTTGCCTTTCGCGATGTTTTGACGACATGCAACAGCAAAAAGTATGAAATCATAAGGTGTTGTTTGTAGCATCCACTTCGACGTCACCTCACTGAAGAAATCACAAGTCTTGGCACGCATATGGCTGCTGCAACTGCGAAGAAAATCATTTCCGATTTATACATCAGCTCCAGGGGGATATTTCTTCTCCTTTTGATCATGATCAAAACTTTCTACTTGATCGCGCAGGCGAGTATTTGATTTATACGTGTCAAGTAGCCGGACATCAACGGAACATTCTGAGCCGAGAACTTGGCCTTCGAAAGCGAGCAATCTTTTGCTTGGTTCATTTTGCAATGATAAGAAGGCCATGTTCAACTCATTTCCTTGACTCCTTTGCATCAGCCACAGGAGACTGTTCTCTCCCAAACGATACACGTCAGCCGGTCTGGTCAATTTTTAAACGGCTTTTCTCCCAGTCATAAGGGTATCTGAAACATACGACTACCGTCAAGATAGCGCATGTACAACATCGGAAAGCCCCCATTCGATGCCCGTTGCATTCCAGGAATCATGCGAAACCGAATGTAAGCAGTTCGAGCACGCACACAAAGCAACTCTCAATCAAAAAGCTCGCAAAGCGGCGCCGAGGCAAAAGAAATGCCTCAGATCAATGGTTGAAAAGGTCGTTGTGACGGCTGAAGCTTCTTCCTTGCTCGGAAGGTTTTGTCCGATCACTTGTACTTGCGAGATGTCGGTCACTATTCCGCATATCTTTATGCCCTTAGGCTTGTCCTTCACACAACAGAAAGAAGTTTCGCCGTGTATTCCAAAGGATGCGTGGAGAGACGTCTCAATAAATTTCCCAGGAAGCTCAAGCTGCCAGCCAGATGATGTTGGAAAGCTCTTGATCTTTGACGTGCCAGGGAAATGGAATCTTCAGGTGGAGAAAATCGAAGTCGCGTATGAAAGGGAGGTTTGCCCTCCACTGCGCCCCCTTACTGAAGAGGATTTGTGTTTTTGCGGCAAAAAGAAGCCTCATCTTCCCAAAGCGTCATGTCCAGCGCCGGTTTCAGTGAATGAACTGAGTCAACCTTCATCAAGCCAACAATATGATGATGGGCTCTGTCAGACCCAGCAGCAGTTCTTCGAAAACTCTGCGCTCAGTATGAGTGACGGAAATGGCTTGCCATTCGTACTACCAGCATGGCAGGCGGAATACTGTCAACCGCTGACGCTGGCCGAAATTCAGGCATGTCGCAACCATGGTTGGGAGCCTTCTCATGTAACTGGTCAGTGGTCGGGGCAAAATGGGCAATCAGGTTGGGCTCAGTCATCTGCAGCTGGGCAACATGCACAACACTGGCAAGAGCAATCATCTGGACCTGGTGGGCAACAGTGGGAAAGCCGAGGCGGTACAAGTTCAGCAACACAGCCCTCAACAGAAGGACGTCATCGTTTGACTAACGACGAAATGGAGCAATTGAAGCAGCAAACACACTGGCAAGATTCCTTAGGGACTGGCGAACAGCCTACCCAGTATCTTTACGACTTCATGTGACGACGGGCGGCTAACTAGCTTGACTCATACGCGGCATTTATTGCCATTCTTGCGACAGGCAGCCTTGTCGCCACAATCAGATTCTTTCTCTTAACCAACTCTTTAGTTTTGATATCCCAGCCGTATTTTATCCTTGAGAACTTTATCTTTGCAAACACAGATATGCGGCTAAGAGCCAGAAAGCTCGCTGTGATGTCAAGTGAGTGCTGCATCGTTATGCGTTGGCAGTACATGCAGCAGATGTCAAATATGGTTTCAACAAGCGGCAGCAAGGATCGTGAGTGGATTCTTGAAGCCATTATTAAGTAAAAGTAGAGCGCTAGAAGGAATAAAGAAGTCAAGCAGTAGCAGGAGGGTGCGCTTCCTCATTTGCTTGTAAATTGAGCCAGTCATGACGCGAGAACCTGTACGGCGCAAAGAAGGCCTCGATGGTGAAGTGTGCGATTCACGAGCGGGTGCCGTGGCTCCGCGAGTGATCAAGTCTCGCTCAATGAGTGATTCATCAGCTTCATCGTCCTCCCGGCCTGATCGTTCTTCCACCAACGGACTGTGTGCAAGGTTGGAAGTACCCAGTCTGAGTTGAATCATGGCAGGCTGTACACCTCGTGTAGCGACTCAATTGGCGGATTGAAGAATAGCTGGACTAGTATCGACCACGCCGCTGATTGTACGCTTCTCATGCGATGTATGAGCGAGAAACTCGGCGTATAACATGCGAAGAACGTCGTCTGCCAGGAAGAGAGTATGCTTGTTTTCCTCGCGCAAGACTTTGCCAAGACAGATGAGTAGCGATGCAGATGATCCTCTGGGCCGTATTGTGAGCCTCCTAGCCACTGCGATCAATGGCTAGATGCTCTTTTGCCGATTGCTTCTACGTTTCACTCGACTTCTTCTCCGTCTCTGCTGTGCACTCTGCTGTGCACCGTGCAACAGGCCTTCTGAGTACAATGACCATGCAAGACCCATACAAGAGCAGAGCAATGACAACGCCACCAGCAATGACTCGAAAGGAAATGCTGATCCTTGCATCGTTGAGTAAGCTGCAGAACGACCGGCGACACTGGCTTCGGATGTCGATGATGACTGAAGCAAAGACTAAGCAGCGGTCATGGGTATCACAGGAGGAGCCTTGGGCGGAACAAGGAACTGCAGATGCGCATCCTTGCAGTCGAGCCCGTATGGACAGAAGCCCGTCAAGTAGCACATACATGGCTTGCGACGAATATGTTTACGCTTGCAGTCGGGACCAAGAGGGCAGTAGCCTAGTTTGTACCAGTCGCAGACACCGTTACGTGAGCCTAGCGCAGGATGAGCATACAGACAGTCTTCTGCATTGCCACAGGTCCCTTGCACCTTCCACTGCTTGCACTCTTGGACGTGTCGCATGTAGACCACGCAGCCAGTGCTTGCAGACAGCAAAGATGAGTCGCCCTTGTCGATTGTGCGCAGAGGCATTGATGTGCTTGTCTGGACACGCTGGGCCATTGGGACAGGTGCCGCTTTGGCGAAAAGAGAGGCATATTGGGCGGCGGACAGCGACTTCGAAGCGGTGTTGCGTGCGCAGGAAGCCGTCAAAGGCGAATGTATGATGCGAAAAGTCTGGCTGGATGTGAACAGGTCTCTCGCCCGTCTTGGCCATGCCTCTGCCGCGCACCTCGTGTAGCCTTGGTCTTGTGTCGGTTGTTCCTGCAGCTGGTCACATTCACATTCACGACCAAACCATCCTCATATACTACCTGTGCTAGTGGCTAGTCTGAATGTCTCTTCATCTATAAGGATACTCTCTGCTTGTCTACCAACACCAGCTCGCTAGATTCCCACAGATGCTGCTCAAAGGAGTGAACCCACCATCGCCTTCAAGAAGTCGCGGCCCAAGACGGCGTCGCGGCTCAAGCTGCAGCATAGCTACAGAGATGAAGATGACGAGTCTGCTCAAGAAGATGCATCATCTTCCATTGTGCGGCCCAAAAAGGTGACGAGCCAGCTAGCGAGTCGGTCAACCTTCAAAAGTGCTTTGAGTCGCAGTCGTCAGGCACAGTCAGCCGCTTCCTCTGCGCTCGTCTCCGAGGATGAGGCGTCAAGACCAGCTGCACGGTCTATCTACTCTTCTGATTCCTTGTCAGATTTGCAAAAGTCCACGCCGCGGACATCCGATCAATTCCCAGTGGATCCATGTACAACCCCTTCTACGGCAATTGATGCTGCAGATGTGCACAGCAGTGCAATACTGGCTGCATATGGCATAGAGCAGCTGATGCGGCAGCGGGAGAAGCCAGCGGACACACCTGATGGGTTCATTGCAGTTGACAATCACGTCAATCGTCTACAAAGCAGTATTAGGGCTGGAGATGCCGATGCTCCCTACGACGACGAAGGACAATAATGCATCCTGTTTGGTGCTGCTCAAGCCACCCTGCAAGATTGTCTTCGCAAAACGCAAATCGAGGATGCCTTCGACACACTGCAAGATACTATGGAAGCAGACCAACGAAAGTCTGCGAAGCCTGCCATCACTTTACTGAGTGGCTCTGATGCGAGTAGCAGTGATGAGGATGATGCAGCTTGGGAAGCGACGCAGATCAAAAAAGCAACCATCCAACGAACCTCTGATCTCGCCGGCCTCTCAACGCACAATGGCCCTGCACTATTGACGGGCGATGAGCCGAGGATGTCATCGTCGGGCCTGCTGCAACACATCAATGCAGCGGGCGTCCGTGTGTTTCGAGGTCCACCTGTACCCACATTCACACCACTTGCTCCTCTTCCTCAAATTCTCTCGGCCGTACAGGCCAAGCTTGCGCAATTACGCAAGCGCACGCAGACACAGGAGCAGCAACTCACTGAGCTTGAGCAGGAAGCAGCAGGTATTCGTGAAGAGGAGGCGATTATCAAGGGCAAACTGGGGCAAGCTTCTGTAGATTACCAACGATTACGTTTGGAGGTTGGAGGATTGCAGGCAATGCAGATGTAGATACGTCTTGTGAAGGAGCAACAGCAGACTCTGTCTTGAATTTGGCCACACTTGCCTGTTTGTACTGCTGCTGCTGCTGCTGCTGCGATGACATTCGACTTGGAAAGTTCCTTGCAACAATACAGATCCCTCGACGCTTCTGATCTCTGCTTTGCAGTTCTGAATGCCCTTGTCTGTACTGTCATGCACTCCAGGAGTCGCATAACTCCGCTGGTAGGCCATTTGATTCAAGCTGTCGAGATACTCTTTGAATGCTGCACTGCATCGTAACAGTCCGCCGTATGCATTTGCCTCGCTATCGCTGCTCATGGTCGATATCGATGTCTTGACTTGCGTCAATGTGGCAACCGGTCCCACCGTCTCGCTCTGCTTTGCATCATCAACATACACCTCTTTCGCACTTGTCTCTGGTATATCCTCGCCAGTCCGAGTATAGCTGTGTACGAGCAACTTGTGTCTTGTTGTATCCACCACAACACCGCCTGCTTCCTGTCGACTCATGTTGACAGCCTCTCCTGTAGGCTCCACGAAGCCAGCCACGAGATCTCTTGCATGTGCCATTTGTGCACAACGCGCAGCTAGGATCTTTGTCAGAATCGGACGACATGCGAGGCGCGCAACGAGAGCCGAGGCAGCTGTGAGCCCGAGGTAGAGGTAGACGAGGATCCAGAATCGGCGCGCTGTGATGAATGGGATGCATGGTTCGATTGATGCATCTAGGTTCTCCCGCGCAAGGATAAGAGGTTGCCGCCGCTTGCTGCCCATCACTGGGCTCCTGAAGATGCACAGTAGAAGAAAGCGATCGAGGTTGACGTCGGTCATTCACTGCGGAGCTGAGGAGTAGATCTTGGTCACCCTTTCAACACTTATCAAAGTACATTCATTGCAACTGCCGACATCGGCCTTTCGCGATGTTTTGACGATAGGCATCGGCAAGAACTATGAGATCATAAGGTCTTCTACATAGCATCCACTTCGATGTCACTTCACTGAAGAAACAACAAGTCTTGGCATGCATATGGCTTCTGCATCTGCGAAGACAATCACTTCCAATTCGATACATCAGCTCCAGGGGCAAATCATCGTTCTCCTTTCAGATATTGAAATCAAAACTTGCTATTTGACCGCGCAGGCGAGTCATTTGATTTCTACGTGTCAAGTAGCCGGAATCAACGACGCATGCTGAGCTCAGAACTTGGCCTTCGAAAGCGAGCAATCTTTTGCTTGGTTCATGTTGCAGAAATGAAATGGCAATTGCCAACTACTTCCCCTGACCCCTTTGCATCAGCTACAAGAGACTTCCCAATTCCAATTGATACACGTCAGCCGGCCTGTCCACTCTTCAAGCTGCCTCTCTCCCAGCCAAGGGCGTTCGCAACATACGACTACTGCCAGAACCCTTGCCTGCAATGCAGCTTATGAGGTCTGAACATACAGCTTGGATGTTGTGGGTCAGCTTCCTGATCGCGGCCTGCTCAATGCTCATATCCTTCCAAGAATTTTCCGCTGCAGAGGCCATGGAAACTGGATCAAGCTCAAGGATCACGAGCGCTGACGGCCCAGAAGAGCTTTCCTCCGGGGCCATTGCTAAGCGCGAGCATTGGTGGCCCATCACCGAGAAGGATCCCCGTTTGTGCTATGGTGCGACATTTCATCTGATTAGTATCGTGCCGCTGCCGGTTCAGGACGGCACATGCAGAACAACTCAAGAACACCATTCGAGACACGTCCCGTTACAATCATCTTCGTGTGAAGTCGAATGTAAAAACTTTGGGAGCTCATATTGGAAACAACTCGACGATAAAGCTCGCGGTAAGGGATGCATCCAATCATTCATTGAAAAGGTCGATGTGAAGCCTGAATTACAAGCTTCTTCCATGCCCGCAAATCTTTGCTCGTCGACTTGTACTTGCAGTCTGGCCATCACCATTCCGCACATCCGTATGCCTAAGGGCAGGGTCTTCAAGAAAGATGTTCAATTTTCGCCAAAGGTTTCATTGGAAAGGTGGCTCAAATATGGATTAATCACATTCAGCGGAGTGCAAACGAGAAGCTGCCATCCAGAAAATGTTGCTGGAACGTTGATCCTAAACTTGCAGGGACTACATCATGCTCAATCCGATGGTTTCGACGTCGTATATGAGATGGTGCATTGCCCTCCTTTCTTGAAGGACAAGTGTGATATGCCTAAGTGCGGGGAAAAACGTGGTCATTATCGCAGACCAGGATGTCCAGCGCCCGTTCCAGTGAAATCACTGAGACAAGCTTCATCAAGCCAACAATATGATGAAGGGCTTTGTCAAACTCCGCAGCAGTTCTTTGAAAACCCTACATTCACTATGCTTGATGAGAATGGGTTGCCATATGTACCTCTTGAGGCATATCCACCAGGAGAGACATTTGACGGATGTCCACAGATGACGGACCAAGAGATTGAAGAGTGCTTCAACTCCTACTGGAATAGGGCCCCACTTGATGCAGGTGGTCAGTCGTCGGGGCACAATGGGCATCCAGGGTCGGCTCAGTCATCTGCAGCTGGGCAGCATGCACAACAATGGCAAGAGCAATCATCTGGACCAGGTGGGCAACAGTGGGAAAGCCGAAGCGGTACAAGTTCAGCAACACAGCCCTCGACAGAAACGGGTCATGGCTTGACTCAAGACGAAATAGAGCAAATGAAACAGCAGCCGAATTGGCAAGACTCCTTAGGGACAGACTCCATCAAGGAGCAGTATCTTTACGACTTCATGTGATGAAGGTCGGCTCACTAGACTGGCCTACGCGGCATACATTGCCATATTTGCGACACGCAGCCTTGTCGCCTCAATCAGATTCTTTTTACCAACTCTTTAGTTTTGATATCCCAGCCGTATTTTATCCTTTAGAACTTCATCTTTGCGAACACGAGTATGCGATTAGGAGCTAGAAAGCTCACTGTGATGTCAGGTGAGTGCTGCATACATACGCGTTGGCAGTACCTGCAGTCGATGTCAAATATGGTTTCAACAAGGAGCAGCAACGATCGTGAGTGGATTCTCGAAGCATTTAGCAAGTAAAAGTAGAGCGCTAGAAGGAATAAAGAAGTCAAGCAGTAGCAGGAGGGCGCGCTTCCTCATTTGCTTGTAAATTCGAGCCAGTCATGATGCGAGAACCTGTACGGCGCAAAGAAGGCCTCGATGGTGAAGTGTGCAACTCACGAGCAGGTGCCGTGGCTCCGCGAGTGATCAAGTCTCGCTCAATGAGTGCTTCATCAGCTTCATCGTCCTCCCGGCCTGATCGCTCTGCTACCAGCGAATTATGTGCAGGATCGAAGGTATCGAAACTGGACTGACACATGGCGGGCAGTACATGTTGTGTAGTGACTCAATTGGCGAATTGATTGATGACTGAGCTCGTATCGACTACACCGCTGGTTGAACGCTTCTCAGGCGATGCAGGAGGGAGGGATTCGGCGTATGTCACGCGTTAGACGTCGTTTGCCAGTAGCAATGCAGATGACCCTCTGAGTCGTGATTGCGAGCTTCCTAGCCACTGCGACGGATAAGGTAACGCATCTTTTGCCGTTCGCTTCTCTCCTCACTCGACTTCTTCTCGTCTCTGCCGTGCACCGTGCAACAAGCCTTTGGCGTACAATGACCCATGCGAGACCCAGTGCAAGAGCATAGCAATGGCAACAAGACTAGAACTGACTTCAATGGAAATGCCAGTCCTTTCATCGTTGTGTAAGCTGCAGAACGACTGGCGACACTGGCTCCGGATGTCGATCATGGATGAAGCAAAGACTAAGCAGCGGTCATGGGGATCGCAGGAGGAGCCTTGAGCGGAACAAGGAACTGCAGATGCGCATGCTTGCAGTCGAGCCCGTATGGACAGAAGCCCGTCAAGTAGCACATACATGGCTCGCGACGAATATGTTTACGCTTGCAGTCGGGACCAAGAGGGCAGTAGCCTAGTTTGTACCAGTCGCAGACACCGTTACGTGAGCCTAGCGCAGGATGAGCATACAAACAGTCTTCTGCATTGCCACAGGTCCCTTGCTCCTTCCACTGCTTGCATTCTTGGACGTGTCGCATGTTGTACTCGTGCAGGAACTCACAAGCGTCGGCTTTCTTGCATAGACCACGCAGCCAGTGCTTGCAGACAACAGAGTTGAGCCGGCCTTGCTGAGCGTGCGCAGAGGTATTGATGTGCTTGTCTGGACACGCTGGGCCGTTGGGACAGGTGCCGCTTTGGCGAAAAGAGAGGCATATTGGGCGGCGGACAGCGACTTCGAAGCGGTGTTGCGTGCACAAGAAGCCGTCAAAGGCGAATGTATGATGCGCAAAGTCTGGCTGGATGTTGACTGTTCTCTCGCCCGTCTTGGCCATGCCTCCGCCTCGCGCCTTGTGCAGCTTTGCTCTTGTGTGTGTTGTTCCTGCAGCTGGTATTAACATTCACATTCACGACCGAACCATCCTCATATACTACATGTGCTAGTGGCTAGTCTGAATGTCTCTTCATCTATGAGGATACTCCTTGCTTGTATACCAACACCAGCTCGCCAGATTTCTACAGATGCTGCTCAGATGAGTGAGCCCATCATGGCTTTCAAGCAGTCGCTGGCCATAACCGCGTCGCGGTTCAAGCTACAGCATAGCTAGAGGGATAAAGATGACGGGACTACTCAAGCAGATGCGCCTACTGCCATTGCGCGGCCCGAAAAGATAGCGAGCCAGCTAGCGAGCAGGCCGATTTTCAAAGTGTTTGAGTTGTACGTCAAACATAATTAGTCGCTTCCTTTACGCCTGGTTTCGAGGATGAAGCGACAAGATCAGCTGCACGCTCCTTCAAATCTTCTGCACACTTGTGTTTGAAGGCTTGGATCAAGCTTTTTCGTAGCATCTACTTTGATGTTTCCCTCACTGGAGAAATGACAAGTCTTGGCATGGCCCCTGCATCTGCAAAAAAAACCATTCCCAATTCGACATCTCAGTCCCAGGGGCAAATTGTTCTCGTCCTTGTAACCATGATCACATCTTGCTATTTGACCGCGCATGCGAAAACTGTGATCGGTACGTATCAAATAGTCGGACATCTACAAACCGCTGTGAGCTCAGAACTTGGCCTTCGAAGCCGGCAACTTTTTGCTTGGTTCGTGTTGCAAAACTGTCACGTTCATTCGCTTTCCTGACCTCTGTGTACCAGCTGCAGGAGACTTCTCTTTTCCCAAAATTACACGTCAGCCAGTCCAGTCACTCTTTAAGCGGCCCTTTCCTCAATTATAAGGGTATTCACTCCATACGACTACCGCCAGAAAAGGTTTGCCTGCAATGCAGCATGTGGGGACTAGACAGACCGTTTGGATGTTGTGGGCCAGCTTGCTGATCGGAGCCTGCTCAATCCTCACATCCTTCCTTTATGTCCAACAATCTGCCGTTGCAGAGGCTATGGAAACCGGATCAAGCTCAAGCTTTACATTTCCTCACAACCAAACTCAACCGGACAGCGAGGCAACTCCATCAGACGATGATCTTCGACAGAAAGTGTGGCTCCTTGCGGAAGATCGTCTTTGCTATGGGGCGACATTTTATCTATCCGTTTCATTTCCACTGCCGGATCAGGACGGCACATGCGGACCATGGCTGGATCCCAATCTGATGCTTTCTCTATCCCAAGTGTCTTGCCAAATCGCATGTGAAAAAGGTAGGAAGGCATACGCAACCGATCTGCTCTCAAGAGCTATAGCTAGCGGGTTGATGGGCCCGACACGATGCATCAAATGGATGGATGGAAGGGTGAAATTCATGGCTCAAGCTTCTTTCCTGCCTAAAAATCTTTGCTCATGGACTTGTAGGTGCACATTAGCTGTCTACGCTTCGCATATTTGGATGCCCATGGCCACGAATCAAGAAGGGCAAAAAGTTGAGGTTTCGCCATATGTTTCGATGTTCATCTGGGACAAAGCTGAAGAACTTAAGGGCAGTCTCGCGAGCATTGATTGCCTCCCAGGACGTGTCGGAAGTACCTTGATATTACCATTGCCGAAACCATTTCAGTTCCTGTTTCACGGTCACAAAATCGTGTACGAGCGTGTGCAATGCCCTTCAGATGATAAAAAGTGTTACTGCAAAGACCCAAACAAATCTCATGTTCGCAAAATCACATGTCCATTGCCAGTTCCAGTGAATTCACTGAGACAACCTTCATCAAGCCAACAATATGATGAAGGGCTCTGTCAGACCCAGCAGCAGTTTTTCGAAAATCCTGCACTCAGTATGAGTGACAAAAATGGGTTGCCATACGTACCGCCCGGGGCATATCTACTAGCAGGGCAGACGGAACACTGTTCACCGCTGACGCTGGCCGAAATGCAAGCATGTCGCATGCGATACCCGGGTTGGGAGCCTTCTCACGCAGCTGTTCACTGGTCGGGGCAAAATGGTCATTCAGGGTCAGCCCAGTCATCTTGTAACGAACACGCAGCCTTAAACCTCGCATCCGACTTTCCCGCACCACATGCTCTAGCAACTCATCGCGGCTCTTCTACCTTCCGCCATTCAACGACGCTTATCACCTCAGCACGTTGCCTATCGTCCCGCGCCTAGCTCCTCGCTTCCGGCAACGCTCTGTCACGTTGTCCTTACTCGCTCTCTTACTCGTCGACGACGTCTACCACGTCGTCCCTTATTCTGTCTCTTCCTTATCTCGCAGCTCGGACATCTCCACTGGGCTCATGCAATCTCGCTTCCCCTCTTCTTTCACTGTTCACCTGCTGAGAGTCGGCTCCCGTGGGCTCCATCCCCATCATCGCCATCCGCTCTCATGCTGGTACCTGGTAGACATAAGTAGGCAGCCTTCCGCTGTCTTGTTGCTTAGTTTACAATTTCTATTCTTGTCCCCTACATCTCGCCCAAGTCCTGTCTTCAGCACAAGCATTCGTCCTGTCCTGTTCGCCCTTCGTCACACATCTGCAGCTGGGCAAAATGCACATCAATGGCAAGAGCAATCATCTGAACCAGGTGGGCAACAGTGGGAAAGCCGAGGCGGTACAAGTCCAGCAACACAACACGCGGCAGAAGTAGCTTATGGTTACAGTCAAACGGACATGGATCTTGATATGGTGAACAACCCCTTGCCGGAGGTTGGCGACCCCGGTGACCAGGACCAGGTTATCTGGGCATTCATCTGATGACGGGCGGCTCACTAGCTTGACTCATACGCGGCATTCATTGCCATTCTTGCGACAGGCAGCCTTTTCGCCTCAATCAGATTTTTTCTCTTAACCAACTCTTTAGTTTGAATATCCCAGCCGTATCTTACCCTTTCAAACTTCACCTTTGAAAATGCAAATATCCGGCTAAGAGCCAGAAAGCTTGCTGTGATGTCAAGTGAGTACTGCATAGATATGCGTTGACAGTATCTGCAGTCAATGTCAAATATGGTTTCAACAAGGCGCAGCAAGAATCGTGAGTGATTCTTGAAGCATTTAGCAAGTTAAAGTAGAGCGCTAGATGGAATAAAGTAGTCAAGCAGTAGCAAGAGGGCGCGCTTCCTCATTGCTTGTAAATTCGAGCCAGTCATGATGCGAGAACCTGTACGGCGCAAAGAAGGCCTCGATGGTGAAGTGCGCGATTCACGAGCAGGTGCCGTGGCTCCGCGAGACATCAAGTCTCGCTCAATGGGTGATTCATCAGCTTCATCGTCCTCCCGGCCTGATCGCTCTTCCACCAACAGACTGCGTGCAAGGTTGGAAGTACCCAGTCTGAGTTGAATCATGGCAGGCTGTACACCTTGTGTAGTGACTCAATTTGCGGATTGAACAATAGCTGGACTAGTATCGACCACGCCGCTGATTGCATAGACCACGCAGCCAGTGCTTGCAGACGACAGAGTTGAGCCGGCCTTGTTGAGCGTGCGCAGAGGCATTGATGTGCTTGTCTGGACACGCTGGGCCATTGGGACAGGTGCCGCTTTGGCGAAAAGAGAGGCATATTGGGCGGCGGACAGCTACGTCGAAGCGGTGTTGCGTGCGCAGGAAGCCGTCAAAGGCGGATTTATGATGCACAAAGTCTGACTGGATGTGGACTGATCTCCCGCCCGTCTTGGCTATGCCTCCGCCGCGCGCCTCGTGTAGCTTTCATCTTGTGTGTGTTGTTCCAGGTCAATGTTCACATTCACGACCAAACCATCCTCATATACTACGTGTGCCAGTGGCTGGTGCTGGGCATCTGCTTCTCTATGCTCCTCTAGTCGTCTTTCAATCAAAAACGATACTCCCTGCTTGTCTACCAACACCAGCTCGCTAGATTCCTGCAGATGCTGCTCAAATGAGTGAACCCACCGTCGCCTTCAAGAAGTCGCGGCCCAAGACAGCGTCGCGGCTCAAGCTACAGCATAGCTACAGAGATGAAGATGACGAGTCTGCTCAAGAAGATGCATCATCTTCCATTGTGCGGCCCAAAAAGGTGACGAGCCAGCTAGCGAGTAGGTCGACCTTCAAAAGTGCTTTGAGTCGCAGTCGTCAGACAGAGTCAGCCGCTTCCTCTGCGCTCGTCTCTGAGGATGAGGCGTCAAGACCAGCTGCACGGTCTATCTACTCTTCTGATTACTTATCAGATTTGCAAAAGTCCACACCCCGGACACCCGATGAGTTCCGAGTGGATTCAGGTACAACGCTTTCTATGGCGATTGATGCAGCAGATGTGCACAGTAGCGCGATACTGGATGCATATGGCATAGAGCAGCTGATGCGGCAGCGGGAGAAGCCAGCGGACACACCTGATGGGTTCATTGCAGTTGACAATCACGTCAATCGTCTACAAAGTTGTATTAGGGCTGGAGATGCCGATGCTTCCTACGACGACGAAGGACAATCATGCATCCTGTTTGGTGCTGCTGAAGCATCCGTGCATGATCGTCTTCGCAAAACGCAAATCGAAGATGCCCTCGACACACTGCAAGACACTGTGGACGTAGACCAACGAAAGTCTGCGAAGCCTGCCATCACTTTTCTGAGTGGTTCTGATGCAAGTAGCAGTGATGAGGATGATGCAGCTTGGGAAGCGACGCAGATCAAAAAAGCAACCATCCATCGAATCTCTGATCTCGCCGGCCTCTCCACGCCCAATGGCCCTGCACTATTGACGGGCGATGAGCCAAGTATGTCATCGTCGGGCCTGCTGCAAAACACCAATGCAGCGGGCGTCCGTGTGTTCCAAGGTCCACCTGTACCCACATTCACACCGCTTGCTACGTTTCCTCAAATGCTCTCGGCCATGCAGGCCAAGCTTGCGCAAACACGCACACGCTTGCAGACACAGGAGCAGCAACTCACTGAGCTTGAGCAGGAAGCAGCAGGCATTCGTGAAGAGGAGGCGATTATCAAGGGCAAACTGGGGCAAGCTTCTGTAGATTACCAACGACTACGTTTGGAGGTTGGAGGATTGGATGCAATGCATATGTAGACACGACTTATGAAGGAGCAACAGCAGACTCTGTTTGAATTTGGCCACACTCGTCCGTTCGTGATGTTGCTGCTGCGATATCATTGGACTTGAAAAGTCCCTTGCATTCAATACAGATCCCTCGACGCTTCTGATCTCTGCTTTGCACTTCTTCTGAATGCCCTTGTCTGTACTGTCATGCGCTCCAGGAGCCGCATAAGTCCGCTGGTAGGCCATTTGATTCAAGCTGTCGAGATACTCTTTGAATGCTGCACTGCATAGTAACAGTCCGCTGTATGCATCGGCCTCGCCATTGCTGCTCATGGTCGATATCGACGTCGTGAGTTGCGTCAATGTGGCATCCGATTCCACCGTCTCGCTCTTCTTTGCATCGTCAACATACACCTCTTTCGCACTTGTCCCTGGTACTTCCTCGCCAGTCTGAGGATAGCTGTGAACGAGCAAATTGTGTCTTGTATCCACCACAACACCGCCTGCTCTTGTCGACTCATGTTGACACCCCTCTCTGTACGCTCCACAAAGCCAGCCACAAGGTCTCCTACATGTGCAGTCTGTGCACGACGCGCAGCTAGGATCCTTGTCAGAATCGGAGGACGTGCGAGGCGTGCATCGAGGGATTCGGCGCGCTGTGATGAATGGGATGGGTAGTTCGATTGATGCATTCAGGGCATCCTGCGCAAGGATAAGAGGTTGCCGCCGCTTGCTGCCCATCACTGGGCTCCTGAAGATGCACAGTAGAAGAAAGCGATCGAGGTTGAGGTCGGTCATTGACTGCGGAGCTCAGGAGTTGATTTAGTCATCCTTTCAACAGTTAATAAAGTACAACATCTGCAACTGTCGACATCTGCCTTTCGCGATGACTTGACGACAGACAATAGCAAGCCATCATCATATCAGGATGCCTCGAGGTTGTTCATAGCATCTACTTCGATAGCTCCTCCCTAAGATGTCACAAGTCTTGGCATGCATATGATTTCTGCTACAGCAAAGAAAATCATTTCCAATGCGAGACATCAGCCTTAGGGGCAATTTACTTTTCTTCGTTCAAAGACAATGAAAACTTGCTATTTGACCGCGCAGGCGAGCAATACGGTTTATACGTTTCAAGTGGCCGAATATCGACAAATAGTTGTGAGCCCAGAACTTGGCCTTTGAAAGCGGGCAATCTTTTGCTTGGTTCATGTCGCAAAAAGAAGATGACAATGCCCAATCACTTCCCCTGACCCCTTCGCACCAGCTGCAGGAGAGTTTGATTCCCAAACGATACACGTCAGCAGGTCCGGTCACTTCTTCCATGGCCTTTCTCCCAGTCAGCACTGACTCAGCAGGGTGTCCGCAACATACGAGGACGGCCCGCAGAAATCTTGCCAGCGACTGAGCATATCAGGTCAGACAGGTCTCTCGGATGTTGAGGGTCAGCTTGCTGATCGAGGCCTGCTCAATCCTCACATCTTTTCACTATTTCCAGGGATATGCAGCTGTAGATGCAAAGGATCCTGAGTTAGGCCCAGAAGTGACGTGCGTTGAGGACTTAGCTACGAAACACACTGGGCGGTTGTCCTTCGACAAGGATTTTTGGGCCCTTTCTGATATCCGTACTTGCTATGGTGCGACGTTCCATCTGCTTGGTATCAGCCCTTTGCCGAGTCAAGACAGCGCATGCACGACATCGCAAGGCACCAATTCGAAGCCCGTCACACACCAAGAGTCGTGCGAAACCGAATGTAAACAGTTCGAGCACGCTCACAAAGTAACTCTCGATCGCAAAGCTCGCGTAGCGGCGGGGAAGGCAGGAAAATGCATCAGATCAATGGTTGGAACGGTTGTTGTGACGAGTAAAGCTTCCCCCTTGCCCAAAAACCCTTGCACAATGGCTTGTACTTGCGAGATGGCTGTCACTATCCCGCGTATCCTTATGCCCTTAGGCTCTGACTCCGAAGGAAAGCTTGAAGTTTCGCCGTGTATTCCAAGGAATAAGTGGCAAGACACATTAGTACGGATCCCACGTGGGCTAAGCTGCGAGCCAAAAGATGTTGGAAAGATCTTGGTCTCTGAAGTTGTCCCGAGAAAATGGGAACTTCAGGTCAAGCGTATCGAAGTCGCAAATGAGAGGGAGACTTGCCTTCCACTTGTTCGCCCTGCCGAAGAGGATATGTGTAAGTGCAGCGAAAAGTCTCCTCTTCGCAGACCAATTTGTCCAGCGCCGGTTTCAGTGAATTCACTGAGGCAACCTTCATCAAGCCAACAATATGATGATGGGCTCTGTCAGACCCAGCAGCAGTTCTTCGAAAACTCTGCGCTCAGTATGAGTGACTGGACCGGGTTGCCATATGTACCTTATGAGGCATATCCACCAGTATGGCCGATGGGGGAATGTCCAGAGCTGTCACAGGCTGAAATGGAAGCATGTCGCATGGTTTGGGATTCTGATGATGCAGATGGTCAGTCGACGGGGCAAAATGGGCATTCGGGGTCGGCTCAGCTGTCATCTGCAGCTGGGCAAAATGCACATCAATGGCAAGAGCCATCATCTGGACCAGGTGGACAACAGTGGGGAAACCGAGGCGGTACAAGTTCAGTAACACAGCCCTCAACAGAAGGACGTCATCGTTTGACTGACGACGAAATGGAGCAATTGAAGCAGCAAACACACTGGCAAGACTCCTTAGGGACCGACAGAGACCCCTTCAAGGAGCAGTATCTTTACGACTTCATGTGATGAAGGTCGGCTCACTAGACTGGCCTACGCGGCATGCATTGCCATTCTTGCGACAAGCAGCCTTGACGCCTCAATCAGATTCTTTTTACCAACTCTTTAGTTTTGATATCCCAGTCGTATTTTATCCTTTAGAACTTCATCTTTGCAAATACAAATATGCGTTTAGGAGCTAGAAAGCTTGCTGTGATGTCAAGTGAGTGCTGCATAGATACGCGTTGGCAGTACATGCAGCAGAGGTCAAATATGATTTCAACAAGGAGCAGCAAGGATCGTGAGTGGATTTTTGAAGCATTTAGCAAGTAAAGTAGAGCGCTAGAAGAAATAGAGTAGTCAAGCAGTAGCAGGAGGGCGCGCTTCCTCATTTGCTTGTAACCTCGAACCAGTCAAGATGCGAGATCCTGTACGACGCAAGGATGGCCTCGATGGTGACGTGTGCGATTCACGAGCAGGTGCCGTGGCTCCGCGAGAGATCAAGTCTCGCTCAATGGGTGATTCATCAGCTTCATCGTCCTCCCAGCCTGATCGCTCTTCCACCAACGGACTGTGTGCAGGGTTGGAGGTACCCAGTCTGAACTGAATCATGGCGGGCCGTACACGCTGTGTAGTGACTTGATTGGCGGATTGAATAATGGCTGGGCTCGTATCGACCACGCCGCTGGTTGTACGCTTCTCAGGCGATGTATGAGCCAGCGATTCGGCGTATGACATGCGATAGACGTCGTCTGCCACAAAAAAGAGGGTATCCTTGTTCTCCTCGCGCAATACTGGGCCAAGACAGATGGGTAGCGATGCAGACGACTCTCTGGGTCGTGATTGCGAGCCTCCTAGCCACTGCGATGCATAGGTCGTTGCATCTTTTGCCGATTGCTTCTCCATTTCACTCGACTCCTCCTCCATCTCTGCTGTGCACCGTGCAACGCGCCTTTTGCGTACAATGAACCATGCAAGACCCAATGCGAGCAGCAAAGCAATGACAACGACACCAGCAATGGCTCCAATGGGAAAACCAGTCTTGTCTTTGCCAGCAAGAGCCGTGCTACCGCCAGACAAGGCAGCACAGGAGACCTTGGGACAGGCTTCGCAGGTTTGTGCAGACACGACACACATTTCGTTTGCGCTGCATTTGATGGTTGCGCAACTTGGAACGACGCATTGGCTGACGCAGTCCCGCTTTGCTAGGAAGGCGTTGACCGCCATTGCGTGAATGGAGCGGCTTTCGTGTTGAGATTGGCGCGTCTTCTCAGCGGCGGTTGCAGCCTTGAGAGGTGATTTGACGGCGCAGATGATGGACTGGTGCACAACAGATGCTACGACAGTCTGCGCACCTTGCCTCTGAGAGAAGGCCTCGAGCCTGATGCTTTTTGTATGGTATGGGGGTGTTGCGATGGCTCCTGCTGTGCTTGTTTGCGCTCTCAGTTCGCGACCTGAAATTTGGAAATCTCTCGAGCGCACGGAGCAGCAGCCTCGCATGGACGCGGCACCGACCTAGAACATCACGTCACGCTGTAGCTTGCTGTTTGTTGCGTGCCAAGACTTGGGGAATAGAGCTGTAACGCTGACTCTGAAGGCCCCGTGCTACAACTGATTTGGGACTGATCTGATTGCTACTAGCTACTGTTTCAATATGTCGACAACTCCCCTCACTGCTGCTCTGCTTATCGGTATACGAGACAGCAATCTATTCCAGGCTAACGTGATTCAGTGAGTGACACTTGTTCAAGAGACACCTCACAAGACAAATCTGGCCCAAAGCTCAAAGCTGTGCTCATCGAAGCATCTCCTCGTTGGCAGATTCAACACCTGGCCATCTGTGCAGATGAGATACCAGAGATCCAAAAGCACGTACGTGGATGGGCTGCTGATGGCATCAATCTTGTCATCGCTTCCGGTGGTACAGGCTTTGCAGAGCGTGACGTGACGCCTGAGGCCATCGAGCCAATCCTGACAAAACGAGCACCTGGCCTCGTTCATGCCATGTTTGCAGCAAGTCTTGAAATCACACCTCTCGCTGCCATGGCAAGACTCGTTGCTGGTGTGTGTGACAAGACGCTAGTTGTAACGATACCAGGAAGCCCTAAGGGTGCTGTGGAGAACTTGCAGGCTATTGTCAAGTTACTCCCGCATGCTTGTGATCTTGCTGCCAATACCGTTCAGTCACGCATGGTACATGCTCAAGGAACGGGCCCTATTGAACAACAAGCTGGCCTATCGCCAAGCTTTGTCAAAGATGAGGAGTCCGGCCATCGCTGTACTGGTCATCACGATCATGCATCCGATGCAGCACCATCAACGAATGACCCGCTTGCACCCGTCACGCGACGTCAACGACATTCACCATGGCCCATGATTTCTGTTGTTCAAGCACATCAAATCATCCTCGAACAGCAAATCACACAAGCTCACTTGCGAAAGGAGAATCGATCTTTCTATGATAAGTCCCTGGTCGGTAGTATTCTCGCCGAAGATGTCTATGCAGACGATGACGTTCCGGCATTTCGCGCGAGTATCGTGGACGGGTATGCCATTCAGGCCAAGCATGGACCAGGCGTGTATCGTGTCGCTGGTGTTGCCCATGCTGGTGATTCAGCTGACCAAGTGACGGACGGCAAGACGGTCGTTCGCATCACGACAGGTGCGCCGATTCCTGACGGTGCGGATGCGGTTGTCATGGTGGAAGATACCGAACTTGACAGTGCCTCTACACAAGGCGAAGAGACAACCGTCAAGATCAACGCCTTGGCGAACGTTGGCGAGAATGTGCGTGAAATTGGGTCAGACATCAAAAAGGGAGTTTTGATGTTGAGAGCTGGCACGACATTGACGACAACAGGCGGCGAGATTGGGCTGCTTGCTTCTGCAAGAGATGCAGAGACTGGCATCTCTGTATGGCGGAAAGCAGTCGTTGGCGTGATGAGTACTGGCAATGAGCTTGTTGAACCTGGTTCCAGCCAACCCCTCAATCCTGGTCAAGTGCGAGACTCGAATCGTGCTTCGTTGCTCGCGGCTGTTCGTGGCTACGGCTTTGATGCAGTTGATTTTGGCATTGTCGCCGACAAATTTGGTACACTCTCAGCAGCACTGAAGAAAGCAACAGATCAGGTCGACTTGCTCATCACAACGGGTGGTGTGAGCATGGGTGAGATGGATCTGTTGAAACCGACCTTGCAACGAGAACTCGGTGCAACACTGCATTTCGGTCGTGTAGCAATGAAGCCTGGCAAGCCCACAACATTTGCGACAGTACCGCATGATCATAAGCCATCGACATTGGTGTTTGCACTACCTGGCAATCCTGCGTCAGCGCTTGTGACGTTTCACTTGTTTGTGTTGCCTGCGCTGCGTCGTTTGAGCGGCTACCCAGAGCAGCAACTCCATCTTCCTCGCATTCCTATTTGTCTCGATGGACCTGTCGCGTTGGACGCACGACCAGAGTATCATCGTGTTGTCATCAGTGTGACACAAGCAGGCAAGTTGAAGGCCAGAAGCACAGGCGGTCAACGGAGTTCACGCGTGGGGAGTCTTGTCTGCAATGGATTCCTGTGTCTGCCGGCAAAAACGCCAGAAAAGGAGAAACTTGATGTGGGTGATACGGTGGAAGCTATGCTCTGTGGTGAGCTGCAGCTGTCTAAGGATTAGGTCTTGCTTTTCATAGTTGAATATTCACTATTTCCCCTGAATGGTTCGCTCGTTCGGTCTTCTCCGACATTTGCATCTCTTCACCCCAGACCGACACCTCAATAGCTAGAGACCACATGCCCAAGCCAATTGTTGTGGTTGGCAGTGTCAATGTTGACCTTGTTGCTCAGTGTAAACGTGCACCGGATGCAGGTGAGACGCTCTACGGCCGTGACTTCCACGCTGGAGTCGGCGGAAAGGGTCTGAATCAAGCTGCTGCCTGTGCATTGTTGAGCCAACCTGGTCCATTGGTACATATGGTCGCTTGCATTGGCAATGACCCATATGCTGCCATGTGTAGAGATGCTATGGCCAAGCTCCATATACAAATGGACCAGGTCCTCACTGAGGATACTGCTACAGGCATTGCCATGATTACTGTGGAAGACTCGGGAGACAACCGCATCCTCTACATCCCTGGAGCCAATGAACTTTTGTCTGTCAAGCATATTGACAAGGCTGCTGCTCTCATCAGAGAAGCAGCTGTGATTGTTTGTCAGCTCGAGTCGCCGATGGAGACTGTGCTGCATGCCCTTGCACTGGCACATGAAGCTGGTGTGCCTACGTTGCTCAATCCTGCACCAGTGCAAGCACTGCCACATTCGCTCTACAAGCAGCTGAGCTACCTCATTCCAAATGAAACAGAAGCGGCTTTGCTATCTGGCATGAAGGTAGAGACACCAGACGATGCCATTCGTGTTGGCGAGCACTTCCTTCGTCTTGGTGTGCAAGAAGCCGTGATAGTGACGCTCGGCGGGCAGGGATCTGTGGTCGTGACCAGAGATGGATCAACCCATGTACCCAGCAAGAAAGTCAAGGCTATTGATACGACTGCGTAAGGCCCTCCTGTACTCTTGTGATTACTGCTAACATCGCCCAGAGCTGGGGACTCCTTCATTGGCGGTGTCTGTACTCAACTTGCCCAGGGAAGGACATCCATGCAGCTGTACAGTATGGGACAGCAGTGGCTTCTATCACCGTGACACGCTCTGGTGCAAGCAGCTCTATCCCGTCGCTGTCTGAGGTAGAGAGAAGTATGCAGTGAAAATAGCCAAATATATGTGACTGCTTCTCCACCCCTTGTTCCAGCCATCGAGAGCGACAGCGACAAACAACCAGCTCCATACTCGAGCGATTCCGTGAGCTGAGCCTAAGGAACTGCGTCGATAGCTCATTCTGATCATGTCAATCAAGCTCATGAACCCTCTCGTTCGCCTGGTGGCGCGTAACCCCGCGCAAGTCCGCGCATTCGCAACACAGCTCGGGGACGCGCCTACCCGACCACGCGTCAAGAAGGACACAAGCCTCAAGATTGAGAAGGACCCAAAGCTCAAGAAGCTCAAAGCAGTGGCTGTGCCTCCTGTTCAACGTGCCACCAAGCAACCACCCAAGGGCGGTGTAAGCGCGTACACGCTCTTCATCAAGAACTATGCAAGTGAGCGTAAAGCCGCTGGCGAGCGCTTCGCCTTGACGGATGCGATTGAGGCGTACAAGAAGATGCCCGAGGAGGAAAAGGCAAAGCTGCTTGAACAGGTGCCCAATGTCCTTGCAGAGCGCAAGAAACTCTACGATGCCTTTGTCAACAACATGTCTCCCGCGGAAATCGCTGCCGAGAACAAGGTCCGTGCTGGTCTTCGAAAGACAGCATTGGCTAAGGGAAAGTCTGTCTCGAGCAAACTCAAGAAGATCAAGGACCCAAATGCGCCTACTGCGCCATTGAGTGCTTGGATGCGTTTCCTGCAGGAACGCCGATCGTCTGGCGCGTACGAAGACTTGCCCATGATTGAGATTACAAAGCGTGCGTCGACGGAATGGCGTGAGCTGAGTGACGAGGCCCGGGCCAAGTACAGCGAGGAGGCAGCCAAGGGGTATGAGGCATACAAGAAGGCGAAGGACGCGTACTACGGCCAGCAGTGATTGGGAATTGAATTGTAATACTTGAATCTGCTATGTGACATTTGTCGTCTGTCTCATCCCCTTCTTCACTCTTGACCCTCTCGAGCATCTTGATTCTTCGCCATCTTAACCCTCTTGACTTGCAAATGACGACGACGACCTGCGACGACCAGCGACAACCGCGGCCTTTTACGTGAAACATCCTCTCCAGGCCATAGACATCCTTCAGAACCAAGCCAGAGACCTCTTCTCTCATTGCGCACACCGCAAACATGGCTGCTCCAATAGCCACAGCGCAAGCAACACCCGCCATTTGGCAAGCTGACGAAGCCGTCGCCTCCTGCCCACTCTGCAGCACGGCCTTCAGCTGGTGGTATCGCAAACATCACTGCAGACGCTGTGGACGCGTCGTATGCGCTGCTTGCGCCAGTAACTTTTGCGCACTCAAAGCGCATGCTATCGTCCGACCACCAGGCTATACTGCTACCAGTGCAGACGAGGCGGCCGTGTCATTGGCTCGTCCTTTGTCGCCTACATCTACACATACCTCTCCTCTGGCTTCTTCATTCATCTCAACAGAAGCAGTGGAAGAAGTGCGTTGCTGCGATGCGTGTTTCTCACATCTCGAGCAAGACCGCTGTCGTCGTATGCTCGGCCTCGATATCAGCAGTTTGGATCCGAGAGCCGCTGCGCAGCTCATCAGAGAAGTATCGACGCCAAGTGGATTAGCGATGCTAGCGACGCCGCCGCCTTCGTATTTCCATGTGCCTGCGCCTGCTAATAGTGGTCGCGGCCAGCATATCACAGTTGAACACGAGGCCTCTGTGCGTTCACATCGGCGAAGGAGCGGAGATGGGCAGGAGAGCATGGTAAGGGATGTAGCTGGTCGTTCGCATCGTCATGGTCATCGCCACAGGCGTGAATCTAGTGTGTCTGTATTGCATCGTCCCGGTGCACCCTCTTCGGCACCTGTTGGAATGCAATTAGCCGTGCAAGCTACACCACTCCGTTATGTTGCCTTCAAATTGACACTGCAGGACAAGATACTCGGTGAGGAGTGTCCCATCTGTTTTGAAGAGTATGCTGAAGGCGAACATGCAGCACGCCTCGAGTGTTGGTGTGTCTTCCACGCACACTGTATTGAGGCTTGGCGAGATACGAAGGATGGTACACATGGCTGTCCTTTGCACTTTCACGACTAGAATGACAAGGCCTTGCAAGTCAACTTATTTGTATCTACTTAGCGTTTGGCTCCTTCTTCATAGCGATTTTGGCAGAATTTGAACTTTCACCACAACCAACCCCCTCTATTGTCTATTGTGAAGCTTAGATGCTCAAGAGAGGACCGTCCGTTCAGCTATGTCGGGTATGCAGACGAAGCTATGCAACAGCTACTTCGGCTTGGAAGACGACGGTCGGCCTCGAGCTTCATGCTCAGCTAGCTACACCGCTCAAGCTCTTTTCACAAGCTCGACAACGCTTCGCAGGTCCTGCAAACCAAGACATTGAGCCTTTTGATATTGCTTTGCCAGGATCTATGCCGCACTTAAACACACACGCAGTGCTACTTGCTGTGCGTGCTGCTCTTGCTCTGCAGTGTCAAGTCAACATGAGCTCGACGTTTGATAGAAAGCACTACATCTATCCAGATCAACCAGCTGGCTATCAAATTACACAGCACTACAATGCCCTTGCACACGCTGGTCTCATCCACCTGTCATCTCGTGATGAGTCAAGTCTTCAGCAAGAAATCGATGTCACCATCTTGCAAATCCAGCTAGAGCAAGACACGGCCAAGACTCTCTATTTTGAAGCACATGATGCAGCAGACCCATCCAGCACCGATGAAATTCTCGTCGATGCCAATCGTTCCGGCTCTGCGCTCATTGAAATCGTTACAGGTCCAGCATTACCCTCCGGTCGTGCTGCAGCTGCTTGTTTGCGCAAGATTCAAGCGATTCTCAAGGCCATTGGTGCGTCTGATGCAAGTATGGATACAGGCGCCCTACGCTGCGACGTCAATGTCTCGGTCGCCCATCAAGACCAGACAACTCCCTCACAACGCGTGGAAATCAAGAATCTAGCGAGCGCACGAGCAGTCATGAATGCAGTGGATGCTGAAGCACGTCGACAAATTGAAGAGCTTGAAAGAGGCGGTATCATTGCTTCAGAAACACGCGGGTATGATGTGGCAGGCGGCATAACATTCAAGATTCGCGACAAGGAGACAACAACCGATTATCGCTACATGCCTGAATCTGATTTGCCACCGATTGCGCTCGACGACATTTTTCTGGCTACTTGTCGGAAGCACTTGGCAGAACTTCCCGATGCAGTCCTAGACAGGTTGACGGCTAAACCATTCTCTTTGCAGCTTAGAGATGTACGTGTCCTGGAGGCAGACAGGAACTTGCTCGGTGTATACGAGGATGTCCTTTCAACTGCTCAGACTCGACTGGCAAACAAGGTGGACAAGAAGGCCATGGACAAATTGCCACGTACCGTCGCGGCGTGGCTTGTGCATGACCTAGTCGGCCGGCAAAATATAATTCGAGAAACACAACCTGAGGCATCAACAGGGGATCTAATGCCAACGACGAAACAGCTTGCTGATCTCATTATCAGTGTCATTGCAGGTGACATCACCCGGCAATCTGGCCAGCAAGTTCTAAGCATGTTGCTGTCGCAATTTCAAGCAAGTCAATCTGTTCAGTCGCTCGTCGAACAACATGGGCTGGCTCTTGCACAAGGCGATGGGGCCAGCGCTGCTTCACATGCATTAGTGAAAGAAGCATTGAAGCAAATCATGCAACAAAATCCAGCGCAAACGGCCAAATTACATGGTGGAGATCCAAAGATTGTCAATTGGTTTCTTGGACAAGTGCTGCGACGCATCAAAGGGTCAAGTGCTGTCAAGGATGTTGAGGCAATCATTATTAAAGAACAGCAATTCAAATGATATTCTACAACCTTCTCGACTCCCAACGCATTATGTGGGTTGCCTTTTGCTGACCTACATGGTCAATTCTGACTGGACGAAAGTACATCAGCTCAGCCTTCTCTTCATACACCACCTCTGGTTCGATCGGCTTGCGAGCAGGCATGGTATTAGCATGTCTTGGCATCAACGGCATTGTCCTTGGCACAATAGGGCTGTCACTGGCAACACTGTGCGTCGAGTACTGGGCTGGTGTGATAGAAACATGCGAGATACTCCCAACAGGCAACGTCACCTTGTCATGGTTGCTGTGTGCTTGACGGGCACGCATCAAATCATACTGCTGCATACACTCTTGCTTGTATCGTTGCATGCTCTCCTTTTCTCTCCGCCTAGCCTTGGATGCTCTGTACGCGGCAGAATCTGGCGATTTCCCTTTATCAACTGCACTCGAAGGCATGGTGGGAGCTTCAGACGATGAAACATGCTTGCTGACGACTAGGGGTTGCACATTTCGGTTGGGCTCGCCATCTGAACTCGCCCCAGGTATTTGTAACAAGGCCAAGGCTTCTTTGCACAGATCAATCTGTGCTTGCAAGACGGCAAGTTTCTGGTCAGCTTCAATGTTAGCTCTTTCGAGCAAGTCCATGCGTACGCCATGTTTGGCAATGACAGATTCATGTTGCTCATCTCGCTGAGCCATTCTATCGGCAATCTTATCACGAATGTCGAACTCCTCGTGTACACTGCGACGTTTGATTTGCAGCTCATCCAAGCGGGTTTGCAACGCATCAAGTCGAGCCTCAAAGTCAGGAGAGTGGTTCTCTGGAGTTTCGATAATCTGTGGTTGACACTGGGCAGTAAGCGAGCTTGTTGAAGGCGGTTTTCCTGCATGTGCTTGCTCGCCATTCGCGAATCCTGTGGCATCTTTGACTGGCATTTGAACAGGCAATTCTGCTGGCATGCCCTCTTGAAGTCGACGCCTGTATTGAGCAAGCAAAGGTGAAGAGCCAGAACTGCCCGCAAGTCTGATGTCGCCCGTCAGTCTGACTTTAGCTGCAGAGGTTACATGACTGTCTCCTAGATCATCGGATGAAGTGTTGATCTGCGTGGCATCTGCGGCATCATTGGACGGATTAGCTCGAGAATTCTTCGATCCAGAGGACGCCCGTTGCATCGTTGCAACGTTGAAAGCCAGAGCGTCCTTCAAGCCATTCCAGTCTGCGCTCCAGAGATCAGATATGTTGTAATCCATCAAATTGCTCACTTCATCCTGGCCCGCTGCGTTTGAGCTCACGATAGCTTGCATGCTCAGCAACCTGCTGCCGGCACTATGCTTGGGAGAATGCGTCTTCATATGCACAAATTTCACAGATTGTTGCGATCTGTCGCTTTGCAGCGCTCTCATCGGTGTCAATGTTGAACGAATGGTATTCGCAGGCGTCGGTGCTCGTCTTGGCTGGTCGACAAATTCTTCTGGTCGGAGATACTGTACGCGGACTTGCGACTCTGGATACCGACTAATCCTCAATCTACTCGACATTTCTTCCTTATGGTGGGCTTCTTTGCGCTTCTTTGCTCGAGAGCGGAACATGTCGTCAGGGAAGCAGATGGGTCTGGCGAAAAGGATTCTTACCCATCTGAAACACAGCCTTGTTTCATGTCTGTGGTTTGTGCACCAAAGTATCGCATTGGATGCACTGACCATCGCTCTTGGACCGACGTCTGATCAGGCGTCATCGAAACAAAGAGCTCCTTTGCGAGATGCACAGTAAGGTGTGAGTGCCATCTAACGTGAAATTTTAAGTCGCAATTGGCTATCTCAGGCCCAGACAGTAGCATCGGCCGTGGTTTCTTCCGCGGAAACACATCTCCTGCTTAGTCAAGCAGTGTCTCTTGGACCTTGACATATCAAGTTACCAAGGCCAACACTTGCTTGTTGAGCAGCTATCGACTGAAGGTGAGGTCGCTGCCGCGCAGTGAACATGGACAAAAAAGGGGTTTCTCATTTCCCACCTCCTCAGTGACCCCCTCCTATTTCAGTTCACCCACTCACATACTTTCTTACAACTTTGTACTGCCACGTCAAGACAGTAGAAGCGATATTCGGCATGTTGTTCACCCTTCTCTGCGCTGCGGCCTACGTAATTTGCGTACATGCTTTGTCCAGCCTGCGCTTCTATGATAGTTTTCCATCCGAGATCGTCTCCCTCAAGGACTCAATAATTGAACACGGCACAATTACGTCTGCAAGACAGCTGATGGACAGGTTTCAGGGATTTTGCCCAACTACCGCTGTTTACCGCGAATTTGTGTGGGACAGAACGACTTCTGGATCACTTGCCAATTCGATCAAAACTTTGAAAAACTATGGCGAGGAGGCATTCATTCATTTCGCTGAGGAATGTAAGTAGCCTATGAAAGGTTTTGCGCAAAGGCAAAAGCATGTCTTTCTTTGCAAGTTGATTTAGACCGATTGTATGCATTCGCTTCGAACAAATAATTCGATTCATGTCGGTACAATTGATGGGCCAGTCAAATCGTTCTCCGCTCTGGTTTTCATGTTGAAAATTGATGGTGCCAAAACTGGTCAGCATCTTCTTAAGACATGGCAGAAGTCTGCGGCGTGAAGAAGGAGGACTCGCAAACAGATGACTTTACCCTTTACAATAATCCCGTGTTCAGTAACTTAATTGCAGGAACATCAAGAAACCCAGCACTTAGAGCATGGAGAATACTTTTACTAGAGCGGAAGCCGGCGCGAAAGTACTCAAGGACATGTCTAAATCTCGAAACTGCGTTATCTTTACGAAGCTGTGCTTGCATATGGGGAACCTGCAAAGCTTGGCTACGGCCGTAGGAGCCGTCGTTTCATAGCTAGTGCCTTAAGCAATATAAAGCAGCTTTAGCCCAATTTAACTGATGATACAATCTGACCTCTGATTCTAGCCCCTCCCATACGCATTATTGCCTCTTCCCATTTGTCCGGCGCATGTCTCGTGGTATCCTTCCTGTTGAGAGGTTTCGCCTCGGAAAAATGTCCAATCTCATCTCATGAAATTAAGATGATCGCAAATGTCACTTCAGAATCTCTTGACCCCTAGAATAACTCAAAAGTCTTGTCAGTGATCCGCCTTCCTGCGTCTCAGGAAGTCGTGGTCAGAAGATTGCTTGGCACTGCAATTACAGCTCAGACATCGATTGCAAATGATGAAGCATTGAGGTAACATCATTTCCTTGTGCATCATTTCGCAATTTCCGCTGTAGATCAGTACCAGCGGGAGGTCCCTGCAGTTGCAAAGTTAGTGGTCTTAAATTAATTCAATCAGCAACAGTTCCAAGGGAAGCTCATTTCCTATGTTTCAATGTCCAAAGCATGGGTATACGAGTCCCTGGAGTCCCTGGATATAAAATTGTCGAGTATCCAATTCTCTTTTGACTAATCAGTCAATCTTGGCAGGAAGAATCATGACATCCTTTGAGTTGACTACCCTATTCTTTGCTGTGATACATGCAGCATGCGTGTCTGCTTTGGTCTTATCAGCTCGCGTTACTTTACACCAGGGCGATTTGGCTCCAATCAAGCAGTCTTTACATCAGCATGGCGACTTTATCTGTAAAGCAGCCAAAGTAGGTGGTATAATTGAGGTCTTGAAAACAGATGTCCTCTACAAGGGCCTTTTGTGGCGCTACTTCGCTGGAAAATCTACGGGAGCCCTCGTCTTCTCGCTACAGCCGCTGAAAGGTGATCAAGAATTAGCAAACCAGCATGCACCAAAATCCTGCCAGGGCTCCAAGCAGGTTTACTATGTAAGTCGAGTGGATTAAAAAGGTTTGCTAACACAAGACTGTCTTCGATACTCAATGCGCTGTCGGCTCTGCGGGCGGATCGAGCAACACATGTACTGTAATGGTATTCATGCTGGGCTCCAAGATCGTCCCTACACCAAACGCTGCTAGACCTTTCAAAGACATGAGTCAAGTCTGCGGTGTCAAAAAGCTGGACAAGACTTCCAGGACGGCTACATCCCCAGATGACATTGAGCTGTACACGCACGGTGACTTTTGTTAGAGGCGAAAGTGCTACGAGCAGTTTCTCGTAGCAACCGTATCTATAGATTCTTAAGCTTTTGCGTGAGGTAAACCTACGAACTCTGGCTGTCTGTCCACTCGAATGGTTTCCAAAAGAATGACTGCGTAAAACTAGTTGAAGTCTATCTGTTGAAGCAGTTTGAGACATGGGCAAAATATCATTGACTGACCTCTGCACTCACTCGTCTTGTCTTCAGCTAGAATCTTTGGTCATGTTTTCATTTACACCTCCCTGGCTATCGCTACCTCCCCTAAATTATATGCACTCCTGACACTTCTCCATTACGATGGCTACTAAAACTCTTAGCAGTATCACACGGACCGGCGTGTTCTCCTTCCTGATGCGGCCTCGCAAGCATCGCGCTCACCTCGCTTCATGGACCACGCTCCAGCGTCACGCTCGCAAGCATCGATGTCACCTTGCCTCATGGACCGCGCTCCAGCGTCACGCTCGCAAGCATCGATGTCACCTTGCCTTATGGACCGCGCTCCAGCGTCACGCTCGCGAGCATCAATGTTACCTCGCCTTATGGTTCTCGCACAGACACATCACGCTCGCAAGCCTTGATGATCTTCTCCCGTAGCCTCGGCGTCAAGTATCGATGCGCTTTCAGGGTCTTTGCTATCGCCCACGTCTGTCTCGTCTATTCCTCGCTCGAGGCTGGCAAAGTATAAAAGGAGCGCTTCTCGCACCTTTTTAGCGTTGTCAGCAACATCAATTGATACTCAATACTACTAGCTGTTTGTACAATCTCTGTTGCCAAAATCACACTCACACCACGCTCCTTGTCTCCATTGATACACCTTGCCTCGTCTAGTCGTGATCGCTACATGAGTTCCTACCTTCGGAGACTTTTCCACTTTGCACCAGCAGGTGCCTGGTCTCATGGATGAGATGCAGCGCCTCGGCGAAGCCAATGCTCGACTCCGAGCGACAGTCGAGGTCCAAGCTCCAGCACGGGAAGACTTCAGCTTCACGGCGCGTTGAAACGTATAAAGTTGTCGTTACTCCACTGGACTTGACAGACAAAACCGAGATCTTCGAGCCCAGGCGCACGCTCAACTCGACCTTGAGAAAGCATTTCGCGGACTTCTGCGACAAGGTCATCCGGTGCGACGAGAATTGTTGACGGGTTGGACCACTACCTTTCGGGCGAAACGCTATTCCCTCCGTCCTTTGGCAAGCGGCTCCTCGCTCTTCCGGAGATGTCCCCATGTAATGATCACAACTGGACGAGGCAAGGCGTATTGATGGAGACAGGGAGCGTGGTGGGTGTGGTTTTGGCAACAGAGACTGTACAAATGAAAGATAGTATTGGGCATGATGTGTTTGTGCGAGAACCATAAGACAAGGTGACATCGTCGCTTGCGAGCGTAACGCTGAAGCGTGGACCATGAGGCAAGGCGACCTCGACGCTTGCGAGCGTGACATGTTGGATCGTGGTCCATGAGGCGAGGGGAGTGTGATGTCGGTGGAGATCGCATCAGGCAAGAGATACGCCGGGCTGTGTGATCGTGCTGAGGGCTTGGGTGAACCATCGTGATGGAGAGGTGACAGGAGTGCAGGGATTCAAGGAGAGCTAGAGAAAGCCGAGGAGAGGGGAATGAAGACGAAGTGACCCAACATTTTAGCTGAAAACAAGACAAGTGAGCGCAGAGGTCAGTCCGTGACAGTCTCGTCCCACGGCGTATTCAAGATGTTGACCATCAACCAGCGGCAGAAGAATCAGCTGAACGACCAGGAGAGCGACGTCGCTGGTGGCTTCATGGTAGACTTCAACCAGATTGCGGTGAAAGAGGTTGAAGACTTTGATGCCAATTTCAGGTCGTAGGGCAAGAGCGCCAGATGACACATTGAGATGTATACGCACGGTGATTCGTGTTAGACGCGAAAAGTGCTACGAGCGTCTTTTCATATCGACCGCAGCTTCAGCATCTTTTGCCTGAGCATAATTCACGGACCCTAACTGCATGTCGGCTCAGCTTATTGTAAGAAAAACGGTTGGGTATTCCCGGACGAAGTCTATCTGCTGAAGCTGAGTGAGGCATGAACGCGAGCTGAGCTAATATGCATAAGCGCTCCAAGAAGCAAAGATCAAGAACTCTGTGAGCTTCTTTTTTCATACATCGGAAGATCAGTATCAGGTGACTCCCAATGATGCGCAATAAGGCGTTGTGGGAGGGAGCAAGGCGTCCTCGCGTCGTCCTCACCAGAGTCACCGTTTACACGACTTCGAAGTTGGCCTAACCCAGGAACTTTCAACATTGGACCATCACAAGCACCTCAGTGACCTCACATCCTTGTCCTGGCAATTGTACGAGTGCTGTGATACGCAGTCTACCTGAATATCTGCTGCAAATGATCAGCAAGCTTGCTCTGCTTATTTCTTTGCTCTTCATTGCTCATGCAAGCTATTCAGCGTACGAGTATGTCTCGTATTCAAAGCGGCTCAAGGGCACAGACCCGTCTATTCCTGCCGACGTACGCTGATGCTTCCGCGAGACTTCACTAATAAAAGATTGTCCTAGAGCTTGTTGTATCGGCTGTCATCTTCTGCATTGCTTCAGTCACACTGGCGGACCCGCTCAAAGTGGTCATGCGCCATGAATGGGCAGCCACTCAATCGTACGCTGGCCTCTTTGTGCGAGACTGTGGATTAACAAGCAGAGTGCCTGCATACCGCAATGGCTTTATGGATATTCGGAAGCTGAGACGAGACTACCAAGTACAGCATGCTTCGAAGTAATCTACTCAGCTAGTGCTCAAGCATCACATCCTTGCCCGGCTCCCAATCTTGTGCTGCTTTTTGAATGTTGAGCCAGTAGCGCAGTCTGACGGCACTCTTCTTCGCCTCAGCCAAATTGTCTGTTGCGAAATGCTGTTCGAGCATCTTGAGCTCATTCTCAATCCGCGAGGCCGTATCATGCTTGACTTCATCCAAATCAGCCTCTGATGTAGCCTCTTCAATCGCTTCTCGTGCTTCCATAACAGTCATCAGTATATCAGCGTCTGTCAATGACTCCCCCTCTGCCGTCATGTCGATGCCACGCAATGACAGCAGGTACTCTGCCCGACTCAACGGCTTTTGCAGCGTTGTATAAGCTTTGTTGAGTAAGGAACTTGTTGACTCGGCCAGCTGTCGATGTTTACCTTCCCCACTGCCGTGTAAGTCAGGATGAACAGTTTGCTGTAGTTTCAAGAATGCTCTTCTAAGCGCGCGAACATCGAGCTCGAAGGAACCCTTGGGTGGCGCTGGCCCAAGTCCGGGAAAGTAGTCGTAAAAGGAGACTGATGCTGGCATGGGACAAGGAGTAGCACAGGAAGAACAAGTGAGCCGTGCAAGCGGTTGTGGCGATCCACAAGCAACGCAGCGCTTCAAGGCTGACTGGTCTTTTGTCTGGGAAGCATGAGCTGGTGTGGCAATGAAGCGTCTGATGGCTCGAGTACAGAGTAGACTTCTATGAATTCTTGACGCAGTAGCAGCAAACAGAACCCTTTTACTCTGCATGATCTAGCAGTCTATCGAGCACAGAGAGACCTTCAGCAGCTCAGCTAGTCTTTGACTTGTAGTGCAGACAGTCGGCGACTTGAAGTTCAGAATTCGCGACCAAAACCAAACACTCCATCAAACGTAGCGGACATGGGCTCGCGGCCCTTGCTCTCCTTCCTCTACCCAGCCTCTGCGCTTGTCAGGCAGCGTCTCACATGCTCATCTGCATCGCGTAGACTCTTCTCTGGACAGCCACCGACCATCATCAATGCTGGGCCACCAGTCGACAGTGGTGCAGGCATGGTTCTATCGCCTCCCATCAGCACAACCAGCAGCAGTAGTAGCAGTGGTACCAGCTCTGGCAGCGGAAGTAGCGGAGGAGGAGGAGGCGCCCCTCTTGCATCTGCTTTGACTGCGTCTTCGGCCAGAACGCCAGCTGCATTGACACACTACTTTGATACATTCCACATTGTCACGCGTCTTGAAGCGTCTGGCTTCGAATATGGTCAAGCCGTTGCCACTATGAATGCCATTCGTGCACTACTGGTTGCAGAAACAGAGACGTGTAAAGCAGAAATGCTGTCTCGTGCAGATCTAGAAAATCAGAGCTATCTGTTTCGTGCAGCCATGTCGGAATTGCTCTCTGAGATCAAGATCCTGCGACGCAATGAAGCGATGCAACTACGACTTGATTTGCTCACCTTGCAGCGCAAGCTAGAGCTGCTTGATCAACAGATGCGCGAAGATTTACAAACGATGCGGACAGAGGTGGAGATGGATGTTGAGATGCGCAGGTCGCAGACACGCTCAGATGCAAAGGATATTGAGCTACGGATACAAGAACTAGACAACAAGTTCACCGTCAAGTTGGGTGACTTGCGAACAGCCATGGAACGGTATAAATGGGACTCGACACGGCGCTTACTACTCGGTCTTGTGACTATTGCTGTGATTGGCACGTATATCATCAATCGACCTAAAAGGAAGGACCCGAGCAAGGACGACGGTGCCCAGAGTGAGCTTGATTTGGGCTTGCTGGACAATACGCATGCACGACCAGGCAACACCTTTGTCAGTCTAGGGTAGTGTCTTTCAGGCTCGGGACGTAGTAATCAATTCATCCAAGACGCGCGGTCCACCTAGGAAGGAGCCGCGTCGGTCGAGGAGGTAGCCGATAAGCTGACCTTTGCGTAGAAGCTGCGTATAACTTCCACTTTCCGAATACGCCTGATTCGGGCCTGCACCTGTAAAGAGAGCCTTGCGTAGCATCAAATCAGTCAATGCAATATGTGAGCCACCGGTAGAGCCTTCTGCAATGACTGGCGTGGCAGTCTTGGGTAGATTTGCTTGGAGTGGCAGGGTTGATGCTGGGTTCCGGAAGCCTGTGAAGAGCTTGACGTGGGTACCACCCGGCATCAAGTCAATTCTGCGAACGACCCGTTTGGAAACGAGCAGGAAACCTGTAGAGATGGCGAGACCAAGTCCACCTAGGCCCGTTGCATACAAGATGCGCGTGCGAAGCGGCGCTCGCTCGTATTCGGATGCAAGAGTCTCTCCATCTTGGACAATGGCAGTGGACGTGCTCTCTGGCTTTTTGACGGCATAGTCCATAAAGACCCAAGTGGCCAAGTTGCCCCAGAAAATCAAGTTGATGGCAGCTGAAGCGTATAGCACCATTGGGAATGTCCTTGCACCCGAACTGAGATACAGCGTTCGAGGCTGTCTAGACTTTCGTAGAGCTATAGCTTGTGCTTTAGGAGACTGTCCTGAGCCTTGATAGCCACTCATAAGACCATTCATTATATATACAGCAGCTTATGTAGTGTCCACGTCGAATCATCGTCAAAATTCGCTACTTCAAAATGTTCTTGGTACCGCTGACTGAGTATTCATCCGCGAGACCTTGACATCCTGCAAGGCTTTCCGAGGGATCCGTGCAACGGGTGGCATGAATCCATCATCTCCATCGTCTTCCGAGCTTGCTATTTGCGCGGCCATAGGCTTCTCTGCATTGAGCAAGGCCATCACTTCCTTGACCTCCTTTGTTGCTGCACTTGGCCTTGCTGATGTTGTATACGCTCTCTTTTCCCTTTCAGCTGCTTGTCTCTTTGCAGCAGCAATAGATTGTAGCGGACATGCACGTACAGGTGGCCAAATCCCCTTGTATTGTGCTGAACGAGCTTGTCGGTCTCGCTCTAGATGCATAAAGAGCAAGTAACCTGCATAGGCATCATCTGCTGCATATTGGCGTTGACGTACAGACAACGGCATATTCCAGTTTGATGAACGCACAGCATCCTTTTGAAGCGGCTTGCCGAGATAATGATGCACCAAGCCAGCGAGTGGAAGAAGCTTGTTGGCCGTGCCCCAAACGGGTCGATCCATCAACCTTGCAAAGTGAGATAGTTCAAGAACACCTTTTCCCTTGACGCCATAGACTTCACGTAATCTTGACATGTCTGCACCCATGATGGCTACACCGACTTTGATCCATGCTTCACTCTCAATAATCTCCCGCAGACGCGTGGGAAAGGATGTGAACTTGCATATTTGAATCAGCAGGATATGCGTGCTGTCAGCAATCTGTATGAGTGAGATGTTGGGTTTCCGTCGAATCACCCATTCCATATCAAATCCAAGCACGGGGCCTTGAAGTTTGCCAATAAGTGCATCGAGTTGCTTTTCATTAGTGATGGTCAGGACTTGCGGTACAGTCTTTCGTGGTGAGAGATAGTGCTTGTGAGAGAACCACTCCTCGTCGTTCTCCATAGCAGGCGGTACAAGGCACTCAATCTGCGGATACGGACGCGTTGTGCTCGCATAAACATCATGACGCGGATGATCGTTGTCCTCTACCACAGGCTGAACGGGCGGGCGGACAGCAAGATGCCCAACACAGACCTCTTCTTCATCGTCATAAACTCGCGTCCTCAGCATCTCCTCCGCATCAGCCTGGTCTTGCACGACTTTCGTGCGGTTCTTGGTAGGACTTGGCGGCGCTACGTACGGAGAAGACGAGATTTCAATCACTTCTTGCGACGCAGGCTTCCTCGGCGGCCAGGCTTTGCCTATTGCAGCGGGCCCTGCAACGCTAGACTGATAGCGATTCAGTGAGGAAGCGAGATGCTGCACGTCTGCCCTGACGCGCGGAGACGGCGGCGTTGCGAGCATTTTATATACAGAGAGCAGAGAAGAGCAGGCAGGAAGTCTCAGCTTTGTGAGCCTGTCATGTAGCATGCAGCGGCGTGATTTGCCAGCAGATCTGTTCTTGAGCTGCGCAAGGTAGAAACTCAAGTTGGCGTCTGTCTGCTCTTGGTCGTCAGCGTGCAACAACTTTTTTGAAATGGGCGACCAGCGAACGAGGGCAGACACACCAAGCACTACATAGACAACTGGAGATGGCATCGTGGGAAGACGAGGACTACGATCTCGTCGCATCAACAGGCAAAGCCGTTGCACACGGCAAATTTGACGACGAGGAAGATGATGACGATGTGGCAGAGGCATGGGATGCCGAATCTGAAGATGAGAGCAAAACAACCGCTGCTGTTGCGCCTACAAAGAAGAAGGGAACCTTGAAGGATGCCCTTAAACGGCGGGAAGAGTTGCAAGCGGCTGAAGAAGCTGCACGGGAAGAGGCAAGGTTGACAGCGGCTCCTGAAGAGACACCGGAAGAGCGTCGCCTGCGGCAAAAGCAAAAAGAGCTCGAGTCTGACCTCAACAATGCTGCTGACTTGTTTGGCGCAGCACACATCACAGAAGAGGATAAGACTCTGCTCAAGTCGCAAATCAAAGGCGCGACGTTGTCTGATATCCTTGATCCTGCACCAAAGACGAAAGATGAATTTGCTGAAGTCTGCAAGACCCTGACGCAGGGCCTGACGACACTTGGCAAGTCAAGGGAGTATCCTCAGTTCATGGTTGACCTTGTCAAGGGTCTGTGTGAGCCTCTCAATGCAGAAGACACACGCAAGGTGCAGGCGAGTCTCAATGTGTTGGTCAATGCAAAGAACTTGGCAGAGAAGGGTGGCCCACAAAAGAAGAAGAAGGCCGCAGGGAAGCCTGGGCTGGCCAAGATGGGTGCAGCGACCGCGAGCTATAATCGTGCGCTGGATTCGTCTCGTCTTGACGATGACTATGACGATGACTTCATGTAGTCCTTCGCATACACCAAATTCCACACGTCGCCACGACGACATCACCAAGCTACATACTGCATCTATATTGATATTGTTTTCTTGTTCACAGGATGGCTTCTCAGCTCAAGTCTCGGGCTCGGCTTACTGTTGAAGCCAATATATGGCGCTTTCTAATGAATATCGGCATGGTCCTACACCGTCGTGCGCCGCCTCGCCCTATGCGACCGTCGTTCACACGTTATATACCTGCACAGCTAGCACGACTGCCGGGAGAAATCAAGCTCGTCTTTTATGTCCCTCCACATTATCACAGTCACCCAGCAGACTCGCCCTTCCCGTGTATTGTCTCATTCCACGGCGGTGGCTTCACAATTGGCCAACCTGAAGATGATGCCACATGGGCAGATGCTTGTGTCCGACAACTCGACGCAGTGGTCGTTTCTGTTGGCTATAGACTTGCACCGAAGCACTATTTTCCTACACCGGTCGATGACTGTGCAGATGCAATCTTGTATCTTGTGCAACATGCATCTGAGCTCAACATTGATCCCCACAAGCTGTGCACGTCAGGCTTCTCGGCTGGTGGTAATCTGGCCTTCACAGCTGCCTTGCGTCTTGCAATACTGAGGGAAGAAGGAGAAGCCAAGTCATTTGAGCTACCGGCCATGGACTATACGATTCGCGCAGTAGCTGCATTCTACCCATGCATCGACTTTACCAATTCAAGACACGCTCGAAGGGCAAGCACCAAGCGCATCGACAAGAACCTGCCACTCGTCTTTTCCAATCTATTTGATGCATCCTATCTCTACACACCCGACTACAACAAAGCACATCCACTTTTATCACCTGGCGTAGCGCCAGATTGGTTAATACACACATTACCACAACACCTCCATTTCTATACAGCAGAATGGGATGACTTGCTGAATGAAGCGCAAGTCTTTCGAGATCGTCTTGTAGGACTTGGTAAGCAAGTACGATTCACGGTTGCGCCTGAACAGGTGCATGCTTGGGATCGTTCGCCGAATCCATTTAAGCGGAATAAATTGCGTGCAGAGATGTATGCTGTTGCGACAGATCACCTGGCTAGGGCCATGGAAGCCCAGCTGGATGATTCTGAAAGTACATCTGCCACTACACAGAGTAAAGGCAAAGCGATGATTGAAGCATTACCAATTCCTGAATCATGGACGCATCTCAAATCATTGGGCAAGCGGTAGGGTGTTGATGAGCCTTGTACCATCCCCCAGAAGCCAGCTCGTTTTCAAGAGACTGCCAGTACTCTAGCTTGCCTGGTGACTTGGGGTCTAGATCTGCTAGATAGCAGTCGACCACTTTGCTCCCTTGCAGGAGCAGATAGCAAGAACAGTCCCGCAACGTCATTGCCAGAGGTATATCAAAGCTTGCTGCTATTCGTTGTAATCTTGCCAAGTCGCGAAAAAGGGTTGTCGTTTGGAAAAAGTCCATCAACGCGACAATCTGCTCATCGGTTGCTGCTTGTTTGTTGTCATGCAACAACCCTCGCACTGCTCTTTCCATGGCATTTGAATCCTGAGAAATGAGGCCAAGCGGGCAGTATCGCATCTCAGGCACAGAGCTGCCTGTTCGCATGGCACGGATGGCACACGTTCGACAGAATTGCCCATCAGCTGGGGCATTGGACGAGTGAGCCAGCCATTTAGGTTTAAACTCCAAGATCTGGATACTCACGGAACTGGCCAGTAATGGCAGCAACGTTACATGAGTGTGCTTGAGGGACATGCTGCTTTGTTGGAACTTGGCTGGGCGCACAGCAAGGTTGAGATTGGCTTGCAATGTTTCCTGCAGTGCATACGAATAGGGAATCAGCAGCTCTGGTAGACATGGCAGACGGACGCCATGTTGAATAGCAAACGGTTTGAGCACTTGTTCACGAAATGCAAGCTGCTGAGTTGGAGAATAGGCTGCTGCTTCCTTTGGCACACGCAGGACAGCTGTGCATGGATCTAGTAGCGGCGGGGTAAAGGATAGAATTGGAGAGAGCGAGTGTGCTTTGAATACGATATTGGCATTTCCCTCTGCTAGATATGTCCAGTGCAGGGGTGCATTGTTCATCTGTAGCTAGCCATGAGTAGTAGTTGTAGTAGTAGTAGCTATAGTAGTAGCTATAGTAATTCTAGTTCTAGTATTAATCTGTTGAGTCTGCGACGTGAGAAATCTGAATTACTCAGCGACAAGGAACAAGACAAGCATCAAGACACCTATACCACCCTCCAGACAGAGGCCTAGCACCCGGAACACCTTTCCCCAGCCAGCCGTACAGTCGCCATGATTGGCTTTGACATGTCCGACGACCTCAACCTCGCGCCAACCACAGACGCCACGCATCAACCAACACAGGCAGCGGCAACATACGCGAATCTCCTTCTCTCACCGCCAGCACTCGCATCGCAAGAGGCAACACTGCATGCATTGCTTGAGAGTTTCTCCAGACGGCCAGATATCCAAATGCTCGACCGACTGCTCCTCAATCTCGTGACATTGCCTACAGGGCACTACGACAATATCCTACTGGCATCGTTGGGTGATGCAGCTCAAGACGCAGCAGATCCACATATCGCTCAACTCCCAGCCCTCCTCGGACAACTCCTACAAGCACTCAAGCCAGGCAGATCCCTGCATATTCCTGCAACGATTCCACAACAAGCGCTCAAGTCTGAAGCCATCTTGCACGGATTTAGCGTGAATGCTGGAACGGACGGGATGATTCTGACACGTCCTGAGGAAGTTCTCAATGCAGCGGCTGTTCCGCTTCGTTTGAAGCGCAAGAAGAATCCCTCAGAGAAAGCCGCGCGGCTGAAGCAATTGCTTGCTCAAGGGAATGCTTCACGCGTCGTGGATGACGATGCATTGCTGCAAGCTGAAGACAGAGAGAGACCTGTCATTGTTCAACCTTCTGAATGTGTACCTGCCCCAGGCAAACGTCGCAAGGCCTGTAAGAATTGTACATGTGGTCTTGCTGAGCTAGAGCAAGCGGCAGTGGCAAATACCATCACCTTGCAAGATGGAGATCTCGCTGAAGTGGATTTCACCAATTCCGCACTGGCGAGTAAGAACCCTGTGAGTTCTTGCGGTAGTTGTTATCTAGGCGATGCGTTCCGCTGCAGTGGCTGTCCATACCTCGGCATGCCTGCATTCAAGCCTGGTGAGAAGATTCAGCTGACGCGAAACTTTGGTAATGACTTGTAAGAGCCTGTTTTGGTTGTATAGATTGAGCAGCTTGTAGCTAGAGCTTTTGCCTTTGTCGCGTTGCTTGTTGACTGACGGCAGGGTCATTGTCATAGATGGGGATATCCCCATCAAAGTCCCAATCACGCTCTGCGCCATCCTCCAAGAAACTGCAATCACCGAGCCGTTCCACCTGCCAGCCGCCAAGTCTTCCAGGTACGTAAGCTTCTTTCCGTAAATACACAGCAACACTCGCACAGGGTGTTGGAATTGTGCGTGTAGCATCACCACACAGTGCTCTACCGAGTGCGATATTGGTTGCTGCGTGGGTACATAGTAGAATCGTCTTACAACCCGCTGCTTCAGCATCAGCAATGATGAGGTCAATGGCATGTTTTGCTCGAGCGTGAATATCAGCCATGGATTCACCCCGTGTACTTGGCACGCATTGCGCTTGATACCCCTCATGAATCAACTTACAATGACTGGAGAGCGGTGGAAAGAGTCGTTGGAGGTGAGAGACCGTTGCAGGTGATGGATGCGAGGCTGTTCGATGGCTGACAACGCCATACCACTCGCCAATGCCATTTTCAATATGGATCTGTTGATGACTTGCGCGTGCCGTGTAGGCGATTGTTTGTACGCATCTGTAGAAGGGCGAGCTGTAGATCTTGTCAATTGGACCGTGACCGCCTGTCGTACACAGATGATCCGCTAGCTGCAGACTCTGTGCTGTGCCGTGTGCACTGAGGGACGGGTCGGCGTCGATGCCTGTGGGTGAAGGTGACCAGGCTGTGTTGGCCCAGTTGCTGCGGAAGCCGTGTCTTGTTATGATGATCTTCTCTAGCATATTATCTCAGTATAAGCAGTAGTAGCAGTAGCAGTAGCAGCAATAGCAGCAGTAGCAGCAGTAGAGCAGCAGCAGGATGTCGTGTCTATACAACGAACGGTCAAGTCACCGCGTCCACTACAAACGACATGTCGCCCAACAACAGCGACGAGCAGGAAGCCAGACGCATCCTATCGATCCAATCAAGCGTCGTTCATGGGTACGTAGGGAATCGCTCAGCGACCTTCCCTTTACAACTCCACGGCTACGATGTCGCATGTCTCAATACCGTCCAATTCAGTACACACACAGGCTATCCCTCTATCCATGGCTCAAAACTGCCTGCAGAGGAGATTCGTGCATTGTACACGGGACTGGAAGTCAATGGTGCTGTAGAGACCATTGCAGGGTTATTGACGGGATATGTACCAGGCGCTGATGGGATCCTTGCCATCAAGGACATTGCAGCGTCTATCCGCGCATCATCGCCCACACCAGCATTATGGGTCCTTGACCCCGTCATGGGCGATGAAGAACGTGGCATGTACGTATCAGAGGAAATCCCACCCCTCTACAAAGAACTCATCACGCATGCGGATGTCATCACGCCCAATCAGTTTGAACTGGGTGTTTTGGCTGGGATGGAGATCACAGGTGTCGATTCACTCAGAAAAGCACTAGATACAGTCCATACGGAAAGAGGTATCCGTCGAATTGTCGTCACAACCTTTAGAAAAGATGAAGGGACGATATGGGTGGTTGGGTCTGATTCAGCATCATCGACACCTCCCAATATCGCTACTCAATTCGCCGTGGAAGTGCCTTACAGTGATTGTCCGTTTCAAGGGACAGGCGACTTATTCGCCGCATTGCTGCTAGCGAGACTATTGAAGAAGGACGATATGCGAGAAGCCGTTGGAGGCGTCTTGGCGGCCATGAAGCCTGTTTTGCGAAGAACAGAAGCTGTCTTTCGACGAGGCTGTCAAGTACACGGCATCACAGATTGGCGAGCGGAGAAGAAGAAGGGGAAGCAAGGGAAGGCAGCGATTGTTTGTCGTTTTGCAGAGTTGCGCATTATTGAGAGTGCAGGCGATTTGATGGATCCCGGTCCATGTGACTATCCAATCAAGGATCTCAATTGAAGGAATCGATGGAAGATGGAGAATGGGAATGTATATCTGTCTGCAGTCCTCGTGCTCAGCCCCAAGGGGGAGATCCAAGTCAATGGCTCTGAAGCATTGAGTTGACGCGTATAAGATATGGATCCTTCTCTCTCGCTGTAAGGAAGAGCTCTGACCACGACGGAGTATAGCATGGAGAACTGGCAAAATGATCGAGAGGTTTGCAGCACAGGCGATGATCAGGTTGAGGAACTCGGAGGTTCTCTTATGAGCAGCCATCTAAGCAAATTCAACCTGATCCGCCGAGGCAATGCTGAGCTAGTGCTATAAGCAGCCATGTAGCCGCAGCTCAACTACAAGGACAAGTAGTCCGAGGAGAAGACGCAGAATCAGCTGAAGATTTTCTTATACAGGACAAGGCAGCAGTCACATTTCTTGCCTTCTCCGGATCTCCTCCAATGCAAACTGGATCTCCTCCTCCACCAAGCCCAATTGTCCATCCAGTTCCTCTATCCTGCCTGCAATCAAGGCTTCATACTCATCATCCGACATGCGTCTCATGGGACTGGATTCCTTCAGTTTCTGCCAAACGGACTTGTCCCCTTCCTTCTGCTTCACGGCAGCCGGTGCAGGTGCGGTGGGTGCATTACGGCCAGCGATATACGCTGCTCTTGCATCAGAGGCTGCATGAAGACCTAATTGTCCTGTGGCTGCCATGGATCCATACAGCAAGATAGCTCCTGTGAGTCCTCGCGTGCCACCTATCCCGTCAGCTCTTTGCCTCGATATAATAGAGGACGCGTACGTGTGAATAGATTGAAGGATAAGCCAGTCAGAGCACCACTCAAACCGCTCATCCCCACCCTTTCCGTCCGTGTGGGTTCGTTGGTACCTGTAGCGAGTTGTAGAGATGCAAGTCCTGCTTGACGAAGAAGGACAAAAGTACCGCCCATCAGGGTGAAGTTGATGCCTGTACGCGCTGCATAGACAGGGATAGAAGCATTTCGTTGGACTGCTAGGATGGAGCCTACTGCGAGACCTGAACCTGCTATATGGCAAAAAGATGCGTCAGCTTTGAAGGAGATTGATGGATAGAAGTACAGAAGAGTAGAGTTGGGAGGAGGAGCTGGTAGCGGATATAGTCTGCAGCTGGAGATGTAGCCATCAGTATTATATGACTCTAGAGGACGGCCATGAGCAGCAGCCTTAGCAATAGAAGTAGTAGCAGGAGTACTCAGTAGCAGTAAAGTCAATTACGACACTCTGCTTTGTCTACTTTACATGTACAAACACATCACAGGGCGGCTAGCACGGCTACAACACTCTCAAACACGCAGCATGAAGGCCTACTACTACGCCGGTGAAGGCGACCAACGCCTCCCCCATCGCGGCGAACAGGTCAATGACACGGCCCTGCAGCAAATCGGCGTCTTGACCTGGCAACTCCCACAGAGTCGCTTCACTGAGGAGCAGCAGCTTGCAGAGGTCAATAAAATCGCTGCTCAGCGGCAGTATAAGAACCGCGATGTCATTACTGTGAGTAAAGAAGCGATGGGCGATGTGTATGAGATGAAAGTCAAGAGTTTCTTTGAAGAGCACTTGCATGAGGATGAGGAGATTCGCTTCATCCTCGATGGCGAGGGATACTTTGACGTACGGACGAAAGAGGATCGATGGATCCGACTGGCGATGGAGAAGGGCGACCTCGCTGTTCTGCCTGCTGGCATCTTCCATCGCTTCACCACGGCAGAGACGGATTATATCAAGGCGATGCGCTTGTTTAAGGAAGATCCAGTCTGGACACCGCTCAATAGGACCAAGGAGCTCGAGGAGACGAATGCCTACCGCAAGGCCTACATGGATACCATCGCTTCATAGCTAAAATAGCTTTCTTAGTTAAGTTCCTTGACGAGCTGCATGATCTTGCTTTCATCGCCGCCGAGGACGACTTTGCCGTTATTCCAGTCCACCACGACGGGCCGTTGCAGGATATCTCTACCCTTCCCGCTCTCGCCCAAACGCAATGCATCTTCACCGTCCACAGCACCAGGCACCAGCTCAGCAATCTGCGACGCACCAGCCATATCAATGAGTGAGCGGAGTTGGGTGGGCGTCGGTGCGCCTTCTTCGATTTCAAGGGTGAATGACTTGCCTGATGCTGCTGCTTCACTGTCTGCATGCGCTTGTTGCAGGAGTGTCAGGACTTTCTGGGAGGTCTTGTTGCCTGGTGCATGACTGTGGAGGATTAGCCATATGTCAGTAGCTAGAGAAGTGGACGCACAACAAGGAGAGGATGGGCCGTGACCTGCTGAAGATGGAATTGAGGTTCATGATGCTTCTCTTCCTCTTGAAACAGATATAGACCAAGAAGTAGACCAAGATATAGCCCAAGAAGGAGTCTTCGGTCATCGCCAACGTAGAAGGAAACGCAACAGTCACATACATATACACTTCTGCGAGTCTAGCTGTGTCCGTAGCCAGCCCAGCACAGGACAGCCCAGAGCAATCCACCACTCAGCACAGGAATCGTCAAATTGTCATCCAACCCAAAGACATCCACCGCTTCACTCAATGCAGCCACCACACCACCCAACACACTCACTTGTGCTAGCCCCAGTGAACTGGTTGCAGGATCCCACGAGGGAGGCGTTTGTGGACGATACGTCACGAGTGTTGTGTAGAAGAATGCAGTCGCTGCTGCACCGACCATGAATGCAGCAAAGGTCCCAATCAGACTCTTACCAGGCCGTAACTGAGGTCCATGATGACCCAAAGCACGACCCACCGTACTCGCTGCCGTATCACACCAAGAAAGCAACAAGACACTCAGCGTTGCAATATCCGTAGGTAACGTGCCCAGCACAAGCAATGCACCCACCAAGTAAAAAATCACACCATTCCAACCTTTGCGTTCTTGAGGACGCATCAGGTATCCCAAATGCCGCTCATACACGCTCGCAAACGCAGGAGAATTGAAACGGAGCAGATCCGCAGAGACAATCACAGCCGTTGCTGGAATCCCGAGAGAGAGCAAGCGTGTAGGGGTGACGTGCGGTGAGGCATACAGACCTATCGCTGCAAGTCCAATGGCTGAATGCAATGTCTTTCTCGGTACTTCATATGTCTTGTATAAACGCTGCCAGGTCGCTCTTTCATCCGTTGTCCGTTTCGCGGGTGAGTGTGCGCGTGAGGTAGAGGCGGAAGACGCAGCACTGGAGGATGTCGGTGGTGAGGGTGGCGTGTGGATTGCTTTGGTCGATTTCCGGCGTGATGGCCGTAGATTTGCGCTCATCACAGCGTGTGCTGAGGGTGTGGATCTGTTGGTTGGATGTGTGCTCGTGTCTTGTTTTGACGTTTTTTTCTTCTGCGCGGGTGCAAAATTGAAGACGAGGCCGAGGTATGGGAAGAGCTGGGCAGTGAGGAGTGCTGGCCTGATTGAAGAGATGCTTGTTTAGAGGTCACAGCGATAGCGTACTCGCATCATAGCACGATCCTGAGGAAGCGGCCGTTATATAGCTCACCAGACCAACCACCCATCCACCGTCTCAAACAGCCAACACCTTCCATGGCCACCGTAGCAGCAGCATCCTGTGTTGTCGTTGATGCAGTGGCTGTTGTACTAGTAGACCAGGCGACCGGATCAAAGAAGCCAGCGAGCGTGGTGAATTCCAAGAGTGGTGCGTCTCGCCAATAAGACGATGTGCTGGATGGTTAGCGACACTGTTCGTGTGTGAGTGCTGGGTTCATACAAGATGAGGATGAGTAGGATTACTGAGCAATAGGCACTAAGAGAGCGTCAGCATGGTCTCGCGGAAATTGTAGAGCGGCAAAAGCACTGAGTGAAGCAATTACGACAAGACTTCTCCTCCATTCATCGTCGCTGGTATAGCCAGAGTCCGCTGAATGGCGTGGCGAAGTCTTGCGAATGCCAAACAGAATGCTTCATGCGGTACTACGAGCAAGAGTATCTCACCATGGACGATGTTGAAGCGTAGTAGAGAGCAGTAGAGAGAGCGTGAAGAAAGCAGAGCCGCCTGAGGCCACGCAGAGAAGAGCGAGGTAGTGTCTGACGCAGTGCATACTAAGCGTGTACAGAGAAGCAGAGAGCAGAGCAGAGCAGAGAGGAAGATGAGAGCAGAGTAGAGCAGAGTAGAGCAGAGTAGAGCAGACGATGAGAGCAACGAGCTGAAAGTATTGAGCGTTGTGGTGTCTGGCAAATAATCAAGTTTGAGAGTACAAAAAAGAAGAAGACTACACCACACTCACGCCCACCAGGAACAGCAACACAATCACCAGCGCACCACCCGTCACTCTGCCACTCGACGAGGATGCCGAAAAGCCAGCAGCAGCAGAAGAGACCAACCCAGCACCGAATCCCATGTCACCACTTCCTACACCCGTGCCTGTGCGTGTGCCTGTTTGTTGTGCTTGTGTACCGCTCCCAGTCTTCATAGCCACCGTACGCATACTGCTGCTTGCCACAGAGACGCACAGTGATTGTGTCATGTTTGCCACGTATGGAATGTAGGGTGTCATCACCTCGACAGGCGCACACGTCACTGGGACACCATCAGGACGTGCAACCACCAAGATCGTGCCTCCCACAAACACTGCCGCATCATTTGTATCGAAGCTGAGATAGGGTGTCACGAAAGTTGCTGCGTACGGGTCGGAGAGTGCAGGAATACCGCCTACCATGGCTGATAGTTCTCCATGACGAATCACAGGACCAGTGGCATTGCAGTCTCCATTGACGAGGGATCCACGCGTCAGGTAGAAGGTGAATCGATCACCTGGTGGTAGTGCAGGGAACGGACGGAGGTTGACTTCAATACCGACGCTACCATCGCATTCTGTTGTCATCTTGACATACTGATAGCAGACTTGTTAGCTGAATACTCTTGCTTGATGCTTGGACAGAACATACACCGGATATCTGACGAGTGAAGCCAGGTGCGAGTGTCTCTACTGGAAACTGCGCAGTCGCAGTCTGTCCCTGTGCATTGCGGATGCTATCGTCTGGTTGGAGAGCTACAGTTGCTGTTGTGATTGTCTGGGAAGGTACTGCGATTGTGCTGGACATGTCCGTAGTGCTAGACTGGGCTGAGATGGAGGGCATGCCGAAGCCAGCGAGTCCCAGGATGTTTGTGATGCTGATGAGATGCATGCTTGTGAGTCTGTAGTAGCGAGTGTAGCTGTGTGCTGAGACTGATGAGCAAGAGCTGAACTGACGAACAGAGCAAAGGAGGATGAGCGTGGTGTTGCGTGTAGCGGTGTCTTTGTGAAGAACTCAGCAGCATTGAGCAGGTCCCTCACTCTTCAGCCAGCAAGTACTCATCCAACGTCTCCTTCTCTGTAGCTGACTGAGACAGCGGCATCTTGATCAGATTCGTGGTGCCTCGAGTATGCCGAAGTGCAACCAAGCACCCATAGCACAAGTCCTCCTCTTCCGCTGCAGGACCACCAAGAACAAGGACATCCTCAGGCACTGGCTGACCTTCAATAGGTGCTTGCACATTTGCAGTGACATCCTGTAGCCACCCACGCGCACCCACTTTCGTAGTCAATCCACAGACAGGACACTGCCCAGTCTTCTCATCCGCCGTCTGATCAGGCGTCACCAACTTCCCCGTCGTCCTCACAACCGTCGCCACTAGACTCGGAAAGTCCTTCTCAAGTGTCCTGAAGTAACGTTGTGTCAGTGTCCCAATACTACCGGGCTTACCGGAAACCTCGTCCTCCACGGGATCAGGCATCCCAATCAAGGACGCATACAAGGATAACTCCTCCTCCAATAATCCCTTCATCGGTCGAACAGCCCAAACACCGTCCCGTTGAGTAGAATCAGCAACGTGTGAGGGAAGCGTATAGCCGCGTCCCAACGCCGTTTGTGTGAGTACTTTTGCAGCAATCTTGGTGGCCGTTTCTGCGAATTGCAGGCAGTGCGCACCGGCTTGTTTGGTTTCATGGAAGAGTAAAGCATCAATGTATACACCCAACATGTCTTCCTGTGCCGTTTGGCTGGATAGTGCAGAGAAGGACGTCTTGAGGGAAAGTGGCTTTCTGGACACATTGCCAACCAACCTGGGAGTACCGTCGCTCGCATCCGGTACAAGCACGATTTGCTCAGTGGCAAGTGACTCGAGCTTCTCAAGTGGCACAGTTATCCACTGCATCTCAGGAAACCGCTCCTTTAACCATGCCAGACGTCGTTGACGCTTCTCTGAGATGTGTTTGAAGCCATCCAGCTCAATATGGAGAATACCAGGCATATCGTACGCGCCATGCGTCCGTTCAACAACACCATGCACCATTTCCACGAGTACGCATGAAGCAATACTACCAGACACAGCAAGTAGGGTGGGTAAGCGTGCATGATCTGCTAAAGTGAGACGAAAAGCATCCATCGCTCGACGATATTTAGCACGGCAAAAATGTAGGTAGCATGCATGACAGTAGCTCTCTTTACGTGCAAGGACAACAGGAACCTCTGCTTGTTTACATTTGAGGCAGGTTCCTAGCATTGTAGGCTGAGAAGGAAGCAATAGCAGCTGGAAGCTTGTTTGAGTATGTCGTCTGAGGCAAATCTCAAATTTTGACTGCAGCAGAGATGGCTCCAGCACACCCGATCGATTTTGGACTATAGAACTATAGATGATGCTAGTTCTTCTTCTTGCCCTTCTTCACACTCGTCAGAGCATCACCCTCGTCATCCAAGTTATCCTCCTGCACACCACCACCCAAAATTCGTCCAACAGTCTTGTTGAACAACGCAAGCGGTACCTGAACCAATAAACTACGTTGCAATGAAGCAGCAGGCACAGCTTCAGGACTCATCTTGGCCTCCTCACCACCCTGAACGAAAAAGACATCACCATTGGGATCCACCTGGAAGACTCTACCTGTTTCAGTGGTGACGCGTTTTCGTTTGTTGAGGTTTGGATAGCCGGCTGCCTCATGAGCGTCCTTGATGTGACCCTGGATGCGACTACGGTGGCTAGCAGCTGCAATCACCATACCGAGATAGTGGAAACCAGACACAATAAAGAACAACAAGACGAGGACAGTGCCAACGCCTGGCCTGTAGCGAGAGTAGAAGTAACCAGTTCCTTTCCTGCAAAGCTTGTTAGTACATCCCTCAAAAGAGACTGAGTGTCAAATGCATACCATTTAGGAAAACCATTGTAGTAGAAATGGTCATATCGCTCACGCACCTCTGGCGTTCTCAACATCTTGGTAATCAATCCAAGCCGCTCAAATCGCTTCTGTGCATTCTTGACACCAATGTTCTTATCCGGATGCAACTGCCTAGATCGCTTCTTATAGGCCTTGCCAATCTCTTCAAGGCTAGCCTTGGGTTTGATTTCCAGGAAGGAGTAAAAAGTGGCATTCGCACCCTCTGAGATCTCCAAAGCGCGTGCAACATCAAAGATCTCATAGTCTTGGTTCGACCAGCGTGAGGCCAGCACGGCAGAGAGTGCCAGCAGCCACAGATGCAGGAAACGCATTTCTTGGGCAAGTGGGTGGAGGGAGTCGCGTTTTGGATTTTCGTGAAGGTTGCTGGCAGATTTGGGTTGCAGGGATCAAAGGATTTCACCACACACTCAAATAGAACTCATAGAAGTGCTTCAGGCTGTATGATGGCTCCGTAGTGCTTCTGCTCTTCTATGCTCGTTCGAAGACCAGCACGATGCGGGTACTCTACTGCTCGTATGCTGTGGCAATCCACACAGCCAGAACTTCCCAAAACAGTGGATATCAGGTGGTTCTTCAAGCAAGCTGAATACCTTGTCCCTAAGATTCCCACCATTGCCATACAGCAGGAAGATAAGGTCTTGCAAATTGCAAGTATGGAGCGCTACTCAAATATCTCACTTCAAGGCATCAAGGCCCAAAACTGGAAGACGCTGCGTGCCTTTCTTCTTGACCCAAGGTTCCTCAAGGTCCTCGCTTCAGATTGCTATGGTAACTTACTAGAGCCATTGGAGATGAAAATTGTCTTGCTACTACCTCAACTAGAACGGATAGTGGATCCTACGAATACCCTTGCAAAGTCGAGACTTGCGTCGCAAGATCAGCACTTGACTGCACATGCTTTGCTGCAACGCTTCAACCATCTCGATACAAAACGTCTAGCAGTCTGTCCTGAGCGCGATTTGCCGATTCGAGCCTCATTCACGCTGGCCAATGTGCGTGAGGAGTATTCAAGCATCAAGGAGGATCACAGGCAAGCTCGCCTTGAGAGTCAACTCGACAAGATCCGCTCTACGCGACAACAACTGACAGAACACATATCAATGGCGGAGAAGCGACGTCAACTAAATACAGCAGATGCTGCAAGGCTTGCAAGGCTGAATATGTGGCCGTCAAGGCCGGAACCCAGCAAGATCGCAGGCGACAGTCCTGCTAGCTAGATCCTACTCTACGCGCTGTATTGCCTGAGGACCGGCAATACGAGATAGGGCAAGAGCCTGCAAGCAATCGCAGCGGGTTCAACAGAAGGCACTATATCAGTCTATATGACTGCCGAGTTTCGGAATGGCCAGATACTTGCTGGAAACAGCAGCTGGTTATTGGTCTGCCACGACTACATGCATCCAGACCATTGGCCTGCAACAATACCCTAATCTGACTCGGTTTCATTCTGCGACTGCCATGGTCTCTATCGTCAGTTCCAGCTGTCAAGAATTGTGCAACGGTGCACGCAGGCAAGATCTCGCGTTATCATTGGCGCGGCCCCACTGTGTCGCAGATCGCCCGAAAGGTCAAGAGTGTCGAGCAGTCTCACGGATTACGGATAGGTATCCATGGTATAAATGCCCGAAGCTACCTCTGCTATGCTTTCTAGTACATCCAGCATGCTGTCTTCCGTGTTCGTCAGCTTGCTTTCTATTGCAGCCACAGATGCCTACCGCACACCATTCAACTACACCTCAACCTGTCTCAATCCACAACCATTATCCTGCAATCTCGGTAGTACGACGGTTGACAAGTGCTGCAGTCCTCAACCAGGCGGTCTGACCCTCGTCACGCAGTTTTGGAGCACTTACACCGGCACATCTGCCAAGTTACCCGCCAAAAGTTGGGGTGTGCATGGATTGTGGCCCGATAACTGTAATGGTACCTATGAGCAGTATTGCAGTGCAGCACGCAACATTTCAGGTCCTCAAACCATTCAATACTTGATGAGCCATGGTCGTTCAGACTTGCTGACACAGATGAATAATGTTTGGATCAATCAAGGTCTCACCAATGATGATCTCTGGGCTCATGAATTCGCAAAGCATGCGACCTGTACCAGTACGTTTGACTTGGATTGCTATGCACCACTCTATGCGGCCAACACTTCTGCTGCTGCCAAAGCAAATGGCGGAGCAGGCGAAGGATTGGATGTCGTGGACTACATGGAGACGACCTTGAATTACTTCACCTCGCACCCGACGTACGAGTGGCTCGCGCGAGCAGGCATCACGCCCAGTAACACCACAACGTACTCACTCTCGCAAATTCAAGCTGCTATTCGCAATGCGACAGGAGTGAATGCTTTTGTTGGCTGTAACAGGAATGCCGCCATGAATAACACGCGAGATGTCTTTTCCGAGATGTGGTACTATGGTCATGTCGAAGGACGCGTGCAAGATCTTGACTTTGTGCCCGTTGACTCCAACAAATTCGGCAACTCGACGTGTGTCTCTTCTGGCATCACCTATCCCCTTCGCGGTAAGGGAGAGACCAAGGATCTGATCACCGGCCGCGTCTACTAGCAAATCAATCTCTTTATAGACTTTTAGATGCATCAATTCTACTGACCTCTAAGCAATACCACCAGCAACAAGCTCCGCAACAGCAAGTTTCTCCGACTTTGCCGTGATTTTAAGCGACACACCCTTTCCAGGCCTGAATGCCAGTTGAATAGTCGCCAATGCGGGTGTACCACTCTCGCGATCCTTGCCAATGACTTTTCCAGCAACCTTGAGGGTATGCGTGTTACCAGACATTGGCACATCCGATCCTTCCAGTGGTGTCATACCCAATGCCTTGACAATCCTCTCACAAGCCTCTTCGAGGGAGTTGAGCTCAGACAAGGCATACACTTCTGCGCAACTTTCGGGAAGTCCATCGAATGTCGTTTGGAAGTTGGAGACATAGAGTGGTTGAATGTACGCACTAGCACCGAGCTCGAGCGTATCCACTTCATACTCATCATCGTACCCTTCCTCCTCTGCTTCACCAGTGGATGGATCCAGTTCGCGACTCGTGTACTTCAGAACATTTGAGAAGTCGCACACGGCAAATGTCCCTGCCGGCCGTGAAAAGACTGCATAAACTGTTGCGTTTTGTGTTGCAGTGGCCTTTTCAGCTTCGAGAATGAATTCCTCAACAAAGTCTTCTTCCGATGGAGTTGCCATAACGCCGACCTTCTCCAGGATTGTGTCGGTGAGTGTATTCTGGATGTTGAATTGCAAGACAACGTGCGCTGCATAGAGATGGACATGCGCTTGCACATGGAATTCCATCTCGGGTGTCGTTAGAGCAATAGCAGGACCAGACCTCAGCACATCACCAAATGCCTTGAATTCCGAAATTGCAGACAAGGACTCTGCAAACTTCTCAGCCGTAGGTGATGGAACTTCCACAGTCGTTTCCATTGTTGGCGTGGGCAAAATCTCCTCACCGGAACTGATATCTGTCTTTGAAGCAAGCGCTGCAGCGTCTGCATCTGCACGAGAAATGACTTGCACCTCTTCAATCTTGAATTGCGCGCCATAGTTGGCTTCTTGGACATAGAGCACGAGTGACTTTTCAAGTTGTGGAAGATTGTAGGTGCTTTCGCTTTGCAGGTACTTCTCCGTCTGCTTGTCTGATTCCAGGACACGCAACGCAAGGGCTGCACGATCACGTACTTCGTCGTCAGAGTCGCCAAGACAACGCTTGAGCAAGACACGCACACTGTGGTTCAATGCTGGTACTTGAGCGAATCGCGCGAGTGCATTGACTGCCGCTGCGCGAACAATGGCATTCTCCAGAATGATGCGATTGTAAATGTATCGCACAAACTTGTTGGGTTCCTTGCATCGAGGACCTTCGCGACCAACCACATACAGGATACGAGCTGAGAGTTTGTGGTATTCGCAGTCTTCGATGAATTCGCACAGCTGTGCAAGTGCTTCCTCTTTAGCGTCATCGACGTACTTGATAAGATCAAAGATTGCCTCAACAAGCGCCTTTTTGAAATCATAGCCTCCATCATCGCGTAGCATCTCTGCCAAGAAGGTGAGCGTGGATGCTTGCTTCGAGGGGAATTTGAGACACAATGCGCGAATGGACGAGATGACAATAATCTTGAATTCATCAGAGATGTCTGCCATGAATCCCTGAATGGTCTCCATTAGCCGCTCAACACTCTCTTCACTGCCAGTTTTGAGGAGGGTTGTGATGGCATAGGTGGCGATATTGCGGTTGGTGTCGCTGACGAGTGGTTCGATATCGACGTTGAGCGATGCCATGGCTTGTGGCATACGCTGACTGAACCTGTTGAGGATGCGGATTGCTGCAAAGCGGGTCACGAAGCGAGGGCTCGTCAAGAAGATTTGCAGCGTGTTCAATGCAGGCTGTGCCTCAGAAGACGTGAGTGTTGGCAATGTCAAGATGGCTTTGGCAGCCTCCAGATTCACCATGTCGCTCTTGTGCTTGAGCCAACCATCCAACAATGCAAACATGGGAGCACGGAAATTGACATCTTCATCAATGACTTGTCGTGCATAGCGAACAAGCAGACACACTGCCCAAGAACTCCTCAAATCAGGTGTCTTGCCACCAAAGAAGGAACCACCAGACTGTGCGGGCTTGCTGTATGTTTGAATCATCTTGACAACACCCATTCGGTCGTGGCCGCGCATGAGGTAGAGCAGGCCGAGAGCGTGGTATTGGCACATGAAGCTTGGATTGGGTCGCAGGTTGAGTTGTGTCAGATGAGCAGGGATGGGAATGGTTGCACCGACAGTGCGTGACGTGAGCACCTCAGAGACTTGGTTCATCCACCGGCGAACGATATCCTTAGAGAGCGGGAACAGGTGGATGGACGAAACAAGTGCTGCAGAACTCACGGCAGGTGTCTTGTCAACAATAGCGGTAGAGATGGGACGCTCAATGACGGGAATGCTGCCACCGTCAATGATACGTGTCAATGCTCGGATCGAGTTGGGCCTGTACATGGTCTCTGAGGACGTGCTTGTGTCCTTCATGATGGAAGAAGTGATCATGATTGTATCTTCTGCATCCTTGTAGAGTTCCTGCATCACGACGTAGACCATCTGTCGCAGGGAAGCGTCCTTGTGCTGAAACAGCTTCGTCATACCAAAGAAGAGGTCTGTCGACTCTTGCGTACTAAACTTTTCGCCCGTACTCAACAGGTAGATGAGCTTGGTGAGCAAGATGCGGCATTTCTTGGGAGAGATGGGCGACTGGTTGAAGAGTCGCGCTCCTTGGAAGACGGTGGTGCGGTCAATATTGGCGAAGAAGTCGGAGCTGCCATCTTCATCTTTCTTGGAGTCGGACATGGCTGCAGATGGCGATCAGGAAGATTGGGGCCGTCTCTACCCTGGTGTCCTGTCCTCAATGCGTGTAGAACCCCTGCTGCTACTGCTGTCCTGGTCCTGGTCCTGGTCGTCGCGCTGGTTCGTGTTGTCGACAGTCTGGGGTTAGGGTCAATACTTGCCGATTTCAAAGGACTTTTACGATGACTCCAATTTGCACTTGCTCCGGTGATGGGCTTGTTCTGTGTCTGTATGAAGGGCAAGAGCTTGTTCGGAAGGCCTACTTGGCTGCTGCTCGAGATTTGGTGCAGGAGTAGTCAAGCTTCATGATTCGAAGTTGAGCATAATCACGCATCTAGGACCGGTGTTGTGATCTGGATCGAGGCCTATGAAAGACAGAAAATGGCATGCAGATTGGCTATTCTTATTGTCTTGTATGGATTCTAGTGAGGAAAGCATACATCGGCTCCTCAGCTTAATTCACATGTGCTTGTTGAGCCCGAATGCTGGAAGGGCTCTCCTTGAGGCTTGCAACCCTAAGCTCTCCTTTGCAATCTGAACGACATGGCTCAATATGCACTGAGGCAGTCTGTGGGCTTGGTTTGTCCAAAGGCTTCCAAAGTTGATGACCAAAGGGGGGACTCAAATGATCTTGGCGATGACTCCGACTTGCATTCGCTGCAGTATCTAATGGGCTTGTTCTGTGTCTGTTTGAAGGGCAAGAGCTTGTTGGGAGGGGCAATCTGTCGATTGCTCGAGATTTGATGCATGCGTAGTCAAGCACTATGCTCTTCGAACTTTCTTATGATCACGCATCCAAAAGCGTATCGTGTTCTAAGTCGAAGCCTATGAGAGACAGAAGATGGCATGGATATTGGCTAATCTCATTGTTCTGTATGAAGGCTGTTGAGAGAGGCATATATCGGCTTCTCAGCTAGATTCACAGGTGGTTGATCTACAGGTGGTTGCTGAGCCCGACTGCTGCAAAGGCTCTCCTTCAGCCTGGCAAACCGATTGCCATGAGCTGCTCGATATTACAAGCTGGTCGACATGGCTGACAAGATGATCCATGTACTCTGTGGGCTTGGTCCGTCCGAAGGCCTCCAAAGTTGATGATTAAAGGCATTGCTTGAGATGAGCTACTCTGGTACAAGAGTTTGGGAACGGTCTTGGCATGGAGCTTGCTGGCGGCAGCCTTATTGCTCATGGGCCAGCTCAGTGATGGGTTCTTGCTGCTAGTCCGATGTCAAAGGTGGCGTCAAGGCATGTCTCTGATTGTGCTACACTGTTGCCTACGTCCAGGATCGAGGCCTTGGTCTCCTTGTTCAGTACATCTGCCAATCCAAGTTACATGATCTTACATGGTGCTAGACCAAGTCGCATTGTCAAAATGTGTCACGGCCACTGCGCTGCATTCTCTGCTAACGCTTCTTGAGTCATGTATCAGATGAGTGACTCAACAGTTCAAATTTTCGCAACGGCAAAATTATTCATCTTGTGTCACAATTGCAATGACAAAAAGTGAGTCGGTAATGGAGACTACTCGCTTTTCAAAGATTTCCGTATACCTTACCCAACGACCCACTTTCCAACGGCTTGATTTCTAGCAGTCGCCGAGGACAATACAAGCTCAGTAATCTCTGTTGGTCGTTGCCTGGTGTCTTGGAAGGCCGTAAGGACGCATGTTGGGAGACAGCTTGGCATCACTTTGGTGACTCATCTACACGGCGTCTTGTTGTTCTGGCTGGGTGGCAGCTCGCGTATCTGCGAAAGCGCCATGTGGTCTTGAGCTGCGGCAAATAATAGGGAGCGACATCATCGTTGACCATTCGAATGAGACCTAGGCCTTGAGTTCTCATCAAATTCAAGCCTAAATGATGGATGACTGAGTCAGACAGCGTCAACCTGACTTTCAGATACCCCAATTAAGACAAATCGATGTCCAGCCAGCCGCCAAAATGCTAATCAGACCTCTCTCTGGAGCGTTCATGGCGCGTTCAGCAGCGTCTGCACTCCCGCCGAGTGTCTTGCAATGACACTTCCAAGACAATTGCTGCTGAGATTCTGCGAATACTTTGTTCATTGTCGGTCATTACTCATTGCCAAATGATCGTTGAACAGCTATAAGAACATGCCCATGAAGCTCTCCCTCCCTCTCCATCTTCCTGCACTCTCTCGAGTACTGTTCCTACCAGCCCTTCCCTTCCAGGACTCTGTTATTCGTCGCTCTCTCAAGTACTCAGTGTTTAAACACTCTCAACGTACCCTACCCTCTTTCTCAATTTCAACTTTTCAAGCATCCATCATGGCCCAGAGCGCGCTCATTTCTGGATATTCTGGAACCGTTCCCACCCTTTCCCGTCGTCGCCAGGCGCTCGCAGCCAGTGATCGATTCACCACTGCCACCAACAAGTCCTCCGCGCCCACTCTCTTCAAGGACCTGTGCCTCCGATGGAAGTTGCCTGGCTCAAACAAGCGTCTTCTCTGCGAGGATCCCGAGAACTTGCCTGTAAAGCGCCGCAAGATGGCTCTTACGAGCGCTTCTGCTGTTGACACAGAGCACGTCTCTGCAGATGAAGCACCCGTCCGAGGTCTTTTCATTGTCTTCAACTCATACGAGACGATGCAGACCACTATGGCACGCTCATTTTCTGCTGCTGAAAAGGCGCACAAGAGGCTCTTTCCCAATGCTGAAGCAGAGAATGCACACCGGAAGCGCGCCACCAAGCCTGTCAACTCTGCTTCTACCTCTCCTTCGATCCCTTCGTTAGGCTGGTCATCTGATGCCAACACGACTGGTCCTTTGCCACTCAATTCTGCTCAGCCTCAGCTTGTCGCGTCAATTTCACCAGTCTCTCAAGACTTGTCCATCTGTCCGGTTACTTCCTCGTTGGACCAGATGGAGTATGACATTGCTTATCCGGCTACAATGCCGACGCCGCTTGAGCAGCTTGCAACAGGTCGGCAGGAGACAGTAGCCCAACAAGCCTTTGGAAGTGTTGGATTTGAAGCAGTCTTTCCTGCTAGTTTTGAGATCACCTCCGGTAACGATGTGGGCATCTTCCCACTCGAATGCAACCCATCGGATTTTCCATCTGACTCTTCGGTGCCGGCAAACTTGGACGACATCGAGTGGTTCTATTCGCCTCAGCCTACCTATGATGCGGCAGCTCTGAGTTTTGCGTTCGCTGACTTTGACGCCATGGCTTCCGCTGCAATGTACCCAGTCAGTTGATTTCAGCCTGCTCTTCCGGTTGTGTGTCAGCGTTGACGGATACGCGATGAGACCCGCATCTTACCTGGCCTAGCCGAAAGTTCACTACCCAGAATCACGAGGCTTCGCAAAGGAAAGCACTCTATTCGGTCCTACTCCTGAGCATATTTGCATGTTTGGCCAATGCCATTTTTGTGCTTTAAACTTGTGCTTTAGACTTTATTCAAGGTACTTTTGTATTCGTAGACACTGTCGTATAACTTTTGATTTGAATCGCGCCCCAGTGGGTCCCTGATAGTAGTCTTCTATTGTCCATCGATGGTCTGGCCGCGTTTTGTCTCAAGATCGTCAGTCCGTGTACGACATTTTTCAGGGGTATCCGAGAAACTCCAACGAACAATACATGACCAGACCATCACAGAAAAGGGACCAAGACCCTGCACTTATGACAAACGACGTGACACATGTCTGTCTTGTATTCACTGCTACACCTCTATCTACTTAGTCTGGCATTCGAGAACGTCCTGGCATGGAAGCCCAGTTGACGCAACCAACGCAAAATTTCCAAGTGCAACGTGTTCCAGAACATAACCTCCGACGTTCTCTACAACCTGAATACCTCGCAAAAGTCCTATCAGAGGTTGTACTGCACATTATGAGTATCCAGTGTTCAGACACTCTCTACTCACCTTCGTTCTCAATCTCACTTTCTCAATCGTCCATCATGTTCCCAAGCGCACCCAAGTCGCTCATTGCTGGAACCACTTCCACTCTTTCCCGTCGTCGCCAGGCGCTCGCAGCCAGTGACCGCTTCACCAGCGCCAACAACAAGCCCGTTGCACCCATTCTTTTCGAGGACCTATGTTCCCGATGGAAATTGCCAGGCTCAAACAAGCATCTTCTCTGCGAGGACCCCGAGAACTCGCCTGCCAAGCGCCGCAAGACGGCTCCCACGACCGCTTCTACTGTTGGCGAAGAGGACTTTTCCCTCTTTGCAGATGAAGCCCCGTCCGAGGTCTCTTTACCGTCTTCAACTCATACGAGACGACGCAGACCACTAAGGCACGCTCTTTCTGTGCCGCTGAAAAGGCGCACAAGAGGCTTTTTCCCAACGCAGAAGCAGAGAACGCGCACCGAAAGCGCGCCCTCAAGCCTGTCGTTAGTGCATTGCCTTCTTCGCTGAACAACTCTGCTTCGACCTCCCCTTCTCTCCCTTCATTAGACTGGTCGTCTGACGCCATCATGACTAGTCCTATGCCGATCAACTCTGCTCAGTCTCAGCACGTCACGTCAATTTCACCGCTCTCTCACGGTTCCACCATTTCTCCCGTTACTTCCTCGTTGGACCAGGTCGAATTTGACTTTGCTTATCCTACAACGTTGCTCACGCCATTTGAGCAGATTGCACCGAGTCGGCAGGAGACAGCAGCTCAGCAAGCGTTTGGAATCGTTGGATATGAAGCAGGTTTTAATGCCAGCTTTGAGATCACCACCGGTAACGACGTGGGCAACTTCCCACTCGAATGCAACCCATCGGGTTTGCCATCTGACTCTGCGCTGCCGGCAAACATGGATGACATCGAGTTGTTCTTCTCGTCTCGGCCCACTTACGATTCGGCAGCCATGGCAAATCTTTCGCTCGCTGAACTTGACGCCATGGCTTCTCTGCGATGTACTCGGTCAGTCAGATCTAAACCTGCTCTCCCTGTTGCAGCTCAGCGCACGCCATATCGTCAAATTCAGCGAGCGCAAGACTCACCTTAGCTGTTGATCATAGGTGGGCTTCGGCGAGAAGACCACTCGATGTCATCCAAGTTGGCCGGCAGCGCAGAGTCAGATAGCAAATCCGATGGATACTTTTCGAGTGGGAAGAAGGCCGAATCATTACTGCTGGTGGTCTCAGAGCTGTCAGGAAAGACTGCGTTATATTCAACGTTTCCAAACATTTCTCTCGCTGCTATCTCCACCTGACCTGTTGCAAGCTGCTCATATGCTCACACGGCGAGAGCAATGTTGCAGGATAAGTAAAGCCAAACTCGATCTGGTTCAACGAGGAAGCACTTAGAGAAATGGACAAGTCGTGAGACAGTGGTGAGATTGACGCGACGTGCTGAGGCTGAGCGGAGTTGAGTGGCAAAGAACCAGTCGTGTTGGCGTCAGATGACCAGCTTGATGAAAGGAGCGAAGCAGAGGCAGAAGCAGAATTGTTTAGAGATGAAGGCAGTGCATCAAGCAAAGTCTTGGGGGCGCGCTTCCGGTGCGCATTCTCTGCTTCTGCATTGGGCAAGAACCTCTTGTGGGCCTTCTCAGCGGCGGAAAAGGAGCGAGCCCTGGTATTCTACGTCGTCTCGAATGAGTTGAAGATGGTAAAGAGACCTTGGACGGGTGCTTCATCTGCAAAGAGGGAAAGTCCTCTGCATCAACAGCAGAAGCGCTCTGCGGCGCTTGGCAGGCGAGTTTTCGGTGTCCTCGCAAAGGAGATACCTGTTTGAGCCTAGCAACCTCCATCGTAGGCACAGGTCCTTAAAGAGGATGGGTGCAGAGGATTTCTTGTTGGCGCTGGTAAAACCGTCACTGGCTGCGAGCGCCTGACGATGGCGGGAGAGAGTGGGAGTGGTTCAAGCAATGAACGACTTGGGTGCGCTTGGGGACATGACGAATGCTTGAGAGGGTGAGAATGGGAAAGAGGGTGAGTAAAGAGTGTCTGAATACTGAATACTAGAGAGAGAGACGGGTAACAGAGTCCTGGAAGGGTAAAGCTGACATTCCAGTACTCGAGAGAATGCAGGAAGATGGAGAGAAGAGAGAGCGTCATGGACATGTTCTTATAGCTCTCAACGAGCATTTGGCACTAAGTAATGGCCGACAGAATTTGCGCAGAATCTCAGCAGCAATTGTCTTGGAAGTGTCATTGCACTGACATCTCCATCTTTCTTGGAGTCGGACATGGCTGCAGATGGCGTTCAGGAAGATTGTGGCCGTCTCTACCCTGGTGTCCTGTCCTCAATGCGTGTAGAACCTCTGCTTCGACTGCTGTCCTAGTCCTTGCTGGCTCGTGTGGGGTTAGGGTCAATACTTGCCGATTTCAAAGGATTTTGACGATAACTAAAACTTGCACTTGCTCCGGTATCTGATGGGCTTATTCTGTGTCTGTATGGAGGGCAAGAGCCTTGAGAAGGGCTACTTGTCTTTTGCTCTAGATTCGATGCATGAGTAGTCTAGCTTCAAGCTTCGAAACTCAACACAATCACGCTTCTGCAAGCGGTGTTGTGATCGAAGTCGAAGCCTATCTATGATGGCCGAAGATGGCATCAAGGTCGGCTACTTTCGTTGTCTTGTATGGACTCTAGTGAGAGAAGCATACATCGGCTCCTCAGCTTGATTCACAGGTGCTTGTTGAGCCCGACTGCTGGAAGGGCCTCCCTTGAGGCTTGCGATTGCCATGAGCAGCTCACCTTGTTGGCGAGGCCTTGATGAACATGGGCCATCTCAATCGTGGGTTCTTGCTGCTAGTTCGATGTCAAGAGTGGCGTCAAGGCATGTCTTTGCTTTCGATACACTGTGGTCTACGTCCGGGATCAAGGCCTTGGTCTCCTTGTCCAATACATCTGCCAATTTAGGCTATATGAATGTCTCTTAGCAGACAGCAAGTTACTGCTGGACTTTCATCGGACCACATGAGCGCCTGGAGAGCTTCGGCTTCAGCAACCCGTCAGACAAGTTTCAAGGTTCAGAACAGTGCTATGCTATATGTCTTGCATGTTGCTAGACCAAGTCGCATTGTCAAGATGTGTCAGGGCCACTGCGCGGTATTCTCCGCAACACTGCTTGAGTCATGCATCCAGACGAGTGACTCAACAATTCAAATTTTCGCAACGGCAAAATTATTCATCTTGTGTCGCATGGACACAAATTGAGTCGGGAATGGAGACTACTCGCTTTTCAAAGATTTTCGTATACCTTACCCAACGACCCACTTTTCAGCTGCTCTCTCTCTCTAGCAGTCGCCGAGGACAACATAAGCTCAGTAATCTCTGTTGGTCGTTGCCTGGTGTCTTGGAAGGCCGTAAGGACGCATGTTGGGAGATAGCTTGACATCGAATTGGTGACTCATCTACTCAACGTCTCGCAGCTCTGGCTGGGTGGCAGCTCGCGTATCTGCGAAAGCGCCATGTGGTATTGAGCTGTGGCTAATAATAGGGAGCGACATCATCGTTGACCATTCGAATGAGGACCAGGCCCATGTTTCTCATCAAATTCAAGCCCAAATGATGGATGACTGAGTCAGACAGCGTCAACCTGACTCTCAGAATCCCCAATCAAGACAAATCGATGTCCAGCCAGCCGCCAAAATGCTAATCAGGCCTCTCTCTGAAGCGTTCATGGCGCTTCCAGCAGCGTCTGCACTCCCGCCGAGTGTCTTGCAATGACACTTCCAAGACAATTGCTGCTGAGATTCTGCGAACACTCTGTTCATTGTCGGTCATTACTCATTGCCAAATGCTCGTTGAACAGCCGTTGAACAGCTATAAGGACATGCCCATGAAGCTCTCCCTTTCTCTCCATCTTCCTGCACTCTCTCGAGTACTGTTCCCATCGGCCCTTCCCTTCCAGGACTTTATTACCCGTCTCTCTCTCGAGTATCCAGTGTTCAGACACTCTCTACGCACCCTCGTTCTCAATCTCACTTTCTCAACCCTCCATCATGTTCTCAAGCGCACCCAAGTCGCTCATTGCTGGAATCCCTTCCACTCTTTCCCGTCGTCGCCAGGCGCTCGCAACCAGTGACCGCTTCACCAGCGCCAACAACAAGTCCCTTGCACCCACTCTTTTCAAGGACCTGTGCTTCCGATGGAAATTGCCAGGCTCAAACAAGCATCTTCTCTGCGAGGGTCCCGAGAACTTGCCTGCCAAGCGCCGCAAGACGGCTCCCACGCGCGCCTCTGCTGTTGGCGAAGAGGACTTCCCCCTCTTTGCAGATGAAGTAGCCGATCAAGGTCTCTTCACCATTTTCAACTCATTCCAGACGACGCAGACTGCCGCGGCACGCTCTCTTTCTGCCGCTGAAAAGGCGCACAAGAGGCTCTTTCCCAACGCAGAAGCAGAGAACGCGCACCGGAAGCGCGCCGCCATGCTTGTCGTCGGTGCACTGCCTTCACCTCCCAAGAACTCTGCTTCGACCTCGCCTTCGCTCCCTTCATCAGGCTGGTCATCTGACGCCAACGCGACTGGTCCTTTGCCACTCAACTTCGCTCAGACTCAGCACGTCGCTTCAATCTCTCCTCTCTCTCACGACTTCACCATCTCTCCGGTTACTTCCTCGTTGGACCAGGTCGAATTTGACTTTGCTTAGCCTACAACGTTGCTCACGCCGTATGAGCAGATTGCAACGAGTCGGCAGGAGACAGTAGCCCAACAAGCCTTTGGAAACGTTGGACATGAAGCAGATTTTTCTGCCAGCTTTCAGATCACCACCGGTAACGATGTGGGCATCTTCCCACTCGAATGCAGCCCATCGGTATTACCATCTGACTCTGCGCTGCCGGCAAATGTGGATGACATCGAGTGGTTCTTCTCGCCTCGGCCCACTTACGATTCGGCAGCCATGGTAAATCTGACGTTCGCTGAACTTGACGCCATGGCTTCCACTGCGATGTACCCGGTCAGTCAGATCTAAACTGCTCTCCCTATTGCGTCTCAGTGGCGACGGATCCGCAATAATGGCCGCATCTTACCTGCTCTAGCCGAAAACTCACTACCCAGAATCACGAGACTTGACAAAGGAAAGCACTCTATTCGCTCCTTCTCCTGAGCATATTTGCATGTTTGGCCAATTTGCCACTTTTGTGCTTTAGACTTGTGTTTTAGGCTTTGTTCAAAGTGCTTTTGTATGCGTAGTCACTGTTGTATAACTTTTACTTTTGAATCACTCCCTAGTGGGTCCTTGACAGTAGTCTTCTACTGGACAGCGATGGTCTGGCCGCGCCTTGTTTCGAGATCGTCAGACTGTGTACGACATTTTTCAGGGGTATCCGAGAAATTCCAACAAACAATACATGGCCAGACCATCACAGACCAGAGATGAAGACCCTTAACTCATAGCCACCAACGAGACAGATGTCTGTCTTGGACTCACTGCTCCAACTCTATCCACACAGTCCGGCATTCGAGGACGTCTTGGCATGGAAGCTCAGTTGACGCAACCAATGCAAGAGTTCTTATTGCAACGTGGTCCAGAACACAACCCAAGACGTTCTCTACAGCCTGAGTACCTCGCAAAAGTCCCATCAGAGGTTGTACTGCACATTATCAGATGCGTATTGGAAGCGGGAGACGACGAGACATGCCAAATTGCCAATAACGACACGTTGCGTGCATTAAGGAGTACGTGTCAGAGACTCAACGATATTGCAACGCCTCTGGTCTTTGCTCAGCTAAGATACATGGACATCAATCGACTCAGTACATCCAGTAGATGTCTTGGTAGTATACTGCAACGGCCTTTTGCAGAGTTTGTGCGAAAACTGGAAGTTCGTGTTCAGCTCCTACTTCAACCTGCAGCAACATATGACACTGCCTCCGCTGGCCCTGTACGGTCTCATCTTTGCAAGTTGACGAAGCTGGAAGAACTGATTCTGCATGATATGAGTCCAAAGCACGGTTTCTGGAAGAATGGCTTTGCGCGGCAGAATGTCATCTACACCGCCAACGTCGTTGATGCATTGAACGACATTTTGGCAGCATCCTCGAAGACGCTCAAGAAGCTGTCTTTTATCAACTACCGTACTTGCTATCTGCCAAATCTCGAACCTCCAGTGGCTCAAGCAAGTCAATCGAAAACAAGCTTGGCTGGACTCAGTCACTTTACCCTCACTTTGAGACCCAGAAAGCAAATTGGGGAGTATGAATCTGCTCGAGAATGTGATGCACGCCTCCACTCACTGTTGCTGTCAGCCAAGAACATCACTCACTTGCGTCTCGAGCTTGACGAGTTCATTACAGGTGCAGACCTCTGGCCAGGTTTGTTCTTTCCAAATCTCTTCAAACTCCACACAGCACGAATTGATGCCATTGAAGCTACTGATAGTACTTTTATGATTTTGCATGGAAAGACGCTGAAGCATCGTGTTGTCGAGGAGAGCTTTTTCGTTGGCAGGAGTGCAGATTGGAGTCGACGTCTCATGGACTCCAGCATTCGCTTGGAATCATTCATCGTCAAGAACACCGCCCTCACGGATCTGGATCCAGGAGAGGTAGATGATCACTTGACGTGGTTCGACTACTTTTGCATTTGCCCCTTGAAAGTCTATGAGATGCACCTCACAAAACGAGACTACTACACACCAGCACTTCAGTCTCATCTGGACTTCATGAAGTGGCCTCCTTGTCTAGAAATGATCAAGTTGAAGGCTTGTGGTCTGCAACTCGATCACCTGCGAGATCGGATCATGCGAGAGCACCCGAATGCGTCAGTGCATGTCGAGATGCTCGAAGAGTGGGATGAGTCTGATGACTAAGACCAGTATGGCTAAGCGTGTATAGTCTTTATCCTTGTGCTCTCTGCCATGCGACAGATAGAACAATAATCAGACAGCCAAGTCACCATTTAACTAGAGGATCTTGGAGCCCATCTGAAGCGAGTGCAGCTACGTCCAAAGTCGCGACGTCTGCGACAAGAGCTCCTCTAGGGGGCTACATTGAGCCATGTCTACACGAGACGACCCAGAGTTCAATCAAGTGAGCGGTCGGTTTGAGTATGAAGATGAAGACGGCCAAACATTCGAACAAGATCCAACCACCAAAGCCTGGCACCCCGTCCTGTCGCCTGAACAAATCGAAGCGCAGCAAAAGGCATACGCGATAGAGGGTGTTTCAGAGGAAGCGGTGCCTGCAAAGAAACGCAGAAAGGAGGCGATAGAGGAAGATGGCGTTTCTGGAAAGAAGGCGAAGCGGAAAGGCGACGATACTGCGGATTCTGGTGCACCTCAGCGGAAACCGAAGGAGACAGCTGTTTATGTACAGGGCCTACCATTGGGTGTTACGGCGACAGAACTTGCAGAGACATTCAGCAAGTGTGGCTTGCTTGGCGAAGACCCACTCACCTCACAGCCGCGTATCAAGATTTACACCAACCCCGATGGCTCTCAAAAGGGCGACGCACTCATCACGTATTTTCGCGAGGAGAGTGTCAGTTTGGCCATCACTATGCTGGATGATATTGACTTGCGTGGTGATGGCAAAAGTCGGATACGTGTGGCCAAGGCTACATTTGAGCCACGACCAGAGCAGTCTGCAGAGGGCAAGGCCAAGCCACCTGCTGGTGAGCATGTGGTGAGTGAAAGCACTTTACGGGAGAAGAAGAAGAAGAAAGCCGGGAAATTACGTGCAAAGCTGAATGACTGGTCGAGTTCGGAAGATGAACGAGAAGCCTTCTTGCCAGGCCGCAAGGATGCCACAGCAGATGCCGGACGTCATGCCAAGGTTGTTGTGTTGAAGCACATGTTTACACTTGCTGAGCTGGATGAAGACCCAGGCCTGCTGCTCGAAGTCAAGGCAGATGTACGGGAAGAGTGCGAAACGATGGGTGAGGTGACGAATGTGGTTATTTACGACGCAGACCCAGCAGGTGTGCTCATGGTGCGCTTCAAGGAGCCAGCCGCTGCGATACAATGTGTACGCAAGATGCACGGCCGCTTCTTTGCGGGGCGACAAGTTGAGGCCACCCTGCATGATGGCAAGACGAAGTACAAGCGGTCTGCTAAGCATGCTGGTGATGAAGACGACGAGGAAGAAGCCCAGCGGCTGGCCAAGTTTGGCAGCTGGCTCGAGGGGGATAATGAGGACACGACGACATAGTCTATGCTATATACCTTCTACTTACACCCTATGCCCTGTGATACTAGATACTTCTATAGACAGCCAGAGCATCAAGAGGAGCTCTCCCTGTCGCAATAAATTTTGGCGACGAGAAAGAGATGCGACGACCTACTGCTTACTCACTGGATACTAGCTAGTGCCCTGGGTCGCAAGAGATTAGCTCAGAGACTCCGCAGTGACCATGCTGCTCGAGCAATTCGACCTCCTGCGCAATCAAAGTCCGCAGAAACGACTCGACGCGACACTCAAGATCTTCGAGCACCTCAAGCTCGACACCATCCCAGCGGCGCCTGTCAGCAACCTCGAGACGCTAAAGGAGCATTATGGAGATGATGTGCATTATGCATACACAAGGCTGTCTCGTGGACTGGCATCCAACAGGGAAGCAGCGAGACTAGGCTTCTCTGCATGCTTATCCGAACTGCTACGAGCCTTGCCTCTCATCGATCTCTCCTTCGTCCTTGCATCCATCGAACGCTCTACAACACCCGTTGGCAACGTCAAGGGCCAGGAAACGCGAGACTACCAGTTTGGTCGTTTATTCGGACTCCAAGCGATCGTCACATCCGGTATGCTTGTGCGCAAGGAGACATCGAAGGAGCAGATCCGTGATCTGGTAGGGATGCTATTTGAACTAAGTCTGAGCAAAGGCTGGCTTCGTGAGAGTTGTGCCTCTGTCATCATCCAAGTATTGGACATGATGGATGCTACTGCTGCGAATCAAGGCAAGGCTCAAGGGAAACTATCAAAGTCACTTGCAAAATTGCCGCGAAAGACTGCAGAGATGGTTCATGAAATGCTGGAAAGTAGTCATATGGAGAAGACCATGGAAGGACTCGCTCTTCACTTGACGTGCACCAGATTGGGCTCCAAGAAGGCTTTGGGTGGTACATGGAAGAACGACAACTTGCTGGCTTCCGAAAATCTGCCGGCCATTGCAAGTATCATGCTCGAGCAGAGCGTCACAGATAAAGCCGATGCTGCTGAAGAAACAGATGATGTAAAAGCAACAGGTACGTGGAAACCCAAGCTACACTTTGCATGGGTCGTTCTCCTCAAAGCAATCATTCGCGCCGATGCTTCTGCAGAAACTGAGACCATCACCCTTGCTCGATTTTGGAGGCAATTGGTAGATGAAGCCATGTTCTCTCAAAGTGCCTCGCATGAACGCAAATTTCACGGCCTCCAATTGTTGCCTACGGCACTGGCAATGGTCCCATCAGGACAAGTCAGTGATCTCTTTAGCGCAAACCTGCTCAGAACGCTTATCAACCAAATGGGACAAGAAGACCGATACCTCCACAAAGCAGCCAAGAGCACACTACAGCAGATTGTTGCCATTTGCGAAGCACAGCCAAGTAAGGCGATGTCAGTCGTTAGGCAGCTCATGGACACAAATCAAGGGACAATCATGTTCGATCGACTATCAAAGACCAAGACGTGCGAACAAATCATGCTCGCTGTTCCTCAGGATGAATTTGAGAATTTGACTACTTTCCTGCTTGAGCTCAGCCGAAAGCCTTCCCTCGACGGTACTGAAACCAAGGATGCTGATCGAGCAAGACAATACCTGGCCGATATCTTGATCACGCTCCTCAAGTCACCTAAAACAGTCAAGACTGATTCATGGGTGCTGCCCATCTTACGCTTCTTCATTAGTGGTGGCCTATTTGATGCCTCGTCAAGCAAGAAAGTACTCTATCTTTTCGAACCGGCATTGTCATCAGCTATACAAGATACGTACAAAGCTCGCATTAGCATTGCGCTTGGCCATCTTCTTCCCGGTAAGCTCAACACCGAGGATTCAAAAGAATTGTACGCCGTGCAAGCAATCCACGAAATTTCCACACTCGTTGCGAATAAGCACTACACACTACGACTTGCGCCAGATGAGCAGATCCTCAGTCTTCTTCAAACTGCGCTGCAACATTTGAATGAAACCACAAAGGCGTATAAACAGGCTCAATCACCTGGTGAACAAGCACAAGGTCTGGCCTTTTCATTGCTCTACAGTCTCTCCATCCTACACATCTATCTTGGCGAACCAGATGGCGTTGAATTGCTTGAAGACCTCGAAGCTTCCTATGCACCACTCAATACCCTTTCAGCCGGTAACAAGTCACAGTCGCCTGCATTACAAACACTGGTTGATTTATTGCTTGCCTTGCTGAGTAAAGAATCTGCCATGCTTCGGAAATTGGTGGAGACTGTATTTAGTGCGTTTGCCAGAGAGATGCAGGCTGAGGATCTTCGACTACTATTGAATGTGCTTGAGGCGCAAGAAACTGGCGAGGGCTTGTTTGATAAGGATGAGGAAGAGCAAGATGATGACGATGAAGAGGGTGATGATGATGAAGACGACGAGATGGAAGATGAGGAGGATGCAGCAGAATCTGAGTCTGAGGAGGAGGAAGAACAAGATGACAACGAGCAGACAGAAGCAGATCGCGAACTGGATGCTGCCTTGATTGCAGCACTTGGACCAGCAGCGCAACAAAAGCGGAAAGCAGAAGCAATAGAGGACGAAGATGATTCTTCAAATGAAGAATTGATGGACGACGATGCCATGCTCAAAATGGACGCGCACCTAGAAAATATCTTCAAACGACGCAAGAGTGCAACCAGTGCACAAGCAGCGAAACGACAAGATGCCAAGCAATTCAAGCAATCCACTATTCAGCTCAAGTCGAAAGTATTGGATCTACTCGAAATTTTCATCCGCGAGAATGGTAGTGGTGTCCTTGTCATGTTGTGCGTCCTGCCGATCCTCAATGCGGCCAAGAGCACAAGCGACGTAGCGCTCGCTGACAAGGCGCGCAATTTGGTCAAGCAAAAATTGACAAAGCTCAAGACCTTGCCACAACTCGACGAACAAGGCATATCGGAAGCTTGGACGACTTTACAAGAAGTGCATCGACTCGCTGGGTTGTCTCCTACACCACCGTTCGCAGCCATGGCATCGCAGTGTTCCACTTTGCTCGCAAAAGTGCTTCTCCATTCGGCCCCAAATAATGCCAAGGCAACCATGCGTCTGCTGATTGACCAGTATGCCTCTAGTCAAGCACAATGGATGAGCAAGAAGCGTTCAGCATACGGTGCCGCGTTCTTCACCGACTTTACGAATTGGTGCGCACAATATCGTCAAAAATAGCATATCAGCATAGTCAATGTTCAAGAATGATCCATGGCCTCTTCCTTGACTGCCACAGGTGCTCTTTGTCCACCGCACAGGGCTGTACGCAGTTTCGCATCCATCTCTGCCATCTTCTCAGGCGTCTCGGGGAAGCTTGACATGGCGACGCGATCGGGCAAAATTTCAATCACATTACCGTTCTTGCCATGTTTGAGTGTTCTGTCTAAAGTTCCGAGGATAGTAGACATTTCCACAAAACCAAGTGTCTCGCCAATCACTTTTGTGAACAGATCCTCGCCACTTCCTCCGTCGTCCGTGCGAATTGGGGGTGTTGAACTACGCTCCGGAGCATGAAACAGGGGAGAGGCCGGAACTGGAATTTCTGGCGGTGGTGGTGACAAATGCCGGTGTTTTGGAGGTAGGTAGGTGCTGGGTGCCAGGACGATGATGCGCCGTCCTTTGTCGATTGGAGAATTGGCAGTTTCGAGGGCAAGAAGAGGTGCCAGACTTCGAGCAAACCCAATGAGACCATGCTTGCTTGCACTATACAGCGGCTGTACACTACTTGGATAGATGCCGGTGGTCGATGCAATGATAATGATGCATGCATCAGAAGAGAGATGTTGCAGACTGCTGTACACTGTCGCAATAGTGCCGCACAAATTGACTTGAATATTGAGAAGATTCGGCGCCTCTTCTACAGCAGACGGATCACCATTCGCTTTGCCCATGGCAGGGATAAATGAGTCTGGCACATTGACCCCTGCAACGCAGAGAAGCAGATCGATACGCCCAAACACCTCGACAGTGCGCTTCATCAGGCTATCAAGTTGCCGCGCATCTCTGATATCTGTGCGCGTAAACAGCAAGCGCGACACAGTCCGGGGTGCCGTGGCATGGATCTGGAGCAAGAGCGACTTTGACAATGACGTGTTGATATCACCAAAAGATACTAGTCCGCCGCGCGCCAGGATGTGCGTGATGAAGCAGAGGCCCATCCCTGATGCTCCGCCTGTGATCACGACCACTTTATTTTTGTAGTCATAGGCCGACATGGCCGTTACCTCGAGTCCAGCAGAGCCTGTGCGAGGATACTTGGTCACTATGCCATGGTACCGTTACTGGAGGTCGTCGTCTCGAGAAACGCGACGAGATGGGACAGCAGGACAGGAATCGACACTACAGTGTCCAGCTGCAAACACCAGGTACTACACAATAGTCTACACGGCAGAAGGTTATTTAGGATGCCCATGCTCCTTTTCATCGGCAACAGTCGCTGCACTTCGCACAGCCTGTTGCTGCTGCCAATGCGACCGAAGCTGGTCCAACTCATTTGCCAGCAAATCCAGCGCTGACGAGGTCCTCGCCTTGCTGTCCAGAGCCGGCGAATCTTCATGCTCAGGAGAAGCAGGCGACGTAACAATAATGCTGCGCCTGTATGTGTCCACTTTTTGCTCAAATTGATCCAGCAGCAGCGATACTTTCTTCTCAGCCTCCTTCATTCGACGCTCCAGGTCACGGTTCTCGAAATCCAGCTTCTGATTGGCAAGCTTGGTGTCTTCCAACTCTTGCTCCATCTGCTTGACCAACCTTGGATCGCTTGCCGAGTCTCGGTGCTTGGTCAATTGAGCTTCCAGGTCCTGAATCTTGGATCGGTGCGATGATAGTTGCGTTTCAAAGGCAGCTTTTGACTGTTCCAGCTCTGTGCTCATCAAAATACGCTCATGAGTAATGCTCTTGAGCTGAGCTTCAAGTTCCGCAACTCCCGGCGCAGCATCAGCACCACCTAGCCCACGCTCTCCATGCTCTGCGCCGCCATTCGTCGATTTCTCATCAAGCTGCGCCTGCAGACGCGCATTTGCAGACTTGTACTTGCCAAGCTCCTCCTTCATTCGTCGCAGCATCTTTTCAGTTCCCTTGACATAATGCACGGCAGATTGATAATCAGCCTCAAGTTGACTCAAACGATCCTTATAATTTTGCGTCGACTCTGCAAGCTGCCTTTCGGCTTCTTGTGCGCGTGCTTGCGCTAGTGTTACTTCTTTTGGTAGAGACGATTGACGCACGGATGCACGCCGTGCAACGGCACTCAGCTCATTCGCTGAAGTAGAAGGACCTCGTAATTCGGTAGAAGCATCATCAACTTGTGACCCAGCAGCAGAGCCGGATCTTGCAAGCTCCTGCTCCAAACGAATACTTCGTGCTTCAGCCTCTTGCTGTCGCGCAACGGACTCAGTATGCCTTTGTGCCAATACTTTGGACTCCGCAACAGCCTTGTCATGAGATTGCTGCATCTCCTTTTGTAGTGACACGGCCTCTGCCAGACGCTGTTCCACCTCGCGCAAGCGCGATGTATCTGGCGTTGCAGAACCGCCAGACCCACGCAACGAAGACGGTGAAGTCAGCATACGTGAACGCCGCTTTTCCGTTGAGTTTTGTCGAACGATAGATTCCTCCGAGTTTGTCGCCTTTTCTTGTATCAGCTGCTGCAAAGTCATCAATCGCATTTGTGTTTCCTCTAGCTGTGTGTGCTTCTCCTTGACTTGATTCTCAGCAGCAGTATGCTTGGCTTCGAGGGCCGAAGTCTCGCGCTGTAATTGAGCAAGCTGTCGTTGTGCAGCAAGTCGAAGTCTCTGATTTTCCCGCGACTCACGTTCGAGTTTTGCAATTTGGTCCCTTGCACGAGTCAAGTCTGCAACATGCGATTCCGATTGTTGTCGTGCAGTCTCGTGCAACGCACGCGTCGCGTCAAGATCACGCGACATATTCTCCACTTGACTCTTGAAAAGCGTTGGATCATCATGCGGTCCAAAGTTGCGTGCTCGTGTTACAAGATCCGTCAAGCCAGATGCAAGACTCTTGCGTGTCACTTCAGAATCTTCACGCGCAGCAGCCAAGTCTCGCTGTAATGTTTCCTTGTGCGTGACATGCGCCTCTGCCTCCGCCTTGACTTTGGCAAGCTCGCCTTGCATGACTGCCAGCTGTTGTCGCAAATCAAGTGCATCCGCTCTCTCCTTCTCGAGTGCTTCTTCGGCCGCTTTCGCTTGCATCGTAGCACGCTCGACTGCAAGTTGCGTCTGCTCAACGACTGCTAGGTGTTGTGTATGCCGCTGCTCCAAATCTCGCAACTTGTCTGCATCCACGGACCGCTGCGACAAGGTGGATTCGGCAGTGACGGCACGATGCCGATGTTGTTCAAGGTCTGTCAAGAGACCTGTATGCGTTTGCTGTAATGATTCGTGCTGCTCCAATAATTCAGCATATCGACTCTCATAGCCCGTCAACGCTTCAGCATGAGAAGCGAGGGTCGCGCTGTGCTCTTCATGAGCAACTTCCTTCGCGGCCAGTTCTCGTCTTAGGCCATCGATTTCACGCTGAACTTGAGTATGTTGCCACACAGCCTGGCCAAGACGTTCCTCCAGATCATTGCAGCGCGTATGCTCAAGAGACGACAACATGTCCGTATTGCCATGTAGAAGCGCTACATTGCGCGCTCGTTCAAACGCAGCTTCTCGTAGTGCAACGTCGCGTTCACTTTGAAGCTGCGCCACTTGACTTTGAACTGCGGATTTGGCAGCTTCGAGCTCTTCCTTAACATTTGATATTTGCGAATACACGGCGAGTAGCTCTGGAGAGGGTTCTGGCTGACTTTCTGAAATTTGCTCAGCATCTTCTCTGGGAACATAACCTTGTCGACGAGCCAGACCAAGTTCTGCTTGCAGCCATGCAATTTTTGAACGCAACTCCATGGTGGAGACTGCTGAAGTTGCAGACGCGAGTGGTGCACCATTGAGGCTGTCTAGTTGGTCTAGAGACGCTTTGTGCCGCAGAGGTGGTGCAAGCACAGTTTCTGGACTATCCTTGATGGCTTCTCTGTGCGGACGAACGACATTTTCATTCATGTCAAGAGGTGTGACAAGCTGTCTTGCGCGCGTATCCACAGTGAGACGCGGCGGCGGTTGCAGTGGTGCCATGTTTCGATCTTGCTTGATGGAATCCATGGATGACATCTTAGTCAATTGCCGTGGTAGCAAAGTCTCTTGTTGATTGCCCACCTGTCGCTCACTCAACAACCTCGTAGGTGTATTGGAAGATCGTTTGTCTGTGTGATCCATCAAGCTGTCCAAGCTGCCTGACCGTTTCACCGGCTGACGATTCTCATCAAGCAGTTGTGAGCCATTGCCGTAGTAGGCCCGCATAGAGCCATGTGACGCTTGCCTAAAGCCGCTCGGGTTCGGTTGTGAGACGTTCCGCGCAGTGTTCGCCGTACTTGGCCGCATGACACTTGATTGCAGCAGATTGGCATTGGGTGATGGTACGTTTGAAACACGACGCCGCGTTGATTGCAACTGAGGCATATCTCTCGTCGACGGTCTAGCAATACCCGATGAGGCATTCTGGGGCGCACCAATGGAGGGCAAGCGACTTGTTGAGGTGATACTTTGTCCAGAGACGGAACGAATCGTATTGCTTGATGATTCTTTGTCACTGCGCGGATACGCTGGTGCTTCACTTCGTGGATACTGTGCAGGCGGCTCACTATACTGTGAATCTGGCGCTCCATTCGAACTCGTTTGCAGCTGCGAATCAGGCGCGGGCGCTTTGGGGTCTGCCGGATAGCGAATCTTCGTGGTGTCGAGGATATACGCCATTTGCTCATCACCACGCACACTGGCACCTTCGCCACCCACAACAAAGATACGCTTGTCGACTGTTGATAAAGCATGCCCTGAACGAGGACTTGGACCGGCTCCCATATTTTGGAATGTAAACCAGCGGCTTGTAGAGATTTTGAAAGCTGCTAGATCGCCGAGATCGTTACCTTCCATGTCGCGGCCACCAAAAACGTAAATAACATCGCCAACAAGAGAAGCAGCATGACCCTCACGCGGTTGCGGTACAAAGCCAGAGCATTTCAACAGTGTCCAGATGCGCGTGAGTGGATCGAAGCGCCAAATGTCGTTATACCATTCCACGCCATTGGTACCACCAAAGACATAAAGTTTATCGAGGTGCGTGACGGCAATGTGATTGGTTCTGCTGGACGGCGGTTCGCTGCCTTCGACGGGTGTGATGAGTTCCCAACGCGGATTCGCATGGTTGAGGGTGTTGAGATCAAATGCGACAAGGTCGTTAAAGAAAAATCCGTCTACTTGCCCACCGAAGACGAGCACTTTGGGACCTAGCATGTTGAGTGTATGCCCATAGCGCCCAGACGGCCGCGCACCCGTGACATTGGCGACAGACCAAAGCTTAGTGGATGTGTTGAGCAGATATAGGTTTTCATCGTTGTCACCACCGGCGTTATCTCCATTCTGCTTCGTATCGCCTCCAAAGACTGGAAATTAGTATCGATTTGCACGCTAGTTGAACACTTACCGATGAATGCATTGCCAACTAGCAGCGCAGCATGGCCGACCCGCGGTGAGGGTCTATCTCCTGTTGTTGCGACCTGTGACGCCTGCAACCCAGCCGTCTCAATGATCCACAAGTCAGCCTTGGCATGCTCCTTGACAAGACCGCCGAAAATGTAAATACCACCTTCCTTGCCTGCCAGCGCATTGGTCGCGTGTCCATAACGTGGGAAAGGGTTGAGATTACTCAATTTACGAGACGACCATGGATATTGCGGTGTTTGTGTCGCGTTGGCAGTCCCTGCATTGTTGCTTTGACCATTGACGAGCGCGCTACTGCCAAAGGGTTTCGGTAGGTGTCCGCTACCACTTTGCAACCGCTCGCGTCTTGGTTCACTCGTATTGGCGAGCGGCGAATGGTTCGCTGCTGCGTTGTAGTTGCCTTGCAGGCGGTCCATGGAGCCCACGGGCGACGGGGTTTGTGCGCTGCCGCCTGCTGTTTGGCCCTTCTTCTTGGACTTGAATAGAGATGCCATGAGACAAAGAAGGGAAGTTGCTTAGTGTATATAGATGCTTATAGAGGCATATCTCTGCCTGGGCCGTGTGCCTGTGGGCGTGCTTGCTGTCGTTGCTGCTTGTGGCTCGCTGTTGGTCGTTGTTGTTGAGAGGACGCAATCAGATGGCACAAACATTCGTCGCCCAAATCAACAATACAGTGTCAATACTGCAGCTATCTCTACGATGTATTTGTGTGCGGGAGGGGCCTTCACTTCAAATCACCAAAGCCATTGTTGCGTGTAAGTGGCGACCACGTACACTCCGTGTATGGGCCTCTCATATGATCCGTCTGCATCCTCAACCCACAAAATGTAACATCGCCAGACGGGGTCCTGTACCCCAAGATGTGCATTTGACGTACAGCAGTCTCTCCAAGGCCCGGTGGAACGATTTCAAAGTTCATCTGTCGTCAGCTTCCATCATCATCCACGTGGCTTACTACGACTCACCAGGTAATCTGAATGCTTGCACTCGGGGTACCCCTTCGCTGGTGTGTGCCAACTCTTGTGCTCAAAAGGTATTGTGATCCATGGGTTGGCCATCATTCCAAAGGAGCGAATCATAGACGCCAGTCCCTTTGCGTTGATAACGACATTGTGCGCGCATTGAAAAGAGCCTGTGCTTCTGAAGTGTATATTGTTGGGATACGCACAGTGGAGAAGGCAAGCGAAGATAAGGTGCAGAAGCATGTTGAGGTAAGTACTTAGTGAATGTAGATTGTACATGACTAGAGAAAAGCTGCTGCTTAAGCTTCTGATAAGAATCGAGCTTCAGCCCAGCAAACAAGAGGTCAAAATCCTTCCAGCCCCTGAGAGTCCCTGAAATGCCAGAGACCATTCTAGAGTGTCGACTTGATGAACAGTGGAATGTATTCTGCGCAGGCTTCGGTACCAGGTGAAGTAAAGCTCAAGTAATGGAAGCCTCCATCTACAACTTTGAAGGACCACACATTAGGAAGCTTCTTGGCCCATTGTTGCGCACCAGCAACACTGTAGATCGTATCAGCCGTACCATGCATCACCAAGACAGGCACCTTGATTTCTCCAAGTCGATCGACGATGGAGTCACGACCGGACAAACATCGCATAGCAGGGTCGTATCCCCGAGAACCTGAATGTCGACGTCGCCAATTCTCACAGATCTGCCGGTACGTCTCTTCACCGACCACTTCTGGCCCGCCGAAACTGCCCGTCTTGGTACGCATGGCGTCTTCTGTTGGAATATCGGTTGAGCACCAAAAGTCACGGACTTGCTTGAAGAGTTGCTTGTTTTCGTCGCTTTCAGAGGCGGCATTCGTACCGAGCAGGATGAGACCTTTGACGGCGGTTTGAGCGGCCGGGTCGGTCGATTCTGAGGCGAGGAGAGCCATGCGCATGGCAATGAAGCCGCCTTGGCTCGTTCCGAGGATATAGAAGCGCGGTACACCAAGTTCCTTCATCAATGCAAGGCCATCGCGAGCCGAGTCCCAGAAGGTAAAGTCCTCGGGCCCTTCCGTATAGCCGTGTCCGTGCTCATCAACAGCAACCAGATTGAATGCCGCAAACGAATCATCCTCAAACTGAGGAAGATAGAGACGCGAGTCCATCAAGAAGGAATGAAACAAGACAATGGTCTCTTTGCTTTGATCGAGAGGTCGTGCGAGGCGATACGCTAGTTTGACGCCATTGTCTAGCTCGCACAGCTGAACAGGGTAGGAAGCCATGTCTGATGAGTTGTCTTTCGAGAGACTGTACGAGGGCGTTCAAGTAGACTATTTAGGTCTATCGGTCCAAGAATGTCCGCAGGCTAGCGGGGTGATTGTATAGATGCTTCGCTTCTCCCCGGGAAAGTGGGGCCGCACAATCACGTTGTCCACCTTGACGAGCAGTCTCGCACTACCACTCTTTGACATTACTAGAGTCTCCTATAAGCTGGCTATAGCGCGTGGAAGGAAAGCCAGGCTTGTCTTGCTTGAAGCTGCATACAGTTGAACGCTGACGCTGTTCTTTCTCTCAATATATCATCGAGAGCTCCACGTCCCGTAAACATTCTAATGTACTGGGCTTTGTCTATCGACCGCCTCATCTCACGCTAGATATCAGGTTTGTTGAGAAGCGTACAGGTCTGAACATTCAAGTGACTATGGGTCCTCTAAGCATGCATGGATCACTTGTCGAGATACGACGAAAAGTGTCCCACACCTAGGCCAGTGCAAACAAAATTTCGCAGGCTGGCACTGTCAGACCACTGAGACCAGCATTAGCTTTGGTCTAGACCGCAGGGTACTGCATGCACAGGAGTCGACCATCCGCAAACAGCCTTGAAGCAGGCCATGTGAGCGTGAACGAGGAGAACGACGTACCAATCGGCATTGCGAATTTCGGTGTTGTGTTTGCCAGGCATTTGCTTAAGCTTGACAGCGCGTCAAGTTGCGACCAGCACGTCGAACACGATGTTCATGAGGATTCTATGCTACACACGACCAGATTCATGTCAGGAAAGTACAGCAAACTCCCGAATGGGAATGGAAACGACGACCACGAGGCTACATGCTCAGCGTTGGCCTGCAAAACGACCACTAATCGGCAATCGGAGCGATTGTTGTATTCAAGTGAAGTGAGCGCGACGGAGCATCAACACAAGGTGAGGCACCTACAACATTTGCCCAAATGAGCATTCATACGACATGCACGAGGCTAGATGCCAGAGCCTCTTTGTTGGGTGACTGTGCTTCCGTGCGAACGTGTCTATAAAGGGACCATCCCGGCACTTCCAAACGTAAGAACCAACACACCATCAGAAGATGCTCTCCCAATCTCTCTTGACTTCCTTGGCCTTCAGCACACTCATCGTCGCCCAGCCTACGGAATCTGAAATGAAAACGCAGAATTCCATTCACTTCCCTTCGAAGACCCAGTTGGTCGAATGCAAGAACCAGGAGGGTTACATCTCTGTCAAAGCAAATGACATGGCGATCTGGTTCAAGGATGACGACGTAGTCTTCCCTTACTCTCAGAAGAAGTACGGGGCAATCCCTCAGACTTGTTTGCGATCCGGGCTTGATTTAGTTGTGGTCACCAAAACAGTTCCGTGCCAATCTAGCCAACAAGGTGATTACTATCAGGATGATGTTACTACGCCTGGGAATGACTATTGCCATGTCAGTCTTTGGGGCTGGAAGAAGTCAGATGGACACGAAACGCTCATCAAGGACATCAAGGCGAGGGCCATTTGCGCCATTACGACAACTGACGCACCACAGATCCGTGGACCAGTCAACACTCCGTGTGAGACAGTTGATCACCAGAACTAGAATTAGATATTACGTTCTGAATTGGACTATTGCAAGTTGCAATCAGCTTTCCTAGCCATAATGAACTATACCAAGTCTATAATGGGAACATCGCCATTCGTTAAGCCGCAGAATAGTGTTGCTGACAGTAGTGCGATGTCCTGGCAAACTTTATGAAGCTTAGCTGTCCAGTCAGCATCGAGCCGTACTTGTACTCTAGTTGAGAGCGCGTATTGCTGAGATGATGACAGTAGCGATATCCGTGTCTGTATCATGAATTGCCACAACTGATCCAGCAGGTCTATCAAGCAAGTGCTGAACTCGCTCTAGCAGTGTTATTTGCCACCAAACAGTCGTAAGACCCATTGCGCAGATTTCTGCAAAAGCTAGCCATCTGCTCGAACAATCAAGACAGTCACGTCGAAAGGTGCATACAGCCAAGATCGCTGTACATGAGGGATGCAGTCTATCCGGCACGAGATGGAGGCAGTCAGCCAGTGTGGAGCTATGTTGGTTCTACCGATCCCTGCACGAATCTGCCGTCACAGCAAGATTGCCTGACTGTTCAAATCACTGTCAGGGGTCAACCCTTCTGTAGGTGCAGAGAAAGCCTGGCGACTTGTTAAAATTGAAGTTGGTGTTGCCACGGACGTCGATTCAGCTCGTCAACTCGAAATTTGATATCCACCGACGACGTCCAACGTATAGCTGCTACCTACGACACTGTAGATTATGCAGCAAACCCTCCTTTTCTTAGGTCTGGGCTTTCAAAGGCTCTGGCATTAGATGCATGACAAGCTGCATGCGCTCTTCTGTGCCTGCTACTAGTCATGTCTGAGGTTGGCAACATGTTGCTTTCTTTTTCTTTGTTTCGTTGTCCTACATACCTGCTTCTCCCAGGACTCTATGGCCTATATAGGAACTCAGCGGCACAGCCACTTGTTCCGTCTTCAGAAGCTCTATGTTGCTATCTCTCTTCATAACGAAGCATCGACAGCTTCACGTACAGTGGCCTCATCAATATCAGCGCTGGAATTACAAACCTTCGCGCTGAGCTCTCTCCTCGTGCGTGTTCCATACGCCAAGATGCTACGGCGATGTCTTCCGCACCTGGACCACTAGAACAAACAAACATCTCTGGTTCGCGAACCAGCCCAACAAACGTCTAGACCGCGACCTCTTATTTGTCCAGGAGACATTTGCTATCAATAGCATCATCAGCTTCGACTGCCATTCGGCGAGCTACACCATGGACCAGCCGAACGACAACCAATCGGCAATCGGCATCTTGCGCGATTTGTTGTGTTTGCCTGACATTTGCCCGACGGGCCGTCAACACGATGCGAGGCAACTACAACATTGACCCAACAGAGCATCAATACGATATCCACGAGGCTAGATGTCAAAGCCTCTTTGTCGGGTGACTGCGCTTCCGTGCGAGCGTGTCTATAAAGGGTTCCGTCTGGCACTTCCAAACGTAAGATTCGACACACCATCAAAGGATGCTCTCCCAATCTCTTTTGACTGCCCTGGCTTTCAGCACCGTCATCGTCGCCCAGCCTATGGGATCTGACACAAGGCCGCAGACGCTGATCCAGTTCCCATTGAAGCGCCAGGAGATCCAATGCAATGGCGGGCCAGGTTCTATTTATGTCAAAGCAAAAGACATGGCTGCTTCGTTCAAGGACGGCACTGAAGCCCACCCTGCGGAGGACGAGAATATACCTCAGAGTTGTCAGACTTACGGAAAAGGTGTGTTTGTGGTTTCAAACTCGACAGTTCCGTGCCAGTCTTCTCAACAACACGATTTCCTCCGCAGTGATCCTACTAGGCCTAAGCATATCTATTGCCAAGTCAGTCTTTGGGGCTGGAAGAACACAGATGGACCCAAAACGCTCGTCGGGGACATCAAGAAGGACGGTGCAATTTGCGCCATTACGGCAACTGACGCACCACATGCGTCGTTACAGGATACATCCTTCACACCATGTGAGAATGCCCCAGTTCAGAACTAGAATTAGAAATTATCTCTTTGACCTGAACTATGGCAAGTTAGAATCTCAGCTTTCCTTGCCATGAAGAACTATACCTAGTCTATGAAGGGAACATCGCCATTCGTTAAGACGCAGAATAATGCTCCTCTCCGTCGTGAGATGCCATGGCAAACCTTCTGAAGCCCAGCTAGTGAGTCAGCATCGAGCCGTACTTGTACTCTCATTGAGAGCGCGCATTGCTGAGAGATTGACAGCAGCCAGACATATCCATAGCTTTTTGAAGGAAGCTCAGGCTGGCTCAGGCAGTCGATCGTCACTGACTGACGCACTCACGTGTGTTCCTAATGGCTTGCATGTTCCGTCCAACAAGATGTTGCAAAACATATCCAAGCCTACAGGGCCACTGCCTATTCAAAGCTCGCAGATCAGCTCAGTAAGATTCTTGACTTCGGGCTGCAGTATACTGTTTGTCCGAGAGTTGACGAAAGAATCGGGTCGACTTTGTGTCTTCGAGTACGGGCGGGTGCAATGAGTCCGGCTTACGGCCATATAGCATCGCGCAGTTGGCTATTGACCTCCATGTGGATTTGGTGCTCTACCAATGGCCTCTTTGTCGGGGGACTGCAATTGATTGCCAACAAGTGAACAATTCTTGAACGACAGTTCATCTGTTTCCAGCTCCATTATTGTTGCCTCGTACTTCCCCTCGGTACAGGTTGGATCGACATTTTCAAACCCGGCTGGTCCTTGTCAGCTTATCCAACATTTCTTGCACTTGTACAAAGCAACTCAAGCGTCAACGCTTCACTGTACAGGCCGAGCACAGGCGACCAGTCTCGCCATTGCTGCAGCTCGAGCAATATCCATGTCTGTATCATGAACTGCCACAAGTGATACAGCAGGTCTAGCTAGCAAGTGCTGAACACGCTCCAGCAGTGTCATTTGCCACCCAAACAGTCGTAAGATCCATTGAGCAAATTGCTGCAAAAGCCAGCCGTCGAATCGATCAAGCAAAACGGCCACATCGACAGGTACGTTCAGCCAAGATCGCTGTGTGATGCGTTCTGTCCGGGATGATATGGAGATAGTCAGCCGGTCTGGGCGCCATGTCGACTCATCAGCAATCATTGTTCGAATCCGCCATTTTAGTAACGTTGCTCGACTGTCAAAGTCGTTCACCAAGAATGAGCTTTTCTGTAGGCGCAGAGAAGGTCTTGGTGAATGCTCAACGTAGCTAGCACTCGCAACACGACTGCCATACCCGACCTGTCTCATCCACATGATCCGGTGGCTTGCACGCGCCGGCATACGCGACCGCAACAGAGTTGATGAGTTCTGAGAATGAACAAGATGAGTCAAGCGCGCTTGAATGGATGTAAAGGCAGCGCGTGCTCTGACGCCGACTTGAGCGGCATGCTGCGCCGCGCGCTGATGAGAGGTATTGAGAAGTGTCACCCAAACTGAAGAGGTGAAGAGACAACGGCGAGCAAGCTGATGAGCAGGTTGGCTTTGTATTATACAAGGGCCCAAGGCAGAGGTAGCGCGTGGTACGAAGCGCGGGGAAGCTGCAGTGTTAATGCGAGTATAGGAGTGCGCCGATCGCGCTTGAGCGCAGAAGCGATAGAAAGCTTGTGTCCGATACATTGCAGAGCAAAACGGAGTGCAGCAGAGATGAAGCAGAGATAAGCGGTATTCAGCAGAAGGCGTTGCGGTTGATGGTCTTTGTGGAGTTGTTCGGCAATTTGGCGCTTAAGTAATCCGCGAAGACTCTAAACCCTACATACAAGACCATCCATCCCTGGTCTGACTACAACTCTACCTTTGCAGCAGCAGGAGCACGTCTGCCAGAATCCTCACCACCCACAGGATCTTCCTCTCCGGGCTCCACTTTTGTATTCGCCTCTCGCTGTGCCAATTCACCTTGTACTTTTTCAATGGCTAGCTTTGCAGCTGCAGCAGAGACACTGGCTGGTAATGGTTGATCACCCATAATCGTATCATACCGTGTCACAAACTGCACATTCTGCATCTTCTTGACAGCTTCAGGATCCAAGATATTGCCTTGCTCATCCTGATAAATGGTTTGTTGTGAGGTCGAGTAAGAGACGCTTTGACCATTAATCATGCTCGGCGGCTGTGGTCGTTCTGCTTTTGGTGATGGCACAGGATCTGCTTCAGGTTCAGCAATGTGCGTATCCACAGGAACTTCTTCTACAGGCACAACATTCTCAACTGGTGCAGCTGCAGCAGGAGCAGGACTCACTTTCGCAGCAGCAACACTCGTCTGCTGTGCTCCTTCCAAGGACATTGATTTTGCAATATCATCAATAGAGGTACCGTTGTAGTACGCTTCATACGTCTCTGGGTATGTTCCACAATCAAAGTCCCATGTAGATCGCCATTGTGCTGCTTCACATTCTGATTTTGTCCATTGTAAGCCATATGCCAACGGTGCGAAATTGTAGAATACAGCAACACTAGCAACGATAATGCCGAGCGAAACAGGCAAGACGAGATTCGCAGTGACGCGTTTTGCACCGAAATCAAAGAGTTGCGCAAAGGCAAGGATGGAGAAGTAGAGGGCTGGGAAGTAGTGATGAAGGAAGAGTTGTCGTTCCATGAGGAAGAAGGGGAGGTAGTGGAAGGCCCAACCAAGGACAAATGTGGCAGTACGCAAATCATAGCCAAAGAGGTCACGAACTGTGGTGTAGTCCTTGTATCCACGCTGCCAACGCAAGACAAGCAATGCCTTGAATGCAAAGTATGCGAGAATACCACCGGTAGCGAGTGCCCACACGAATGCATTGCCAATGAGGTAGACATGATGCATGTCTTTGCCCCAGAAATTGATACCCCTCGACAAAACAGGCCAAGCAGTCGGCCTTGAATCCCAATTATGCGACTCAACCAAGCCAGCATTGGTGGTCCACATGACCTTGTTGAGTTCCCAGAATTTACCAAAGAAGCCAGGATTCTTGTAGGTCAAAATGGGTGCGTCTGCAGGTGCATTCTCATGCTCATTGGTTTCAATGTACCAAATACTGTTCGGGATTGTGCCTTGCTTGTTGCATGTGACTTCTTGCTGCTCAAATCCCCATGCAGGTAACTTGACTTTATGCGAAAACAGTGCACCACCCGTCATGACGTGAATCAATCGGAAACGCGATCGAATGGCTGTCAAATTGACACGCGCTTCACCGGCTTCCGTGTACTCAGGGACAATTTCGAGTTTGAAGTAATCATTCGCATCACCGTCAAATCCGTCAAATCCATATGCGGAGACTTCATTTTGCCAATCGACTTCGGTGACGATGGGCTTGACATCATGCGAGTGAAGGCGTTTCTTGGTGACAGGATGCCAGAGTTTGAGAATCATACCATCCTGCACACGGATGGGTTCTCCCACCAAGGGATCCACAACGGATGTCTCATTGAGGAGAGTCCAGTCATTATTGGCGTCACGGTGTGGGTAGAGAGTGATTTGTTGTTGTTTCGAGCCAGCTGGATAGTTGTGCGCATGTGAGTGGAGGTAACCACCTTGTGTGTTCCAGTGCTTGATGGTGACTCTACTGCCGAGAAAGACGGGTGCCATGGTGGGATCTTTGGCTTTGCCATTCAAGGTCGATTGGAATTCGGAAGACATGAAGCCATCGCCTTCACCGGGATTGACGAGGCATTTGAAGTGAATGGCAAACATGGCCATGTAGAAGAGAATCGGCAATACAATCAAGCACAACACACGCGCTGCAAAAGTCTTGCCAAATTTGGGAAGTGGGATGTGAAGGTTGCCGAGGTTGGTGAAGAGTTGGAAGAGTGTCATGGTACCTACCCATGCAATCGTAAAGAGACCAACCCACTTGACGGAGACCGTTGCACCGAGGAAAAGCCCTGTGAGAGTGAGCCAAAGCCACCATTTACCAGACAATTGCTTTGCAGACTGCTCATCGAGGTAGCTAAACTTTTGGAAGGCAAGAGCAGTCAGGCCAGTGAATGTGATGAGCGGTGAGTCGAGGAGAATGAGTCGTGCATTCGTCAAGAGCGCATTCTCAAACGTCACCATGAAGGCCGCCATCATGGAAGTGAGCGGCGAACAGCCACTTGCTCGTAAAGTGAGGAAGGTCGTATTGACAAGTCCGATACCGAGCAACGCAGGCATCATACGCATAGCGACATAGGGTACGCCTGGCTCGAGATAGTCCATGCCGATATCCTTGAAATCAAAGTCCCCCTTGAAACCGGCGAGCCATCCATCCAGAGCAAACAACATCTTGGCAAGCGGTGGGTGTACATCCATGAAGAAGGCGCCTTTAATGTACTTTGTTGCAAAGCCACCGAAGTGCACCTCGTCAAAGACGACCGAGGATGGATACTGGATGTGATAGAGCCGAACAACAAGTGCGAACATGTTGATGGCAAGGAGCACCATAAAGTCATTGGCAAAGGGCTGAGCGCCGAGTTCCGCAGCTAACTCTGCTTTGACTCGTTCAGTGACGCTGGTGTAGGCCTCGGCGGCCTTTCCCCGGGCCTTCTTGGAGGTGGGCGTGCTTGGAGCAGAGACATCGCCTTCGAGGACCTGCACGATGTCTGCGGTTGTCTTGTTCTCGCCTGCCGTGGCCTTCTTCCTGGGCGGCATGGTGGTTGATGATGGAGGTTGTGCTTTGAGTTGAATTTCGCGTTTGCCCACCGCCCAAAGTGAAGCGACTCAAGTTACTCAACTGACTGGGAAAAGTGCAACCTAGGACAAGGACAAACAGAGCAAAAGGCTACTTAAAGGGGTACAACGTACAAAGAGGACTAGACCTTGCTCAGGACACTCGAGAGAAGCACATCAGAACACACACCAAGCTGCTTATCCAACATCGACAGCACAAGCTCTCGACGCTCCTTCAATCGCTCCTCATAGCACGCAGTCATGTCCATATACTCCTCACTCGTCATTTCTGGCAGTGCCTCCATCAGCAGTGTAGTCATCATAGACTCTTGTGCAGCAGTCATCACTTCTGTTGGTAGTGCATAGTCTGGCATATCCAAGATTAAGCGTGCTCCGTAGACATCTTCAGCATGATCTTGCACCGGCGTCATGGTGTGTATTGAGTGTGAGGATGGGACAACACACTGCTCCGTGTCTTCCAGCGCAGGTACAGAATGCTTGCCAGGCGTGCGAATGTCAAGCGTGCTTGTACACGGTCTAGCAGCGACAAGTGAAGCACACGACTCTGCCCAATCAGACACGCTCTTGTTGGTTCCTGAGTGCTTCTCCAGCGTAGCAGATGGTACAGGAGTAGCCGGTGATGATTGTAGACTAGCGTCTGTCGACAAGGAGTCGGCGAAGCCAAGGATAGCTAGCTTGAGACGCTTGCGAGCCATGGCACGCTCTTCCTTGCTGGGATGCAAGTTCACCCTGAAACGGAAAGACTGATCCTTGCGTGCGCTATCGTCATGAGGCAGAATGGTGAAGCGCTCGCTGTTGGCAATGGACATCTTGCGTTTGCTAGCCATGAGACTGAGAAGTGTAGAAGCTAGGGAGTATGCAAGGGTTGGCGTTGAAGAGTCCTGTTGGGGAGCCGCAAGCAAGGAGTGACTGTCGTCTTCAAGTCCTCACTGTCAGTTCCCAGCCCGGACACAACCCATGCTCCTCCAAGGTATAGCTGTGTACATCACATTCGCTTGAATACATTCATGGCAGGAGCTGGTATGCTCGCCACGACATGTCTGCATCACATCAAGTAATCATAAAGCACGATTGTCAGACACAAGTAGCTTCAGCAGGGTCTTTGATCTTGCCGAGCCATACCCTCCCTCGAGACGCTACAGGCTCAGCTGCTCGAAGGCTTTGCAAGTTGCAGCAGTTGTCCTCATAGCGCAGGCTGCCTGGGCGTGCTGGCGCCAATCACGTGTCTGTCACCAACTCCAAGTGCTGACTAGCATACAACCGCCTGTTGATCGTGAACTAAGCTGTAAATGTTTGACCCCGCTGCTCAAAGCTCTACAGCTGCGCAGCACATCGACTAGGAAAAGCTGTCACTAAAATGAATAGCTCCAAAGGGAGCGAGACATCGCTGAAGAAGCACTAGTTGTTGCTAGTAACTTGTTACTTTAGCCTCTATGGGTGCATTGCGGAATCGAGAATGATCAATTCTCTTGGTGCCAAGCGCACGCTGCTTCAACCTCCGTATAGTATGTTGCGTCGTTGTTGAGCTTTCGCCTACAGTCGTGCTCGGGAGCATTTTACGTGCGCTTACCACCGAGCTACAAGCTACGCTCTACCCTCAATACTCGATTCGGGGCTACGTCAGGGAGCTAGCTGACGGAGCTGACCTCAATGGTGTCAGATCTATTCGGAGCTCACATCGAATTCCCAACCAGTCAAACGTACTAGTCTCTAGAGGGCATCGCTGCTGGGCTGCCTCCAGGAGTCAATGCTCATCAGGAGACACCTCTTGCACCCAACTTCGAATTCTGCAGAATCTCGAAGCTCATTGATATCTAACAAGCATTGAGCGGCACGGCACGTCTTTCACCTTGTGTGTCGCAGCTGCTAGTCTTCGTTGGGAGCTGCCTTCTCAGAAACGTGTTCCTGAAGCTGTCAGATCTGTCCCCCTACTCTTCCTGCCATTTGCACTTTTTCAGGCTGCTTTCTGATTGAAGCCATCGCAGCTGCGATTCGCACTTGTCATGTTTGCTTTTCGAGTAACAATTGCTGTTCCACACTGGCGCTCTTTGTACGTGAAGGACACCTCGCAGGAGAGGAATGCAGCGTCATCAGAGTCATACCTTAGCATATATCCCTGAAGCTGTAAGCGGAAAGACTCAAGGGCGACCCTGCAGCTGTGAAAACGTGGCAGCTGCTCTGTTTGTCTTGTAATGGCATGGTGGAGAAGGAGCAGCGGTCTGGACCGGACAGACAAGCAGTGGACTTGCAAGGTGCATGGAAAAAAGAAGAGAAGAGCAGAGCGCCTCTGCTCACCTCAGAAGTCCGGTTTCCAACACTGGAAGAGAGTTTGAGGCCAGATTGTCTATGCAATCTTTCCTCTCATTCGAAGTTCCCCTGAAATTTCACATTGCAATTGCAACAGGAGTTCAATGCATGCAATTGCCACTCAATGACCCAAAAGGAAATGAGGCATATGGATCATATGGCCATAAGCCAAAGCAATTCAATCAACAAATGTCATGCTGCTGCAGCGTAGGGCATACGCATGGTCGCATCACATCAGCATTTCGTCAAAAATCTGCAGCGTCAAACAAAGACTTCTGCCGCTCCCTGTCGCACTCAGTACAACAACGACAACTGCAAATGACTCTACGACTGGGAATTGATCATCTCTTGCGTTGCAAGTGGCACAAATACGTCTGTGTTGTACTGGTCATGGCTGGATTGTTCTTTTGTGGTAGGGGTGTTTTACCGGGTGCACAATTGCAACTGCCAAGCTTGAACACTCCTGAAGTCCTGTCAACGATGTTCAATCCACCAATCTTGTATGCAACGGAGTTCGACAACCTTTCATCGATTGCAGCTACGGTTGGAATTCCAATCGGCGTACTGGAATCAGTTATTCAGGCCAACGATCTCTCAAACCCAGCGACAGTCGTGCCCAACGAACACCACGAGGATGCTTTCGAGCAAGCTGTCAGATCGAATTTGCAGAAACGCGCCATTGGTGATCTCAGAACTCCTACAGTAACTCTATGCGATGAGATTGGAGAGAACATCCGTCTCATCCACTGCCGCCCCGATGGGGGGGACTCCACAAGATTTCAAGTCTCATGTGACGGTGAACCAATGATTTGGGAATACCAAAACTGTGAAAATCACGAGATTTGTATTGATGTCAATCCTTATGGAAGTGGAGTCTTATGTGAGACTGTATCGGATCCCGCAGGCGAAATCGAAGACCCAGATCCGGAGGAACGGGGGAAAGACGGAGAAGCGCAAGGCAATGGAGTTGTGGGAATGCACAAACGTCTCAGGGGATCGAGACACACGGGCGCTGTCATTATTAATCCAAAACGACCAAGATCTGGAGGTTCCTCACGTCAAAGAACTATGAGCCTCACTGCGTTCTTGCTGAGTATGTGTCTCGAGTTTCCTGCAATACTAACCTATCAGCACCTAGTGTCCCGTATGAAACTTCACAGCATCCATGGCTTGTCAAGCCCACAACTGCGATTACATGCTCTGTCAACGGAACAGGCGAAAAGCTTTGCGAAACGGACTTGAGCAGCACGAGCATGAATACTTACACTTGCGTGTCCACTGCTGGCAAGCATATTGTGGACGACTCGTCGGTGATTTCCTGTACGTTCCGACTTGCGGCAACACAGACAGCTGTCTTTGTCAGCGTTGGCATTTGGCGTTACGTCTCAAATACAAAGACAATTGGCTAGCATAGATTTTTGTAAGTTCTTTCTCTCTCAACAAACAGTATCTTAGCACAATTCAATTCGCTCTTCTTTCCACATGTGACATTGATTGCAATTCTTGCCCAAGCAAGCACAACTGGCAGCTTACTGCATACGCTGCCTCACTTGCAACCAAGAAGACAATTGGCTAGCATAGAAATTCTCGAGTTCTTTGTCTCTGAACAAACAGTATCTTAGCACTATTCAACCCTCTTTACGTTTTTGCGGTATCAAGTTTCATCGCCTGGATCTTACAGCTCCTCCACGGCAACGCTGCCAAATGGCGCGACTCGCGCGCCACGGAACACCCGGAGACCGGCATGATATACTTTCCAACTCGGCCGGATGCCAAGACCACTCTCAACGAGTTGATGAAGTCCTTTGCGACTCGCAACTCGGTTGCTGAAGCCAAGCGCGACCTTGCTAATCTCACGTAAGGCGAAAAAAGGAAACATCAGCGTGCACTTGGCGGAATATGAGCGCCTGACAGCCTATTTGGACATGACAGACCAAACCAAATGCGAAAGATTGTTGCTGACCCTCAACATCAAGATCACAGAGGGGTTATTCAAACTTGATGATCTCGCCGAGGATGACTACGCTGCCTTGGCTCAACAAGCTGTCCGAGTCGAATCACGCAATCTCAAGCGCAAGGCCCTGGAATCCGCCAATTCTTTATTCGCGATGTTGGACAAATATCCCACTCCAAAGCGCCATCGGATCTACCCGCCCGTCGAGCAGTGATCGTCTGTTGCTCGTCCTTCTTCCGGTGGTCTCCAGCCAATGGAGATTGATACCGCTCCTCTGCAACGCGAAAACCGTCAGCGCCTGACACCCGCCCAACCTGACGCCCGGAAGGAACAACGCATGCGCGATGGTCTCTGAACTCTTCTGTGATTGCCTTGCGCTTGAGATTGCGCGACTCGACTCGGACAGCTTGTTGAGCCAAGGAAGCGTAGTCATCCTCGGCGAGATCATCAAGTTTGAACAACCCTTCTGTGATTTTGGTGTTTAGGGTTTGCAACAACCTTTCGCACTTGGTTTGGTCTGTCATGTCCAAATAGGCTGTCATGCGCTCAAATTCCGCCAAGTGCACGCTGACGTTTTCTTTTTCGCCTTGCTTGAGTTTAGCAAGGTCGCGCTTGGCTCAAGCAACCGAGTTGCGAGTCGCAAAGGACTTCATCAACTCGTTGAGAGTGGTCTTGGCATCCGGCCGAGCTGGAAAGTATATCATGCCGGTCTCCGGGTGCTCCGTGGCGCGCGAGTCGCGCCATTTGGCCGCGTTGCCGTGGAAGAGCTGTAAGATCCAGGCGATGGAAATTGATACCGCTACTTTACAACGAGAAACGCGTCAGCGCCTAACACCCGCCCAACGTGACGCCGGAAGGCACAACGCATGCTCGATGGTCTCTGTCTGTATTGCGGCCAAGCCGACCGACAAGTCGCTGATTGTCCCATTGAACCCAAGCGATCCCCAAATGTGCCCGGCAGGAACCAGTGGGGCCATCCTGGGACCGGGCCATTCAGGACACTCAATCGCCCTCGCCCTTGTCTGTTGTAGACGATAGCGCAAATCTCTGTCTGTTTTTCATCTCTTTGCCCCAGACGATGCCAAGGTTATGCAAATCCACTTGGTGTTGCACAAGTCTTTCGCCCGCCTAGCAAAATCTCACGATGGTCTCTCCATCATTCTCGCGGATATCGCTACTCGCTACAGACAACAGTACGATTTATAGTCTCTGCACACGTCAGTGCTCCACTCTGGACGCGCATCTCTGCAGTCTCCTCTTTGATACTGTCTCTCAAGTATGTCTGACTAGCAAAGTCAGATCAATGCTGTTCTGCCTAGCGCGGTTGAGTTCAATCTGCCAAGCAAATGGACAGCCAACATGTTAGGAATTCAAGTACATCCCCTGATCACTTGCTTCCGCTGTTATCTCTCTGCCACGTCAGCGCTCATGCACGAGACCTTTAGTTTAGTCTTAGCTGGCAAGAGTGCTATACTCTTGGTCCCCATTCGAATCAAGTCTTATCTGCAGCTGCCCTGCGTGCCTGTGTCTATCACCTACGACTACAGCCTCGCATATCCGCCAATCTCGATTACAACAGCCTCAACCTTGACTATGCAGAGCAAAGCTGGTAGTGCGTCTACCAGCTCTTGCAAGAGATGATCATCATTCTAGAGTGTTCCTCAATGTCTTTGAATCAAGCGTCTTTCCCTCGTCATTCACGAAATCAGCTCAGCAGTCTCGAGCTGGCATCGCAGCAGGCACAGCCAACGACGACCCCGTGTCTTCATCTGACTTCGTCTCTATCTCTTCTGATACACTGCGCTGTGTCTAACGCATTCTGGAGGACGATCAAGACTAATTTGAACGGCTTGTACTCGATACACGCATGATCAACGCACCAGCACGACCACGACGCGTGTCAAGGGATAATTCCAAGCATACTGAGATCCAGGCTGTCGAATCCATTCGCAAAGCGTTGCCGAGCTAAGGAAGGCAGCCCGTCATCTTCAACGCGGCTTCACGTCGCTTGCCAGGGCGCAAGCAAACCGGATTTTCATGACCATCTCTCAGCTTGGTTCCAAGAATATGAAAGTCGCCATACGTGACGACGGCCAATAATGTACTCAACAGTTGTCTCTTGACTACAGCAGTCGAGGCACAAGAAACATCTGGTAAAGGCTAAGCAGCAGGGAACCGATGACGAGAACGACAAGCAGGCACGAGTAGCACGACGTACCGCACAAAACAGAGACTTCGAACAATGAATAGGATTGCCTATGAAGGGGTGTTGCTGACAATGCTACAAAGGTGCGAGAAGCGCTCCTTTTATACTTTGCCAACCTCGAACGAGGAACTGACCAGAAAGAGGTGGGCGAGGGCAAAGACCCTGAAAGCATCTCAACGCAGACACCGGGCCTGTGTTGAGAGAGACATCCACGCTGCGAGCGCGGATTGTTTGTGGGACAAAAATAGACATGCACACTTGCGAGTGTGATGTGTTTGGGAAAGAAATAGACATTGATGCTTGAGAGCAGATGTTGGAGCGTGATTCACGAGACGAAGTGAGCGAGACGCCTGCGAGCGTAACATGATGGAGCGTGGTCCACGAGACGGGGTGAGTGCGATGCTTGCGAGGCCGCATCAGGAAAGTGGATACGCCGGGCCATATGATTGCGCTGAGAGCTTGAGGGAACCATCCGGATGGATAAGTGTCAGGAGTACTGGGAACTCAGGAGAGGTAGCGGAGTACGTCAACTGGAGATCATGGCACTACAGCCATGATAACCCGAGAACAGCGCCATAGCCGAGGAGATGGAGTCGCGGAGAAATCAGTCCGTGACACACGGGGTCACGGTCTACCGCCATTCTTTCCAAAGTACCATTCGCTTGTTACTAAGGGGCTTGGCGCTGCTCTATGTCGGCGTGATTCGTCAGCATGGAGGAAACCTCGATGCATGAGTGGGCAGTGTCATGAAAGTGACATCGCCATATATATTCCTGCATCTGGAAGCGGCAAGACTCAAAGGCGACCCTGCAGCTGTGACAACGTGGCAGCTGGTCTGTTTGTTTGGGAGAAATGGTGAAAGAAGACAGCGGCCTGGACTGTACAGACATGTAGTGGACTTGCAAAGTGTATTGAAGGAGGAAGAGGACCTCTGTCTACCTAAAGAATCTTTTCAACACTGGTGGAAACTTCGAGGCAAGATGGTCCACGGAAATTCATCTGATTCGATCTTCCCCTGCAATTTCACACTGCAATTGCAGCATATGCAAGGCGATGCAAGGCGATACAAATGCATGCAATTGCGACTCAATGAAAAAGAGATAACAAAGGTCTTCGAATCACATGGTCCCAAGTCACTGTCGCAACAAATGGCCTTCCTGCTGCTGCGGCGGAAGACATTCGTACGGTGGCATCATATCAGCAGCTCATCAAAATTCTGCAGCGTCAAACAAACTCTTCCATTTTTCCCCTTCGCACTCAGTCCAATGAACAACATTGTAAATGGCTCTTCGATTGAGAGTGGGTCGTCTCTGGCGTTACAAGTGGCTCAAGTACGTCTATGTTTCACTGGTCGTGGTTGGGTTGTTCCTTTGTGGCTGGGGTCTTCTACCTGGGGCACCATTGCAACTGCCAAGCTTAACCACATCTGGAGTCCTGTCAACAATTTCTGATCCGCCAATCTTGTCTGCCATGAATTATCGCAATCTTTCATCGATTGCTACTATGGTTGGAGTGCCAATCGAAGTACTCCATTCAATCATGCAAATAAACGACTGGACGCCGAAGACAATGTCGCAATCGGAAGTGCCGCACGAGAATCCCAAAGACACTTCTGAAACAGATCGTAGATCCTCAAACAAGCAGAAACGCGTTTTGACAAGTGATGACGATGATGTTGAAGATGACGAGAGTTATGGCAATGTGCTTGAAATGCACTGTCCCCAGGGTTTCGAGGTAGTGGCCTCCAGGTGTGGTGGGATTTAGCTAAAAAAAAGCTACGTCGTATTCAGCTCAACTACTGTCCTCCATTATAAGAAGGAAGCAAAACAGAGAACCTTCCGCACAAGGTGCCTCCAGCTCTCCACGCAGAACAACGCTTTAGTGCCGTAAGGCAAATTGGCTGGTCATAAAAGACACAGCATATCTCGTCACTCCCAGTGCTAGTCTCAATAGTGATGCTGTTCCCCAGCGTATTTGTAGTAAGGATTGCCGTAGCAAGCCTACCACAAGACCAGACAGGCTGGCCAGCGCAATGCTTTTTCGAAAAAACCCCGAAAAAAGCTTCGAAGCAAGCCGTTTCAACTAGTATGGTGAGATCCACTCATAGTGAGAGCGAGAAGGGGACACTCCCAAAGTGGGCATGCTAGACTACGCGGTCGAGAAACAGCGTATCGGGACCGGCACAAGAAGAACGAGGGCTCCAATCGGGGACCAGGCAGAACCCCGACCGATTTGATAATCAATGCCGCAAGGGCCGGCAATGATGCAGTAGGTGGTCGTTATATGCCATAAAGTAAACTGGAGGGAGCTGTACGCTTTGACCGCATGCGGCAAAGGTACAATAAGCTCAGATGAGACCTCCGGGGCCCCAGGTTGCCTTTGGTGTTGACCTAGTTGCTGCCATTTGTTGTTTGGAGACGACAGACGCTCCAAGAGAGTGGAAGGGAACTCTCTTACCTGTTTGATTGATGTTTGGACCCGAGCAGGAGTGACCAGGCTCTTCAAGACGACAAGTCGGTCTCAAAAACAGGGCGAAAAAAATTTTCACCCGCCAATTTTGCACGAATACAGCGGACAGGTGCCTGTTCTACCGTGCTTGCAAGGAGGCGCTGCCGTCCAGCGCGAGTCTCCTTGTCTTAACGCTGACTGACCGAACCCCCTGCTCTGTAGCGTCATCCTCAGAGCACGTTTCCACCAAAAAGTGACTTTATGATGTGTTGGTTCGGTGTGATCCAGGTTATCCTCCAAATGTCCGACGAATAAGGTACCAATGCTGGCAGCTTCGTGACGGGAGATTGGTCGATGTAGAAGAGGAAGAGCGTTATACTGAGTGTCCGAAGGGCACAGTATGTGTTGACGGTGGGGGTCTCGGTGATTCTGATTATCATTACTAGCTGGGATGGCCCCCCCGTTGGGGGGGGGCGTCGGAACTGTCGGGTTGAGCTTGCCTTATCACGTGAGTGTTTCAAGCAGCACTGCAGCCGCAGCGCTTGAATTTCTTTACCTCTGCGCGTCGCTTAATCATTCCTAAAAGGGTATACGTCAATGTTTCCTGTCGCTTTTTGGGATCTTCCAATTATAAAATGAGATGAGATGAGATGCTTGGTGCGAATCGGAGGGAGCTGAGCATCATTTTGACAAGGATATAACAACAGTCACAGATGAAGAAGACAGCAACTTTGGCGAGGCTCATCAACTTCTTCAATCAGACCAAGACAGCGTGGCTATAAGCTCAAAGCGTGGTCGAGGGCACTCAAGTCGTCAGAGATCTTACACCCTCACTGCCTTTCTGTTGAGTATGTTCTCTCCAACACTACTGTCGATGTACTGACTCTTGAGCATGGCATAATCCCTTTGAGGCGAGTCAGAGCCGTTGGCTTGTCAGACCTGCTGTTCCAATCGCCTGTTTCAATAAGGAGACGGGTGAACCGCTTTGCGCAACAAATGTGAGCACAGCAAGCGTGAATCCCTACACTTGTAAACCCACAGGCTTTCATGCTGTCAAAGAATTATCAACGATTGGCTGCACCTTGCAGCTCAAAGCATCGCAAGTGGCCATCTTTGTCGTTTGTGTAACGAACACGCAGCCTTAAACCTCGCATCCGACTTTCCCGCACCACATGCTCTGGCAACTCATCGCGGCTCTTCTACCTTCCGCCCTTCAACGACGCTTATCACCTCAGCATGTTGCCTATCGTCCCGCGCCTAGCTTCCTCGCTTCCGGCAACGCTCTGTCACGTTGTCCTTACTCGCTCTCTTACTCGTGGACGACGTCTACCACGTCGTCCCTTGTTCTGTCTCTTCCCTATCTTGCAGCTCGGACATCTCCACTGGGCTCATGCAATCTCGCTTCCCCTCTTCTTTCATTGTTCTCCTGCTGAGAGTCGGCTCCCGTGGGCTCCATCCACATCATCGCCATCCGCTCTCATGCTGGTACCTGGTAGACATAAGTAGGCAGCCTTCCGCTGTCTTGTTCCTTAGTTTACAATTTCTATTCTTGTCCCCTACATCTCGCCCAAGTCCTGTCTTCAGCACAAGCATTCGTCCTGTCCTGTTCGCCCTTCGTCACAGTTTGGTACCCTGCTTCATTTGCAACCAAGAAGACAATTGGCTAAGCTTTTAAGTTCTTTATTTCTAAACAAACAGTATCTTAGCACTATTCTCACTTCTTTACGTTTTTGAAAGTTGATTGCAGTTTTCGCCCGATCCGATCAAAGTAACAGCTTCCTGCAGCCGATGAAGACAACGACCACAACAGCCGGTAATTGCCCTCTCAAAAACGTGTTCCCGAAGTTCTCAAATCTGCACCCCTTACTTTTTTTCACTTGCAAAGTCACAGACTGCTCTCTGATTGCAGCTATCGCAGCTGCGATGCGCATCCTTCACGTTCGTGCTTGCGTCCGTGTTTCGATGCAACACTCGCTGTTCCACATTACGCTCTGTGCGTATGAAGGACACCTCGCTGCTTAAGAGGACAGCTTCACGAGAGTAATATCTGGTCATGTGTTGCTGCAGCTGTAAGCGACAAAATTCAAGGCACCCTGCAGCTGTAGAAACGTGGCAGCTGGTCTGTTTGTTGTGCGATGAAATGAAGTGGGAATGATCAGCGGCCTGGTCTTGCAGACATGTTGTGGACTTGCAAGGTGCATCGAAAGGGGAGGAGAGGAGAAGAGAAGAGGACTCTACTCACTCAAATAGTCGGTTCTCAACGCTGGAAAAGTTTTCTAGGCAAGATTGGCTATGCAAATTTTCTTTCAATTCATTTCCCCTGAATTTTCACATTGCATTTGCAACGTAAGTGAAAGGAGGTCAATGCATGCGAGTACCACTCAATGTCCCAAAGGAGAAACAGGCAATCGTCAATATGGTCGCAAGGCAAAGCCGTTTCATCAACAAATGTCCACGCTGCTGTAGCGTCAGGCATACGCATGGTCGCATCGCATCAGCAGCTCATCAAAATTCCGCAGCGTCAAACAAAGACTTCCGCCTCCCCCTTTCGCACTCATTTCAACAACCACAACTGCAAATGGCTCTTCAACTGCCAGTGGGTCGTTTCTGGCGTTCCAAGTGGCTCAAGTACGTTTGTGTTGTACTGGTCGTGGTTGGATTGTTCTTCTGCGGCTGGGATGCTCTGCCCGATACCTCGTTGCAACTGCCAAGCTTGACAACCCCTGAGGTCCTGTCAACGATGTTCGATCCACCAATCTTGTATGCAACGGAGTTCGACAACCTTTCATCGATTGCAGCTACGGTTGGAATTCCAATTGGTTTACTCGAATCAATTATTCAGACCAACGATCTATCAAAACCAGTGACAGTCGTGCCCAACAAACACCACGAAAATGCTTCCGAGCAAGCCGTCGGAACTTCGACACTACAAAAGCGCGTCTTGGATGGCGATATTATGCTCAATGACCAGCCTGTGTTTGATTGTCCGGCTGACTATCCAATTTTTTGGGGAGCAGTATGCGTCGCCACCCCTGAGGGATCTTCTCGCTCCGGAGGGTACGAGATGAGATGCGGTGGAGACACCGAGCATCACCCACAAATCATTCTAAGGAGATGGTGTCCACCCGACGAGTTCTGTCTACAATTGAACCGCTTCACTTTACCGTGGGTCCAATGCGGCAAGATTTACCCTCGATCAAAAGGAGCAGGCCGAAAAGACCACGACAAGGACAAGGACAAGGACAAGGACACAGAGCCAGCCGGTGGGAAGAAATCAGGCAAGAAGCCTGGCTTGTGGTCAAAATTGATCAAGGGATCGAGTTCGAAGAGCGTTTCCATACGCACGGGGTCAGGAGAAGGACGATCAGGTCGTCAACGAGCTGTCAACTTCAATGCATTTTTGATGAGTATGTTCTTGCCGTTTTTGCGGTTGCACTAACTTTCTAGCTACTCATGAGCCTCTTGAAGCATCACAGAGCCATTGGCTCGTCAAGCCTGCAGTTCCAATAACTTGTTCAAGCGTGGAAACCGGGCAAGAGCTTTGCAAAACGGACGTGAGTAGCACGAGTGTCAATTCTTTCGCGTGCAGGCCCACTGGCATCTTCTCCATCAAAGACTCGTCAACCATTAAGTGTGACTTCCAACTCAAAGCATCGCAAGCGGCCATCTTTGTCGGTATTTCTATGTGGTACCCTGCTTCAGTCGCAATCAAGAAGACGATTGGCTAGCAAAGAAGCTTTCAAGTTCTTTAATTTTAAACATACAGTATCTTAGCACTATTCAACCCTCTTTGAGTTCTGAAAGTTGATTGCAGTGGTTGCCCGATCCGACCAAAGTGGCAGCTTACTGTAGCAGATGAAGACAGCGACCACAACAGCCGGCAATTGCCTTCGCAGAAACGTATTCCCAAAGGTTGCCAAATATGCACCCCTTTCTTTTTGTACTTGCAAATTCACAGCTTTCTCTCTAATTGCAGCTATCGCAGCTGTGATGCGCATCCTTTACGTTCGTGCTTGCGTCCGTCTTTCGATGCAACACTCGCTGTTCCACATTGCGCTCTGTGCGTATGAAGGACACCTCGCTGCACCAGAGGACAGCTTCACGAGAGTGATATCTGGCCATGTGTCGCTGCAGCTTTAAGCGACAAAATTCATGGCATCCCGCAGCTGTAGAAACGTGGCAGCAGGTCTTTTTGTTTTGCAAGGAAATGAAGTGGAATTGATCAGCGGCCTGGTCTATGCAGACATGTTGTGGACTTGCAAGGTGCATCAAAAGGGGAGGAGAAGTGAAGAGGAATTCTGCTCGCCTGAGAAGTTATTTCTCAGCGCTGGGAAAGATTTCCAGGCAAGATTGTCTAGGCAAATTTTCTTCCGATTCGTCTTCCCCTGACTTTTCACATTGCATTTGCAACATATATGAAAGGAGATCAATGCATGCGATTGCTACTCAATGACCCCAAGAAGAAACAGGCAATCGTCAATATTATCGCAAGGCAGAACCATTTTCATCAACAAATGTTCGCGCTGCTGTAGCGTCAGGCATACGCATGGTCGCATCACATCAGCTCATTAAATTTCCGCAGCATCAAATCCGTCTCTTCCTTTCGCACTCAGCCCAAAAGCCACATCTACAAATGGCTCTTCACTTGGCAATGGATCGTGTCTGGCGTTGCAAGTGGCTCAAGTACGTCTATATTTCACTGGTCGCCTTAGGTTTGTTCTTTTGTGGTTGGGGTTTTCTACCTCGTGCACAATTGCAACTGCCAAGCCTGACCATGGCTGGAATCTTGTCAACAATGTCCAATCCTTCAATCTTGTCTGCAACAGAATTTGGCAGCCTTTCGTCGATTGCAGCTACTGTTGGAATGCCAACAGCCGTACTCGAATCAATTATACGGGCCAATGATCTTTCAAGGCTGGTGACAGTCGTGCCCAACGAATACCACGAAAATGCTTCCAAAGAAGTCGTCAATGCTTCGAAACTGCAGAAGCGCGCGAACGGTGGTGCTAGAACACCTACTACCGAGCGTTGCGCCGACTCTGGAAGGGAAATCGATGGCATGTTGTGCTACGGACCTGACCCTCAACGATATGTCGTCCGTTGTGTGGGTGAACCCGTTATTGAATGGTTCGACTATTGTGACTTACACGAGGTATGTGTGAATACTGAGGAATTCCGTACAGTCAGGTGTGTGTCTGCATCATCGTCCGAAGATGAGATTGAAAAGGCAAAGAAAAAGCACGGAGAAGCACCAGGCGAGGGAGTTGTGGGAACGCAGCAACGTGTCAGTGGATCGACGTCGACGGGCGCCGTTGTCAAGAATCGAAAACAAGGATCTGGAGGTCCCGTTCGTCGAAGAGCTATCAGCTTCACTGCGTTCTTCCTGAGTATGTTCTTGCCGTTTTTGCTGTTGCACTAACTTTCTAGCTGCTCATGAACCTCTTGAAGCATCACAGCATCCATGGCTTGTAAAGCCCGCAACTGCGATTACATGTTCAGTCAATGGAACTGGCGAGAAGCTTTGCGAGACGGATTTGAGCAGCACGAGCATGGATACTTACACTTGCGCGCCCACTGCTGGCAAGCATATTGTGGACGACTCGTCGGTGATTTCCTGTACGTTCCGACTCGCAGCAACACAGACAGCTATTTTTATGAGCGTTGGCATTTGGCATTATGTTTCAACTACAAAGACGCTTGGCTAGCAAGCAAGCTTTCAAGTCCTTTATCCTTAAACAAACAGTATCTTAGCACAATTCACTCTTCTTTACACATTGAACATTGATTGTAATTCTTGCCCAAACGAGCCCAATGGCAGCATGATGCAGCAACCACGACAAATGAATCAGATTCGGTCGCAGAAGAGTATGAAGAAGAGCTCGACGATAGCAATGCAGTTGCACGGGCATTTGTCAGTTTCCAATGCTCGACAAACAAGTCTCCATGCTGTCACTGCAATGAGCGTTGAGACGAGCTCCTTTCTAGCACGGAGCAGTGAATAGCGAACACGACATCTTCTGTCCACGATCAGGATCATAGTGAAGAGCGCACGAAGCAACATAGTCATGATTTGGAAACAACGCTTTTGCTTGCCGTGCAAAGTTCTTTGGGATGCTACTGTCTTGCCTGGTTTCTTGGCCACAAAAGATGATGTGAGGGTTGCCATGAGCTCGATACTGCGGCGCAAACAACTGCCTTCCCTGTTCATTGGACCAATCCAATTTCAAGATCCAACAGGGAAAGATGAAGTCTTCTTCTGGTAGCATTTTGCATGGTCTGATACGAAGGTCTTTTGCTGAGGGTGCATATTTGATTTTTAAGCCAGAGATTTTCATCTGAGGTTTGTGCCCAGGCTTAAGACTCCAATAGTAACACGTCTTTGGAGGGAAGATGCAGAGGTTGTCTTCAGCTTGTATATTCGTGCAGTTGAAACCCCATCGGGTAACATCTAGACCGAAGATGGATGCAAGCTCGCCGTCGCAGGATGAGGCCAGGGTGCTGGCCATTTGGAGGAGGCAGAGTGAGAGCATCGAGAGCAGGAACGGGAGGTTGTGAGTCTTGCCTTTGTTGGTATGCATTCTTGCTTGGCTTACCTGGTAGCTATGAAAGCAGATTCAGGCGCCAATATATAGTCGAGGGGTCTTGACTGACCCTGCTCTGTAGAAGTACAGGAGGCATCAGGAGTCCTTCAGCAGGAGCATAGCTGCGAGCAAACAACGGAAGATGTGATCTTGCTTATGCGCGAGCTCAGTCAGCGACAGTCACTGACGCGGATGGAGGTACTAACTAGCCAATTGGTAGCAGATTGTAGCATGCCTCATGTCCATTGAAGGCATAGAAGCTGAGCAGCATTTATAGCTCCAGTATACTTGGCCGCATATTTGGCTGTTTTGCTGTTTGCGGTCTGACGCGAAACAAAGAAACACGTGGCATGGGCACTGGACTGGAGGAGGAGAGAGAGCGAGAGCGAGAGTAGAGTAGTTGAGTAGAGTATTCTGTGAGTATACTGTGCTGATACTGCGAGTTGTGAGTATACTGAGTACTGTGAGTATAGCACAGAGAGAGAGTCAGCTTCCTCATCGTTGACTCTTCACTCAAGCAGCAGCAGCATCGATCAGGTTGTACATCAACAGGCATCAGACACAGCAAGGACAAGGACCAGCAGAGACCAGCAAGACAGGACCAGCAAGACACAGGCGCTCCCTTGCTACATCATCCTGCGCATTGATCCAGACACGCAGCAAGACATCAATCTCCAGCACACATCAAGACACGGCATTCAACCACTGACTAATCCATGAGCAGCAACAACGCCATGGACCTACGGGTCGGCAACAAGTACAGGATCGGTCGCAAGATCGGCTCAGGCTCATTCGGTGACATCTACCTAGGTACCTCTCTCTTCTGTCAATCACAAGTCTAACACGCACAGGCACCAACATCATCTCCGGCGAAGAAATCGCCATCAAGCTCGAATCCGTACGAGCAAAGCACCCTCAACTCGAATACGAAGCACGCGTCTACAAAGCACTCGCAGGCGGCGTCGGTATCCCGTTTGTGCGCTGGTACGGTACGGAATGTGACTACAACGCCATGGTCCTCGACTTGCTCGGTCCATCCCTTGAAGATCTCTTCAATTTCTGCAACCGCAAATTCAGTCTCAAGACCGTCTTGCTCCTTGCCGACCAGCTCGTATGCTCTTTCTTCTCTTTTGAATGGATGCTAACAGTCAGATCTCCCGAATTGAGTACATTCATGCCAAATCCTTCATCCACCGCGACATCAAGCCCGACAACTTCCTAATGGGTATCGGCAAGCGTGGCAATCAAGTCAATGTCATTGATTTCGGTCTAGCAAAAAAGTACAGAGACCCCAAATCCCACATGCACATTGCCTATCGAGAAAACAAGAATCTCACTGGTACGGCGCGTTATGCTTCCATCAATACACACTTGGGCGTTGAGCAATCTCGACGTGATGATTTGGAATCATTGGGTTATGTGCTCATGTACTTTTGTCGAGGTTCTCTTCCCTGGCAAGGTCTGAAAGCTGCCACCAAGAAGCAAAAGTATGATCGTATCATGGAGAAGAAGATGACCACGTCGACGGAATTCTTGACGCGTGGCTTCCCCAATGAGTTTGCCATTTACCTCAATTACACGCGTTCATTGAGGTTCGATGATAAGCCGGATTACTCCTACTTGCGAAAACTCTTTCGCGACTTGTTTGTGCGAGAGGGCTTCCAGTATGATTATGTGTTTGATTGGACCATCTTTAAGCATCAATCCTCTCAACAACAACAAAAGCAAATGTTGATGGATGAACAGGAAAGGAAGCGATCGGGTGAAATTCCTGATGCAGCTGCTGCCAATGCGGGACAACCTGCAGCAACGGGCGCTAGTGGTGCAGGTCGTCAAACAACAACCGCACAACCACAAAGTGGCATTGTGAATCCACCACGCAGGACTGTTCGACAAGTAGCACCCACCACGCAACCTGCTCAACAACAACAGGTCTCGGGAGATGGTGCTGAAGGTGGTGCGGGTAGTGATCGTATGTTGAGGAGTGCAAGCAAGCAACAACCTTATGCAACGTATGGTGGTACGGGACAAGGTTCTGCAGGTCAACAACAACCCGGTGCTGGCGGTGCCGGTGGCTCTCAGCAGTATTGGGCTTGATTTTTCTCCCTCTTTTTTTGGTTCAGGTTGGCTGTTGTCTATGGGTTCTTGAAGATCCCTGTATGGATGGTGGAGATGCTGCCTTGGCTTCAAGAAGGCTGATGGTTTCAAGGATTGTGCCTGCTTCGAGGCTTGCACCGTCGCTTACAAGTTCAGTGTTGCCATGTCACCAGCCCTCTCTCCTACACACTGCTCGACACAGTCCATGTGGCCCGTCTCGATTGCAGAGGCACCTGTCGACAGACACACACCATCACCACGAACCACTCCCTCTCCTCCAACAAGTTCATCAAGTCGACCCTTCTCCTTTTTTGTTGCTCCCTCGTTCATCTCTTTTGTTGTTCCCTCTATTGTCGTTTCAGTCGCTTCAGAGTCGCCTCTATATCGTCCCTGTCTCGTATCGTATCCATCCAGTCTTCTCTCTGTTTGTACTCTGCTTCTCGTCTCCTTGTGCGCGTCATCTTCCACCACCACAAAAACAAAGACGCACACGACCATCAAGTTCTCTCTTCAATTCATCAACCTGAGGCTCTCTATACAGCTGCCTGACCCTGCTCTGCCTCCTCCGCAGCGCGCTCAGCTGCGTGCCGATTAGCGCATGTCATATCCACTGACACGTACCTGTCTCACAGCGACCCTCCTCGCCGCCCTCTTCCTCCTCCTCCTCTTCAACGCCTCAGACGGCCTCTCCAACCCACCGGATACCAATGAACGCCTACGACCAGGCTTCGGTGCACTCCCACCACTCTGGTCAACAGGCGCAACACACCATATCGTCACACAACACGGGAATATCACGATTTCTGCACGATTGGCAGCATTTGGACGGGATGTGATTCAAGCGAGTTTGACGGATCCACCGGCGTTTCGGCTTTCAGAAGTATTGAAGCGTGACGATGGCGTGGCGGTAGCACGAAAAGAGCATGAACCGGTGGGTGCGCGCGCAAGATTGACGCTTGATGGGGGAGATGGGTGTGATGCTGCTGTCCTCCCACCAGTGTTGAATGCCTCTACAGAGCAAGCATGGATCATACTACAACGTGGCCTTTGTTCTTTTGCAGACAAGGCAAGACATGCACAAGCTGCTGGGTATGATGGTGTTTTAGTGGGTGATGACGGCAGTAGCTATGAGACGCTCGTCACTATGTTTGCAAAACATGCTGAAGACATCACGATTGCTCCGTTGTTCATTACGCGATCAAGCTACCAAACGCTGATGAACTTGCAAAGCACACAAGGCTCTGTTATTGGTGTGAGGATCTTTGCGGTGGCCATCAAGACGGATTGGCCATTGTTGGATACGCTTGTGTTTATTTGCTTTTCACCACTCTGCACCCTCTTCATCGTCTACCTCTTTCTCTACTTTCGCAGACGTCGTCTCAGAAAGGAAGCCATCCTACCACCTGCATACCTCTCAAAACTAGAGAAGATTGCCTATTTCCCAAAAGAAGGTCAAATGACGAGCTGTGTGATTTGTCTCGAGACATTCGAGGAGGATGTTGAATTGACGGCATTGCCCTGTCAGCATCTCTATCATCCTGCGTGTATCACGCGTTGGCTTGTTGAGCGAAAACGAACATGTCCAATTTGTCAACGGGACGTTCGGGCATCGTTGGATCGGCAGGAGGATGAAGCATTGGTTGAGTCGCCCATGGATGAACGGACCCCTCTTCTACCGACTCCCGCGTCTGTCGCTTTTCTGCACTCAACACGACAACAGCCGCAGCAAGGTGAAACACAAGAATGATGTCTTTGATATATGCTAAATAATGTACGATTATATGCTCAAGTGCATGATATGCTTACGTCCCTCAAGACCTCCGTGGTCCAATCTCCTGCTTTGCACGCTTCGTTGAATCTTCCGACCCACCACCACGTTGCTGCTGTAGCCGCTTGATATTCGCAGCAGCCTCTGCAAGGGATAAATTCGTACCACTTTGTTTCTGCTCCTGTCGCGCTTTTTGCTCCTTCCAGCGTGGATCAAGGAGCTCGATGCGTGTATGTTCTTCCATCTCATCCGCTGGTATCAAATGCCCACACCGACCACACTTCAATAGCGTCTGTGGTGCTTTCCGTTTCCGTGTTGCTGCAACAGGCGCATCAGGCGCTGCTGTAGGTGCTGCGTCAATCGCAAGTCTCGGTGTACTCTGCAACGCCAAGCTCGGCACTGCCAACTCACTCATCAATTTCTTTTGCTCCAAACTCGCCTTCTTCAACACTGCCAGCTCAACCGGTGGTGGTAACGATACATCACCTGCCAGTTCTGGGTCAGTAAAGGTGATGGTCTCACAGATACTAAAAGCATGCCAGTTAATAGCCGCATACGCCAATCGATCCTTCTCCTCTTGTTCTTGACTTTCTTGCTTTTCTCGTTGTTGCGTTCGTAAGTATGCCGCACGACCTGCACATCGATCAAACACCGCCTGTCGATCCCGTGCTGCCTGTGCTAGAGCTTGTTGAATATTCGGCGGCGGTGCAAAGACTTGTGCGTACTGTTGCACAAGACTGTTGAAATACGGATACAGTGCATGATTCGCCCGTAGAAAATCAAACTGAAAGTTACGACCTTCGCGTTGTGAGAGGGTGGCAATCAGGCTTCGTCCATTCTTGGCGACAAAACGAGCAGTGAGACGACAGACATCCAGGTCTTGCGCTGAGATTGGAGGCAGTGTTGCACTGAATTTGAAGTCGCGTGGCTTGACGTCTTGCTTTTGTTGCTGTTGATGGGATGCAGTCTCTTGTTGTCCTGTAGACGTCGTCTTCCTACCCGTCGTCGCAGACTCCTTCTCCTGCTTCACCGGCAAACTCGCCGCTTTCCCCGCCCGACACTCCTCAAGACGTAGTGCATAGTAGCGATGATAAGGATCCAACGGGTTCAAGAATGAGAACTTCATATTCCCGCGCTCCTTCTCACGAAGTCGTTCCTCAAACGTCGCTCCATTGCGAGCAACAAAGGGAGCTGTCTTTTCAACGAGATCACGAATCTCGGGAGGTGGCAGAATCATGCCTGCAGAGGGCGCTGCAATCACTAGATCTGTCGTCGCCATGACGAGGCTGCTCGTTTGGTTCGCCTGAGGCGCTAAGGCTTTGAGCTGGCCTGTGTTGTTGCGGCTACGTTGCGTCGTTGCGGTCGTCTACAGCCGAGTCTGTCAAGAGGGAACGCGACATTGTGTGAAGAAGAAGATATTACTATGGACTGTATGAACGCTTGATCTCTTCTCTCTCTGCTGTCCGCTTAGGAACACACAGCTGAAGGAGAAAAGAAGAAGAGGCATAAAGAAGAATGGCCATCAAAAATTGAATCAGAGATCCAGGCCACAAAGGACCTGGTCCAACCAAGCCGTCGCTCGCTGTGCAATGAACGACAGAATGGAAGGCCTTTCAGTCTTGCTGATCACCGAAAGACTCGATTAGGTAAGTGGCGAGCAAAGAGACGGATGGGTTGAGGTTGAGAAGGGCGGCAGGGGGGCAGGCGGCAGGGGGTACGAAGCGAGGCTGCAGCGTGGGAAAATGGGAATTGTCGCACGCTCAAAATTGTATAGCAGCAGGACAGCGCAGCAATGGAACACAGAGCATGCGAGTGTCTCCTTACGCTCGCATGAAGTGTCCTCTTCGACAGGTGTGTACGTCCGAGACTTAGCTACCGCACATGTCTCATGCACCACAAGCCAGCTTTTGATTCACTGTAATTGCTGCATTGTATCATGAATGCTACGCTCCAGCTCTCAAGATGGACACGTGTGACCTGCAAAGTCACCAAGGTCAAGGTTGTTGCATGACAATGCGAGCAAACTATGGGCAACCTGCAGCCGATACAGGCTGTGCAGTGTGCATGCAGCCGGAGTTGCGCGCATGCTGCAAAGTCACCGGCTAAGCTCACTCAGAACACGCAAGCAGGAGAATGGTCTGTCGCTGCAGCCGCTTTTGATCTTGAGAAGTACGGATTTCACCGCAAGCTTGTTAAGCTACCGCGGCTTGCACTCGAGCTCAAGCTCGAGTTCATGCTTTTGCGCAATGTTTCTCTTCGCAGCTCTTGACTTACCATCTGTGGTCATCGCCATTTTCTCAATCAAACCAAAAGAGTTGATGACCCATTCAAAGATATCTCCTGAAGTGTTCGCTCTTACGGAATATGCAGTGAGGTAGGATCGGAAGGTGACATTTCTTGTAATGACCATCCTCAGACGCCTTGTAGCCGACGGCGAGCGTTCCGCCAAGACTTTTCCTGCTGCCTCATGTGCGAAGCACCGCATGGTAGTCAATGGACTATGCGAGCAAGTCCGGAACCCCCAACTTGTCCGAAAAAGCATAAAAAGGACCATTCGCACCAGAAATTCCTTTTGCTGCCAGCAAAACTTTCTCAAATGGTGCATGTCAGCAAACTCTCGGCTCTGCTCATTCTCTTGGCCCATCATGTCATTGGCAAGGATGAAGAGCAGTTCGGGCAGGATAAAGTCTGCTGTCCCCCAGATTTGAAAGCTTATATTGCGAAGTATTCGGCAGACAAGCCAATGAAATCTGTCACGCTGACTGGAATCCACAACAACATCAATAACAAGAAATTCAGAGAAGCAACTTGCAATCTCAAGGCCGACCATAAGGTAAGAATCCAACATGTTGAACGGTCTTGCTGATATCCAGATCCTTTTAGATCAAATGAAGAAGCCGAGCAAGAATGGAATCAGTAAGTATGTGGCGTATGTTGCCTATTTCAAGACAGGTAAACAGCAGCCCTGCGGCCTGCTTATTGAAGTGGCAGTTGGCCAGCACAGAGGAAATCGTTCTACAATCGCCTGCAAGCTCGATGACTCGCCTGTCTAATTGCATCACCAAGCTCTTGTTTCACTCAAAGCGACTGATTGAGGCGGTCTTTTAAGCCCATCTTCCAGGCTTTCTTTCGATTGCATCCATACTCCAATTCCAACTTTCACTCTTCACGTGCGCCAGATTCAAAAAGCTGCCTTGACATCCTCTACCGCGTCAAATCAAGCACGACGACCAGGTCAGTCCATGTTCAACTGTAGGAAGCCACGTTGCCGATTTTCAACAAGGAGCGACTCACTCAGCTTGCTGACGCAACCCTGCTCTCGCGTGAGGCATAATGACTCCATCCAGCCCAGACACATGTGCACAAATCTGCCAGGACTTCCTTGCGGCACTCTTCTCATCTCAGCGAAGTCTGCAGATTACAGCTGTAGTTCCGCGTGTTGATAGCGACAAGAAAAGATTTACGATGCCATACAATTTTCAAAACTGACTAAAATGGCTCAATAAGCACGTGTAGCTGTTCAAGGTCTTGAGTCTAGACCGGCCGCAGCTGATGCAGCTACAGCTGTAGCAACACATGCAAGGAGCAAAGGTTTCGTGCATCTCCAACTGAGTCTCATCAAGATTCTATGTATGGCCCAACATCCGGTTAAACTTTACACATGCATCCAACATGTGCTGCTATCGTACCCCTGGAATGATGAAAATGGCTTGTTTGTTCTCGTGGCGGCCATAGCCTCCAGGAGTTCTTGATTCTAGGCCAAATTTCTTGACAAAGCGTCGAATTTGGCCTTTGTGAGCATCTGTGAAATCATCGATAAGGCATGCAGACCAGAGTCAGATACATCAACAATGCTTGAAACTGTCCAAACATACGATTCCCCGACAGGCTTTCAGCTGCTCCCAACTTTTGTGTACTCTCCTAGCCTGTATTTGTGGACCACAGGTCATGATCGAGCTTGACAGGCTAATTTTAAAAAAGGAGCCTAGGAGGTAGCTCCTCAGCTGAGATTGTACACATTTCCTCGTCATCTAAATTTTGTCTGGCTATTGTATGAACCTTGCTCGTGAACATGATTCTCAAGAATTGAGCGCAGAGAAGATGGGTTGTTATCAATGTTGAAGGCCTATTGAGCCGCCAGCTTACATCCAGAGCGAAACAAGATTCAGCTGCAGGGGCAATTCGTATGCGGCAAGGTCGCTCCAGGCATATGGAACACGCTCTTCATGTTTTTCTTCATGCCCGAACCGATCTCCTGAGAGAAAAGTGCATAAAGCCAGCCGTAGCCCCGTCAAGAACAGTTGGTTCGACATCTCTTTCTCACCTATAGAATAGCTGCAGTGCATCAAAATGCTGTCCCCCAAAACCTTGCTAGCCATCGCTGTGGCTATCCAGATTGCCAGCGTCAGGTCTGAGCATCATCATCATCCTCATCAGAAGAAGCACCAGGGTAACCCAGATCATGTCGGAACTAGCAAAAGTGGTTCGCTACCAGATGTTCTTCGCGATTCACGCCAGAACTTTTTGAGTTGCAGCTCTGCTGATGGTAAAAATCGTTTGGAAGTCGCCTATGATCTCATTGCATCTCCTTCAAACAAGTACGTCAGTGTCAAGAATGGTGCCGATGTACGCTTTAGCCTTGCTAGACTATTCGGAGAAAAATCCGACGCTAAAGTCCGTGAACACCTCGATAACAACATCATCAATGATATTACATGTAATGGCCAGGTCAAAAAAGAGGTTAACATTCGTGGGCAGTTTCAATGCTAAAGCTAACAAAAGATTCAATTGGACCTGCTATGCAAGAAACCAAATAATTGCGCTTCTGCTTTTGGCCTTTACGATGCAAAAGAGCTCTGCAAGCTCTATGTCAGCTTTGCCAAAGATGAGGAAGGCCAATTTTGTGCGTGGAGTTACCACTAGTGACTAGATCATGCACAGCATTTGCTCCATGGCCAGGCTCGATGGAAGTTGGCATGAAGAGAACGAGGCAGTTCGAAGTCCTTTCACATCTTCTTTCAACGGTTGCAGGCAACCGTGCTTGACAGATTTCAATTTAGCGACTTTAATCTCTTTCCACCTTTCAACGCTGTCCTTATCTTCGCTGAGTGTCTATATTGTGCCCAGACTGACATGATGCAAAGTAGAACTGACCATGCCAGACATCTAGAAGCGCCAACAGAAGTTACGTGGGCAAGAAGCATGATGCGGTGCCAGACAGCCATTTAGCTTTATAGCAGAATGTCGCGAGACTCGGTCAACACAGGCGAGTGTGCACAACGAAATAGCGTTTGCGAATACTGCTAAAACTGGTAGTGAGTGCACTGCATGTCCAAAGACATGAATCAAGCTTCTTGCACGAGACACTCAATAGCATCGATGTGTTTTGGTAGATTTGTCAGGTTCTCAAACCCGGTCTCGGTGACGAGCAGGCAATCTTCAATGCGGACGCCACCTACAGACGCATACGACGCGATGTGTTCTTGATCGAAATGATGGCCGTGCTCGCCTTCGTAGTAAGTCTGGAGAAATGACTCATTGAAGTATATGCCTGGCTCAATTGTGATGACTTGGCCTGCTTGTAGGGTGAAAGATTCTGTTTTTTGCGGCACGCTGCCTTTTGAAGGCGATACATCATGTACATCCAAGCCAATTTGATGTCCAAGACCGTGCTCCTGTTAGTGAATGATCGTCAGCAGTGCTGCTTACCATCATGAATGCGACACCTAGCTGTAACTTGTAGCAAGTCTCTGCATCGCATTTGAGAAATCCAAGAGCAACAAGCATCTCACCCAACCGCTTCATAACCGCCATATGTATCTCTTGCATTGCTTGACCTGGTCTGATCATGGAAATACCAAGCATCTGCAGCTCATACACGTTCTCATAGATTTGCCTTGCCTTGTGTGAGAATTTGCCCGATAGCGGGTACGTCCGAGTGACATCTGCCGCATACCGGTTATACTCTGCTGCTGCATCCACAAGCACCAACTCTGCATCAAAAAAGGATGCGTCATTGGCGCCATAGTGCAGGACGGATGCATGGGCACCTGAGGCGATGATTGGGTTGTAGGCTTGAGTAGGTGCGCCTGCGAGTCGGCACGCACGGAGAAAATCAGCTTCTGCTTGACGCTCGGAGGTGTAGTGCTTGAGTTGGCGTGCTATGCTGCGGTGCGCGTCACAGGTGATATTGTTGGCTGTACAAAGCGCTACTAGCTCGTATTTGTCCTTGATGACGCGACAAGCTGCTAGTGCTTCCATCAGTGCGGCATCTGTGAAGGTGTAGAATTTAGCACCAAATTGGATGAATGCAGAGCCGAGCTTGTCATGATAATAAGCAGCATCTACCTCATACGATGCCATGACTTGCTCGGTGCTCTCCGTTTGACCCATATACGCAACTTGCCTGGGTTCTCGCTGTGGCGGTATGTATATGACTGCATTGTCTTCCTTGATGTCATACAGGAGCGTCCATCCAGGCGACTGTGCGCCTGTCAGGTAGTAGAAATTGGACTCTTGGTCAAATGGGTATGTCTGGTCAGAGAAGCCGCGCTGTATAGAGTCTGCGCCGTGGAGTAGAATATAGTTTGACTTGAGCGGTCTTGAAAGAGCAGCGGCGACTCGCCTGAGATGGTCTCGTGCGGGATATTTGAGCTTCTTCTTGATTCTTGCCATTGGCAGCTGTAGCTTTGAGTTGTCGTCGGCGTCGAAATCTGAATTTCTGCGCGAAAGAGACAAAAGGCGGCCGCGTCATGCACAACAGCAACGACTACTCAACAGAGCAAGCATAGGGACAGAGAGACAGGCAGCATGAGTGATCCACAGGTGCTCAAGCCGGACAAGGACTACAAGCCTATTCTTGACGAGCAGTTCCCAAAACTAGAAGAGCTTGCACAGACAGACCTCAATGGCGCCGTTGAACAGCTCACCGTACTGGAGAAGCAGACGCGTCAGGCGAGTGACATGAACTCGACAGCTCGTATTCTGGTCGAGATTTGCGAGTTGTGCAAAAAGCAAGGCGACTTGGCCTTGCTGAATGAGCAAATCCAAGTACTCAGCAAGAAGCATGGTCAATTGAAGGGCGCCATCACGCGTATGGTCCAGCGTTGCATAGATATGTTGGGTGAGATGGAGGCTGAAGCAGACAAGCTTGAACTCATTGAGACACTGCGCAAAGTTACGGATGGCAAGATCTATGTCGAGGTAGAGCGTGCGCGAGTGACACGGACACTCTCGCAGCTCAAGGAGCAGAAGGGCGAAGTCAAGGAAGCCCAGGAGATTCTCACATCATTGCAAGTGGAGACCTTTGGATCGATGGATAAGCGGGAGAAGACAGAGTTCATCCTGGAGCAAGTGCGGCTGACTTTGGCGCAACAAGACTACCAGCTCGCACATATCCTGTCGCGCAAAATCTCTACCAAGGTGTTTGAGGAGGAGACATTCCATGATCTCAAACTGCGCTTCTATGAGCTCATGATTCGCATTGGTCTGCACAATGATGAGTATCTCGACATTACGCGTTATTACCACCATGTCCTAACCACGCCGTCTGTGGCAGAGGATGCCAGCAAGTGGCAAGACATCCTGGCAAATGTCGTCTACTTCATCATTTTGTCTCCCTATGACAACGAGCAATCCGACTTTCTTCATCGCATCGCAGCAGACAAGCGCCTACTAGAGCTGCCCATGCACAACGAGCTCATCAAATGCTTCACAACACGTGAACTGATGCGTTGGCCAAGGATTGAGGAGATCTATGGTGTGCATCTCCGAAAGACGCCCGTCTTCACCTCAGGTGATGCACGCGCTGAGCAACGCTATGCTGCTCTCAAGACGCGTGTGATTGAACACAACATTCGCGTTGTTTCTGCATACTATGCGCGCATCACCCTTCCCAGGCTCCAGCAACTCCTTGATCTGAGCCCTGAAGAGACGGAGAAGCAACTATCTGCGCTTGTATCCAACAAATCTGTCCATGCACGCATTGATAGACCAGCACAACTTGTTGTGTTTGGCAAGGCGAAAAAGTCAGATGAAGTGCTCAAGGCGTGGTCGTTTGATGTCGGCAAGCTCTTGTCTGGTATTGAAAAGGTCAGGCAGCTTGTGCAGAAGGAGTACACCCTGCAGACTGTCCAGCAAAAGTCATAGGCCCTTTCGTAGATGCTTCCTGCTGCATGACGTCCTCATCCCCGCCCCTTTCTTTGCCCATTTACGTGTATTTCCTCGTCGCGAAACCATGACACACCACAACAAGAGATGGACAAGTATGTAACAATCACAAAGAAACGCTCTGCTGCAGGCGATGGAGGCAAAGATGCAAAACGGAAACGTCCCATGACTGCCAAGGAACATATGATGCATATCGCTACAACGCCATCCACTCGCGGCCATGATATTTGGGTATCAGCTGCAACGGGCCATCAAATCAGTGAACAAGGTGGTCGCTCTGTCTCCTACAACGCCGCTCGTGTTGCAAAGCTCAAGTGTCAGTTCAGACCAGCGGGTGCTGATGTCCCCGCTGATCAAAAAGCAGTCGCGGCGCGGTATGCTGCACAGCAAGAAGGCCCAGTTATCGCCCCGGACTTGGAGGCGACGGTCGCCGTGAGTAGGGATAGCGGGCATATTGCGCTATTTGACGCTCAACATAGTACGCATAGCGTCACTTACCCGACGCGCGTTGCTTTCCAAGCATCAACATCACCAACAAAAGGCTGTTTTCGAGGATGCGTGTTTTATCTGGACGGCTACCTGGGGCCAACAACATCCGATTGGTGTCTCAAACGCGAGATTGCCGCTCAGGGAGGCGAGGTCTCTGTATCACTAGCGAAGAAGCAAATCACTCATGTTGTACTGAGCCAGTGTGGCGCACTGGCACATTCCAAAATCGTCAAGGAAGGCAAGTTGAAGCGTCGTACAGTTCAGTATGTCACGGTGGACTGGATACATGCTTGCTTGGCTGCTGGGAAACGCGTTCCAGAGTGGTCGTATTCAGTTGAAAAGCTACAGTCTGGAACACGACCTGTTGCTGAACTGTGGCAAAAGAAGGATGAAGCTCAGTTGCATCTTGATGCTGAGGAGGGGGAGAGACTTGATGCTCTGGATCGCTGACCTCATATGCTCTACTCTTGGCTTTCTCAGTCACTTTGTTGGAACTCCTACAGCCTACAGTCTATCTTTTTACCTCTTCAGCTATTGTTGTCGAGTGGCACTGCGCTAAAATCACGGTGGGAGGTATCGTACAGCTTGCAAGCGCCAAGCTTCCCATCTTCCTCACTCGCATAAACGAGACCGCAAAACTGCTTTGGTCGGGCTCCATGCTGGTTTGTCTCCTTTTTGGCCAGCACATACAAATTAATCCGAGGCTTGCTCCCATCTGTCGGCTTTTCGGGTAGTGCATTACCGTATCCAAGGCCAGCCCTGCGGATACTGGGTCCTTTACCCTCTCCATTGTATTCGGCGGTGATGTTCAACTATGTCGTTAGCATCGTCTGGCACAGCTGTCAATCTTACAATCTGGTTGGTCTGATTGTTGCATGTCGTTCCGTCAGGGTATGCTGTCAATGTTGCAGCATCGATGGGCTTCCACCCTTCAGGCATGTCGTATTTCTCAGTCCTTATGATCCAACCTTCAACGGCCAAGACTGTCAGCTCTTGCTCCGGTTCGCAGATGAAGTGGCCCTCGGATAGCTTCGGTAAGCCTGACATGATTGGGCTCGGGTCGGTGCTAATGACAAAGCTGGAAGCATGGGCCATGAATGGCAGAATCGACAACAGCTGCGTCAGCATCATCTTTTGGGTGTTGTAAGGATTAGCTGCGTGTATGGGTTTTGAATGTTGACACGACACCCTTTTATGCAGCTTGGTCACCAGGGGAGCGACACGAAGCCCCTGAGCTCGCACGTCCTATTGTTTGTTCTGCAGAAATGAGCATGCATTGACGCATGACAATTTCCTGCCGAGAGACACACGCGCCAGTCGCGACTCGCGACAATTCCACATGGTCACTGATAGCCTGAGACTGCGTTGCTCCTCATTGCATGCACACTGCGATATATTTCCGCAAAGAAGCCCAAGATATTTGTTTGCGGCAGCTATTTTGGTCTAGCCTCCTCAGTCGAAATTCCTCTGGCTGACTATCCTTCGCACTTGCGAGCACCGGCGACGTGGCAAGTACTGAGTCTGGCTTTGTCTTCACATGCAAGGCACTGGTACGCTGAGGGATGCTTGAAGTGTCTAAAGTATATAATTGGCAGCTACTCAGGAATTGAAGCAGAGATGGGAGCGAATAACGCGAAAAACAAGACATCTCATCTGCCTGCCACCTGTGCCTTCTTCTTGATTGCACTTGTAAACGTACTGCTCTTGTCTTGAAAGACACTCTCCCGCTCAATCAGGGTGGCCTCGAGTGGTTGATTTGGTGTATCTTCAATTTCACCAATCTCCTTTCGAATCGCATCGACTTCTTGAGCTTGTTTCTTCCAGCTTGCCTTGTTGAGTGCTTTGTCAAAGAGCTCTGGGTTGGGCGGAACGTAGCTTCCACCTAGACGATCAAACAATGTGGTGAATTGTCCATAGTTGCAAGAAAATTTGAGATGATGCAGTGAATGGCATGCTGCGCCATTGATGATGGGGTCGTTGGAGAGGTACTCGCCATCGTGGATCAAGACTGTCCAGATATTGACGAAGGAAAAGAGCGCAATGTATGCGAACCTGTGAAGTGGGAAGATGAAGGGGAAGATGTGGTAAGGCAGACTTTGCAAGAATCCATCGGCTGGGTGGAATGCATGGGATGCATAGGGTGTAGGCATGATCCACCTATGGTGAGGCTTGTGTAGGTGCTTGTACAACGCTTTGGAGTGCAAACCGCGGTGAATGAGGTAGATGAGGGAATCTGTAAAGAGCAGGAAGAGCGGAAATTGAAAGATGAAGTAGCCCCAGCCGTATTGGTCTACCGACCTGTATAATTTCGAGTAGCCGCGCACTTCTGCAAGGAAACAGACGGCCGTGACGATGGCCATTTGTGGTAAGGATGCGACTGCGACGCCCATTTCAAGGCGGATTTGGTTCTTGAGATACCTTGGATGCTCGAATGTCCGATGATCAAAGATGAACAGGTAGGAGAGCGTCGAGAAGAAGAAGTACAAAACCATACCAAAGAACCAAGTGATGAGGAAGAGCGAAAACAATTGTCGCACCGGTGCGTCTCGCGCAAAGACCGACATGCAGCCTTCTGAGATGGACTGATCAAGCGAGTTGAGGCCCGTCAGCCGCGCATGCTTTGCCGCTGGAGAGTTGGGCAGGTCTAGCGCAGCGAGGTATCGGAGTAGTGTATTGTTTGTATTGCTCGGGGCCCATGTATTGTAGGCCAAGTCTAGGCCACCATATCGGTCAACGATATCCAACACGACGTCCATTGATGCGTTTGAGAAAGTCTAGGGATGTTGTACACGAACAAGGGCGCGTCGGGTCTGGTGTAGCTGGTGTTTGATGTTTTCTGTGGTGGTCTGACTTTCTGAAATCGTCGCCACGGGAGCTGACGTAAGCGACCGCCGACCAGTCTGGATTCATTTAGGTACAGCAGAGTATAAACAGGGTCGAGCAGTGTATAGACAGGGTTCTGACAGTGTAGAGCAGTCTATTGATCTAGAATACAGCGCCATCACTCAGCAAGACACGCCCCTCTTCCCGCCGCATGTAATGATGGATGGCATTGGCACCAGCAATCAGGCCACCCGTATCGCACCGTGCTTCCCGAGCAATGAGGCAAATTTGAAACACATTCGTCTGCCAGCATAATCCCAGCAAGCCGTCTTCAAAATGTAGAATCTCAATCTTGTGCGTCGGTGCCGCCAATAGCCTCGCATAGACTTGACAGATACGTTTCCGTGAAAGCGAGACTTGCGTAGGGATACGCATTGATCCATCGACATGATCGGATTTCGGCAAAGCAGGTGGCAGACCTGGTGCCACGAATTGCACTTTAGAGCGTGCCTTGTAGAAGAAATGCTCGAGCTGACCAGCACCCACCTCTTTGCAAGTCACTGGCTTCTGTGCCGCCTTCTTCAGCTCCCGAATAAGCCCATCTTTTTCCAGCCGTCTGCATACAGTCTCCTTGATACCCTGCAGCTCAAAGAAGGACTCCTTGTCTGCTGATACCAAGATGAGACTGATACTGCGTGTGATAAAGTAAACGTATATGTGCAGAAACCCGGAAGCGTTGAACTTTGGCAGGCACAACGGAAGCCAGTACTCACCGCCTTGCTCAAATCCACGCGAGTAGACCGTTTCAAAAAGAATTCTGAGATCAGCCGGGTAGAGTGAATGGCCATGCGGACGCAGGATGCCAACGAGATGTTTATCGCAAGCGATGAGACCATATAGCAGTGCAGCACCCTGTCGACTGGCTTGCAGGATATTGTGTATGCGTGTGCGGTACTTTTTTCGCAACCGCAGTACTTGAACTGCTGAGAGCATGATGCTCAAGTCACCGCGTATCATGTCGTCCGACAATCGATCCAGAAATACTTCGGCGCCTTGTATCATGCGACTTAGGTCGAAATTCTCGCTGCGGTCGTAGACGCGTTTCAGGGCAGTTGCCGTGACGGTGGACAGAATGTGTGCGTAGAGCAAGTCTAGCTGAACACGCAACGCTGCCGTCCCTTCCCTTAGCTTACTGATGGCTACCAGATAGACAGGTCCATGAACAACCAGAACAATCGAGAGATCATCACAAACATAAGATTGTAAGGCATCGCCCGAGTCTTGGTAGAAGCCCATAATTGCTTGGATGATGCCCATATAGCTAGACAGAATCTGTGACGACCCGAATCGAGAGTAGATGGGTTTGCCTGCAGCAGAAAGGATCAGAAACTGCTTGCGATGCGCTAGCCAATGTTCCAATTGCCCTTCCTCGTCGTCCTTCTGAGAGGCCGTTTCAGAGGCAGTGGCGTCGCTGTCATATGCTTGCTCGGGCGTGAATACCACACTTTCCGTCAGAAGCTCACCCAGTGTGCCGCTCAAGTTGTCCTCAACGCTATGCAAGGTCGGCACACTCCTTCCAGTGCGCACTGACTGTCCATCATAGTTGCTTTCTAGGTGTGTGTCGGGCAGTGTCAACTGGGTTGTGGGCTCGGCAACAATAGAGGCTGATGAGATGATGGACTGCAGCTGCGGTCTATCCTGTCGCATGTCATAGGGCCAGTTCCTTTTAGTAGCTGTAGAGCGTAGTGTTCGTGTTGGTGCAGGTGAAATGACGACGCGACAATCTGCAGCTCATCTCTTCACCACCACAAGCTGTATGTTGCTACCGAGGCTGCAGACAAGAATTACTAGCTGTAGCTGTCGTCTTCTGACTACCCGCTTCAAGTCTACATCAAGCAAAAAGCCATTCGCTTTTGCCTTTGATATTGATGGCGTCCTGCTCAAGTCCTCGCAGCCTATTCCTGGAGCGATTGAAGCGCTTGCTCTGCTCAAAAAGCATGCTATCCCTTTCATTTTGTTGACAAACGGCGGAGGAAGTACAGAAGCAGAGCGTGTCGCACGCCTAAGTGAATACCTCAAGACGGAGATCCATCCATCCAACTTTGTTCAATCCCATACTCCATTTCAGTTACATGCAGCACAAAGACGGTTCAAGAACGTCTTGGTTTGTGGAGGTAAGGGAGATGTATGTAGACAGGTGGCGCTAGGCTATGATTTCCCCCATGTCACCATACCTTTCGACATCCTGGCACAAGACGAGTCTGTGTGGCCCTATCATCAGCTATCCCAGGACGACAGGTCAATCACGCGTCCTCTGTCTGATGCACCTATTGATGCGATATATGTCTATCATGATCCTAGAGACTGGGGACTTGATTCGCAAATTGTCTTGGACTTGCTTCTCTCCAAAGGCGGTCGTATTGGTACACGCGCTGATCATCCAACACCAGAGAAGCCCAACGAGTCCTTTGAGCAAGCAGTACCGCTATTCTATTCGAATCCAGACTTAGTCTGGTCGAACCTCAATCCTCATCCGCGATTCGGACAAGGCGCCTTTCAGATACTGATCCAAGGCTTGTATAAAGCAATTACTGGCACGACGTTGCATTCGACTACAATTGGAAAGCCCTCGAAGCTGATGTATGACTATGCAGCTCAAGTACTCGCAAAACATCAGAAACGCTTAAATCCACATCTCGCAGCGGATCAAACTCGTGTGTACATGGTTGGCGACAACAAGCTTTCTGACATTGCCGGCGCCAATGCATATCAATGGACATCCATCCTCGTGCAAAGTGGCGTCTTTCGTGGTACAATTGAGGAAGGCAAGTCTGGCAGCATTCCTGCGGATCATGTGGTCAAAGATGTTGGAGAAGCCGTCAAGCTTGTGCTGGCTGAAGAAGGCATTCTTTGAGATTCTACAATGACCAATTGGCAGTATTCAGCTTTCTCACGGACCACTCATCGGGACTCCAACCGCGAATGTCGCCTTGGTTGTAAATGATGCGCTGTTCTGCCTTTGAAGGTGGCATCTTTGTCACTGGTGCAATCCAACAGTCTGGCACTTGCAAGCTTGCATGTCGCGGTTTTGGCTGCACAACTTGTAATTGACCTCTGTATCGACCAACATCTGTCAGTACTAGAGGCGGTGGTCTATGCTTCCTTTGACGATTTACGAGTGGCGGTTGAAGGGGCTGCGGCTCACACTTGCGGCAGCTACAAGGTCGTGCTGATACTTGCTGTATTCCTCGCGGCCATTCAGCGCCTAATCGGCTCATGGATGTCGTTTCTGACTCGGCACTTTCTCGCGTGCTAGATTTGCGGCGTTTGACGGCTTCTGACATTCTCCTCAGCACATCAGTCATCTTTGACGGCAACACAGGCGATTCATGGTCTGGTTATCTACATATGCGTCAAACGTCAATCGTTCAAGACTCTGATTATCGACACCATCAACGTTTCAAGTGGCAGAACCTACGACACCTCAAAAGTTTGTTTGTCAGCATTCACAGTGACTTTGTACCCATCTCCAGGAATCTCAAACTGGCCCTTGAACGTGCCACTGCTCTCGCGCGCATCAATCTCCTTCTTGATGGCTTGACCAGCTGCAACACCGTGTTTGGCAGTCACCTGCAGGACAATGACTTGCTGAAACGTCTTTTTGCGACCCTCGGGCGTCGTCGTGCTTGGCAAATTGGTCGGCTTGACGACCTCTGCAGGTTTGCCCGCGGCTTGTGGCTTTGTCTTTGCCGGTGCTGCTGCGACGGCAGGTGTTTTGGGCGTCTCTTCATTTGCTGCTGCCGGCGGTGCTTGTGGTTTGGGGGCTGCTGAAGGCGTGCTAGGCGGCGTTGATCTGGCAATGGGTGCTTCTGCCGGCTTGTCTTCATCCTCATCGTCGCCATCAGGCGCCTTCGATGGACTTGGCGGTGGGGTAGGCGTTGCTGGTGATACTGGCTTTGTCTTGTCACCACCTTCGTCGTCTACATCGTCATCGTCATTGTCCTTGGGCTTCGATGCTGGTGGAGTCGTGCTAGGCGGCGAAGAATCTGTTCCAGTCTTTGCAGGAGGAGTTGGTGGCGGTTCGCTTCCTCCGTCTTTATCGTCATCGTCGTCGTTATCCGGGGCCTCTGCAGTAGGTGTTGTCGATGCCACGCTAGGGCTTACTTGCGTGGGCATCTGCGGGTCTTCTTTTGCCGGCACTTGTGATGGTAAGGCATCTGGCACTGCCACTGGCACGACTGGTCTGAACGTAGGTCTTGGTCTCGGGGGGTCTCCTTCATCCTTCGCATCATCCACGTCAATATCATCGTCGTCAGGCTTCTTTGGCATTGGCGGTAGGGCGACTGGTGGCAAATGTGGTCTAGGCACTTGCGGCGGTACCCATGGCGATGCGACGGATGGCTGTTTTGGCTGCGGTACAGCTGGTGTGGTCTGTCCTCCAGCAGCTGGAATAGCACCAATACCTGGGTAGTTGGGTGTTCCTGGTCCCGGCATTGCCCCTGAATTTGTGAGTGGGTTGTTCACAGGCGCAAAGCCCGGGATTGGCGGCGAAGACGGTATCTTTGGGTTACCATTCGATGCGATACCAGGATGAGGTAATGAGTTTGGAACATTCGGTCCATTGGCGTTTGGCAGAATATTCGATGCGTTGATATCTCCAAGCAATGAGAGAAGGTATCGCCGCAAGTCGGGATTCACCGCAAAGAGCTGAATGAGGCGCTCTGCGATGGACTCGAGATACGTTTGCAACGTCAACACTGGGTAGGCTGGCCGCTCGATCAAAGACACAGCGTACCGAGAGACCGGTGCAGATTCGCCTTCGAATATCTGGTCAATTGCTGCATCCGTGTTTTGCAAACTTCGTTTGTTGCGCTTCAACACGCTCTTCTCATTGTTCAAACTAACGAGATCATTCTGTGCTGCACAGCCAGTCTTGCTCTGGTTAAACTGCTTGATGAGCGATTCCATGTCGACCTTTTGCCCAAAGCTCTGCGCAACAGCGACCAGCTGTGCAATGTCTGCACCCAGTGGCTGAGTCTTACCATCACTTTGCACAGTCTTGCATTTCTCCGGATCTGCTTCGTTGCTGTCGAGGCTCGCTTCGCATACAGCACCAATGTATGGATATCGACAAACGCAGGAACATGTCCCATTGCCAGTGAGCGAGTAAATGCCATCATGCATGCACGACAGAGTCGCTTTACAGCGCACTTCAGGCGATGCGTTTTTGCGTGATGCTTCGATGTCTTTGCGCAACATCTTGATTGACAGTGGGACCATGACAATAGTGAGAACGACTAGTGAGAGCATCACGACGATTGATGCAAAAACGCAAAATGGCAGCCCGCAATATTTTCGCGGCTTGACTGTTGCTAGTGTGGGAAATCCGCCCAATGGAGAGCCTGGGTATCGAGCTGGTCCACTGAGCACTGAGCTGACGGTCGATGGAGTCAGTGGACGTCTGTCAGGGGTCTGTTGATGGACTGGCGAATTTGGCTGGGACATGGCTGCCAAAAGTGCACTCACTTCAGAATCGTCTGACCTTCGTGCATCACGACGACCATCAGACTCTTGCGATCTCGTCGCCCTGAGTTGGCCATCGGAGTCTTGCAATGTCAATGTGTGGCTTTGAGATCGAGTACGCCCACCAGGTGCATAGCGCTGTGTGGGGCTCGTCACCAAGGCGTGTAAATTGGTGCGCGAGCTGTCTAGCACAAATGGCAGCGAGCTAGCTGATCGGCTGTAGGCGTCGGCCATGAGCCCGGTCGGTGCTCGTTCCATCGAGTCTGACATCATGGCCAGGCGCAAGCTTCCTAGGGGATGTGGCGGGGGTGGAAGGGCATGAGTGGGAGGTCTCAGTGGTCGTGGCGGAGGTGTCGCATGAGCTCTGCTGATGATGCTGTGCTTGACGGAGTGGATTGATCCGCTCTCGATGGACTCACTGTCTGTTGATGAGGCCCTTGTTGGGGTTATCAAGTCTGGCAACACCATGGACGAGGCTTTTGACATGGGCGAGTACTGTTTTGAGGTATGCATGGCGCGTGCCTCTTCTGAATGCAAGACTTGCGCATACGGTACTTCATCATCTGCTTCAAATCCTTTTCGCTGTACTTGAGGACGATCAAAAGAACGCACCTGCATGATACCTTCCATGCTTGGTGCAAGTCCAGAACCAGACTGCGGTCTTCTGGCATGAAGGTCATTCACTGAAACAATCAGTACATGTATGCTTCATCAATATTATGTCTTTGCTCGTAGAGCATTATCTAGTCTAAACATGGGTATTAAAAGTGGAAAAAGTTCTTGCCAGTCTCAAAGCCAAGCTCGTTCAGGGCTTCTCCAGCAGCTTTGATCATTGGCGGTGGGCCACAGACAAATGTGATTGTATCGTGGTCGGCGGGAAACAAATACTTGTCAATCTTTTGCTTGTCGGCCAAACCTCGCTCGCCAGTCCAGCTGCTGTCTGCGTCTTCAAGCGTGTGTGTTATTTGGAAAGCATCGCCATGCACCTTGGCAAGAGCGTCAATCTCATCATGTAACAGAATCTCATCCACATTCGTGTTGGCATCAAGGAACCGTATGGGGATCTGGGTATTGTCACATTCGAGCATCTTTTTGATGGTTGCCCAAACTGGCGTCATACCAGTGCCGCCACTGATAAAGTTGACGCGTTTCGCATTGATTGTTTGTTCGTGGCCGTCTTCTTCTTGATCAACTAGAAACGTGCCGTTTCCCTGATAGCGGATTGGGCCATAGCTGCCCATGATGAGAAGCGTGTCTTCTCGCTCGGCATCCAGCATATCGAGCACATTTCCAAAAAGGCCTCCAGGCTGCTTGTCATCAGGAAAGTAAGTCTTGACAATCATGTCGAATGTGCCATCTTCCTTGTCCTCGCCGATTGGACGCGTCATAGCATATGGCCGTGCCGTGATGCCATCAGTCATCATGAAGCCACAGAGAAAGTGCTGGCCAGTGTGGACATGCACGCCTTTCTGCTGATGATGCTTGAATGTGTACTTTCGCACATCCTTGTTGAGCTCTTCGCGTTTCACGAACGTAACCGGGATGAAGGACTCGTTGTTGAACAGGCCATTCTTGGCAACGCCGAAACTGTTTTCGTGCGCTTCAAAGCCTTTAGAGATATCCTGCCGTGTCATGCGCGACGGTTGCGATTCTTTGGCTTCCTTGCCACCCATGTCCTTCTGTTGCCGCTCGACATTCGCTGGCCAAGGCTGCTCATACTTGATGTATCGTTCCGTCGCCGGCAACGGTAGGTCTGGACATATCCGCTTGCCATGCTTCTGTATGACGTCTCTAACCGTCACCAACGCCTGTTTACCCTTCAACATGTCGTCTGACTGTGCCGCCATGAATGTGGGAAGTTGTTGCTCGGATCTGTTCTTTTGGATGTTGATGTCATGAGTCGCGAGTCGCGTTTTGTGAAAATTCGGCGCGCGCCGCCTTGATGGAAATTGGGCACAAACCTCAGCAGCAGCTGCAGCGTGACTAGGCAGAGACCGGCTCAGTGTCGCTGGCATCGTCAGTATCCATATCAGACACACCAGCAATCATGTCCAGCAAGTCAAGTACCTCCGGAGACTGATCTCCCCAACGTAGCTGGACTGTCCAATGCACTTCATTCAGCTGACTAAGGCGGCCACTCTCCATTGCTGCTGTGACATGCCGCGCCGAGATCTTGTTGCGGTCATCGAGCAGTCCACCTGTCGAGTCGAGCGAGAGTCGCTCAAGCGGATGATGCATTGGGATATTTTCGAAAAAGGCGGTTTGGAAGTATTCAATGTAGCCCTCATAGTCAAGTAGATTTGGACAGAGTAGCAATACAAAGTTGAGCGCATCGCTGGGTAAAGGTAGCGGGTAAAGTGTTGCAAGTCGAGTGAGTTGCGCGCCTTGTCTCTCAAACAAGGACAGGACACCAAGCAGTGTCACTTCTGGACAAGCCTGGAAGCTGAGATGTGTCACGGTGCTTGGCAGTGGGCAGGACAAGAGGTGGTCGTCAACAGCTCCGCTCAGCCATACTTCCCGTAGCTTGGGCGGCCATTGCACAATGAGGGTGCCGTCGGTATGCTTGCTTGCTTTAGGGAAGCTCACCACTTCTAGCTGCTCAAGCTTGCTCAGCGCTGCAAGGAAGAAGGACAGCTCGACGCGTTCAGAAACTGCTTGAGCATTCAAGACGCGCAACTGGGTGCATAGCCCCGTTGCGCGAAACGCAGACTGATTGAAGCCAACCTGTGGCGCCATAAAGACTCGCAAGTTCCGAGCAGAGCGCCGTACTAGGCGCGTGATTTGGCTCGTCTTTGCGCCATGCACCACTTGTCGCAAATTCAAGCTTCGCACCAAGTCGCCGAGGGGGCCCGCTTTTCGATGGCTGAGGGTCGCTGCAAAGGCTGCAATGTTCTTGGATGTGAGCTTGGGCGCCTGATAGATATGTGGCAGAGCGGCATAGTAGAATGCAGTGCAGACACGTAGTAGATGGCCGAAATTGCCGTTGCCTGGAAAGAGATGGGCGATGATCTTGTCGAGAAGTTCTGGCGGCAGCTTGTCGATAAGACTTGGCTCGATTGACTGCTCAGCGTCCATGTAGTGTACATTGCTGACCAGCTCGAGCTGGGATACCGTCTGGCAGGCACATGGCTGTTAAGATCAAGGCCTTGGATTGATTGCCGCAGTGGTTCAAAGTCAGTTCAAGGTTCAGATGGGGGATAAAGAAACACCAAGTTATTACAACACAATTAAATATCCTGAATTTCGAGCTCACACTTATTGCCACTGCTTTCGAGTGGTGCCTTGAAGAATGAGAGCAATTTCGTCCTACTCCATCGATGATGATCCTCAGTAAGCGATAGCCCCCGGGGGGATGTCGATACCCAGCGTGGCCACAGAGCCCTTGAGAATTTGGTATTCGAATGTCGTCGGTGAGCCCTCATGCGATCCATCAGCCCCGGGAAGTGTAGAGTAGCCGCTCATATTATGGCCTTTGACTTCCGATGCTTTCCATATCGCAACAATCCGGGTTTCGATATCGGTCAGACGACACCGCTTGGTTTCTGAAGATCCCGGAGCTTTGGAATATAATCTTCCATGGAGCAAAAGCAGTTTCGTGTACCGTACCACATTATAGCGCTCGTCTCCTCCCTGGACTCATATGAACAATCATTTTCATTGCAATTATGCATTCCTCAATTGGACAGAAATCGTGAGCCAACCCTTTATGAATAGATTTCTTTCGAGAAGCTTTTGCAGGTTCACTCACAGCTGCCAATTCCAATGTCTGCTGGTATTTGCTGATCAAAGTGTATACCAGTCCGTGGTGAAAGGCCACGTTTTTCAAGCACGTTGCAAATGGCGGACTTGCGAGAGCGCGGCCAAAGAAGGTGAACGCCAGTTAAGCCAGCATTTGGCGAACTTGTGAGCTTTGACGCATAATGTCGATTCTTGGATCACTGGGTCGGATATGCGAGTTCGCCTGCGATTTATGCATCAAAGACTTGTCACGAACTGATCCCTCCGCGCCTCCATCTCGTTGCCCTCTCTTCTCGGCTACCGCTACCTCTCCTGAGTTCCCAGTACCCCTGACACTTCTCCGCTCCGATGACTCAATTTCGCTCTCATCACTACGGAGCGGCAAATCTACCTTCCTGATACGGCCTCGCAAGCATCGCACTCATCTCACCTCGTGGACCACGCTCCAATATGTCACGCTCGAGCTCGCAAGCGTCTCACTCGCCTCGTCTCGTGGATCACGCTCCAACATCTGCTCTGACGCATTGATGTCTATGTCCATCACACACACATCACGCTCGCAAGTGTGGATGTCTATTTCTGTCTCTCAAACTGTTGAGCAGTCTAGCATCCACTCGCGTGGGTGTGACTGCTAGTGCATCTCTCTGCCGCATATCGCGTGCTTTCACGTGATGGGCATCCCTTATTCCACCTTATAGGGAGCATGAGCCTCTACTCTGATCCTTATCCGTAACAATCCTATTTGCACCATCTCGGTTGCTTGATTCAGACGCCTTCACAGGCACGTCATCACTAGCACTACGTCCACCCCGATTACAAACAGTCCACGCTCACAGCGTGGATGTCGTTCTCAACACAGGTCTTGTGTTCCCTCTGCCTTAGAGATGCTTTCATTTTTTTGCCCTCGCCCACCTCTTTCTCGTCTTGTTCTCGCTCGAGGCTGGCAAAGTATAAAATGAGTGCTTCTCACGCCTTTCTAGCATTCTCAGCAACATCAGTCTATAGCGGAATACTATCCTTTGTTTGCAAGTCTCTGACGCCAGAACCCACTACTCTGACGCCAGAACCCACTACCCCTTCACCACCTGTCTCCATCGGTACGTCGTATCTTGTCAGATAGTGATCATTACAAGACTTAGACCATGAAAATGGGAGAAGTGTCTTCTTTCACTTTGTTGCAGCACTAATGACTAAGGCTCCTTCTTTAGAGAGTGAGCAGGACTCCGAGGCTTCTCGTTGGCTAAATTTCTGACGGCAGCTTTGCGGTTGTTTGCGAACGCAATTGCGAGATTCCACCTGCAAGCCATGCTGATTTGTGTTTGTTGTTTGCCTCAATAAATTTACGAATGTGTTTCCGAAATACTTTGCGAGAACGAGTGCGCTCGGCCGCATATTCCTGCGTCCTTCCGTATTATTTTCGTTTCATCCAATCATATCGCAGACATCTGCAGTCGCGAGCTGTTTGTCAGTGACAAATCTTGTTTCGACTAATCTCAATGAGACCGTTCAAGGGGGACAAAAAATGAGTGAACACATTCATGAGCGTTTGTCAGGCTTATGTGCGATTCTGTGTCCTTTCACTTTCTATTTGTGTGCACCTGCGAGCCGCAATAGCTGTTTGTCTGACAAATATTTCTTCAGACTCAATCTCGTCGAGGCAAGCACAAGAGTGACCGTAAGGTTCTACCTATCTATCTGTATTTGTTATTTGTCATTGGACATTGCGAATACGAGCTTGCTCAGCGCCAGAAGTCTGCGTCCTTTCATTTGTTACTTGAGTATCATTGCCCGAGCTTCACCAATTCAGGGGCTCAAAGCAGCATATCATGATTGTCAAGGTCTCAAATGGCCCGGAAGGTATAAAAGGGGCTGCTTGTCCATACTTCTCTAATCACACAGATACCAGCGCTTGCAATCGGACTCTTCTCTGCCGAAAGACATGACACACTGGTCGTTCATCATCTTGTCATTCTACAGCCTACTGAGTTCCAAAGTCGATGCTTCTGCCAATCCAAAATACCAGTCTTGCACCTTGTCTTTCGGCATGATTCACAAACGCCCGTCGCAAAACCTGCCGAATAACGACGCGGTATGCGGCGATGTATGTGTAGGCATGATGGAGAATATCCCCGACTTTGGCCAGTTGCGAGAATGTCAAGGGTGTTTCGATCCGCCCAGGGGTGCAGGGTACTGCAGTCTCGCCTGAAGGTGAAAAAATTCTTGCCTTGGGGCACTCTTGCGTATGTGATGTGCTGGTGGAATACCTGAAGATTTCCGGTGATTGCACCTGGCAAAGCCTGCAGCGTTCTGGCGCGGCCATCAAGGAAACATGGTTGTCAAAACATCCTGGGGACATCGGCAGGGGGATGCAGTGATGACATGCTCGGGTTACAATTAAGTGATGGAAGCAGTCCTATTCTCGGTATCAGATTGCTCATTACTTGGGACCACTGGTTAGTTGTTTCATCTCGCGGCTATTCTTTGTGCACAACCACAACGGCGGATTCAGACATTATCACCTGAATCTTGAGATAAATCTTTCAGAATCTTCAACAGATACTTGCTTTCTACTGGCACTAGTCTCCAATATTCGCCATTATCATTCAGAGGCTACTATTCGTCCTTTGATGCGTCTGAATTGACGTTGTTCACAGTCTCTGGGATAAAGGCTTTTCTTCTGCTTTTACTGCTTTATGGCTACTAGCTCTAGTCCATGAAGATAATGGACAGCCTTCTGCTGTCTTGTTTCCGCAACTATTAACTTCGTATCTGACTGAATCATCTTCATCTATCTTCTACGTCGTTCGGATTATTTGACGTATACTCGGTCAGACATATGCTCGATTGTGAGAATCCATCTTCAGGTTCTGCCTGTTTGTGTTGGTCGTCAATCTCTCAAAAGTTGCGAATACGAGCCTGCTCAGCGACTAAAGCCTACATCCTTCTGTTTGACAATTGTTTCGTCAAATCATACCGAAATATCTTGCCCAATTGCGAGCAGCAATAAGCTTAATTGTTTGTCAGTAACAAACAATTTTTTTGGGATCCAATTTCGACAAGACCAATCAAAGGATCCAAATATGATACGGACATTCGTGGGTATTTGTCAGGCACATACGTGATTGTGAGATCCCACCTGCCGGTTCTGAGCATTTGTGTCTGTCATTTGTCTTTAGAATCATTGCGGATGCGAGCGCGCCCTTGCGTCCTTTGGTTTGCTGTTTGTCACAACATCTTGCGCAGCCGCAAGCTGCTACTCAGCGGTGACAAATATTTTCTTGGAGCCAACTTCAAAGGCGCGTGATTTGGCTCGTCCTTGCGCCAGGCACCACTTGTCGCAGATTCAAGCTTCGCACCGAGTCGCCGAGTGGGGCCGATTTTCGATGGCAGCTGAGGGTCACTGCAAAGGCTGCAATGTTCTTGGATGTGAGCTTGGGTGTGACGAAGGGCGAACAGGACAGGACGAATGCTTGTGCTGAAGACAGGACTTGGGCGAGATGTAGGGGACAAGAATAGAAATTGTAAACTAAGGAACAAGACAGCGGAAGGCTGCCTACTTATGTCTACCAGGTACGAGCATGAGAGCGGATGGCGATGATGGGGATGGAGCCCACGGGAGCCGACTCTCAGCAGGTGAACAGTGAAAGAAGAGGGGAAGCGAGATTGCATGAGCCCAGTGGAGATGTCCGAGCTGCAAGATAAGGAAGAGACAGAACAAGGGACGACGTGGTAGACGTCGTCGACGAGTAAGAGAGCGAGTAAGGACAACGTGACAGAGCGTTGCCGGAAGCGAGGAAGCTAGGCGCGGGACGATAGGCAACGTGCTGAGGTGATAAGCGTCGTGGAAGGGCGGAAGGTAGAAGGGCCGCGATGAGTTGCTAGAGCATGTGGTGCGGGAAAGTCGGATGCGAGGTTTAAGGCTGCGTGTTCGTTACAGAACCTCCTCCTCCAGGCGCTGCGTCTCGAAGCGCACTTGGTCGAGTGGGTAGCTTGACGTAGGATGGGACAGCAGCATCGGGGTTGCGGAGATGGAAGTCGTGAACAAGAATCGGAGCATTCTGGTAGGCCTCTCGAGCAGGGATCCACTCGTCCCCATCGTGTGGGAAGCCTTCGTAGTGGATTTTGTATTGGAAGCCGCTACCGCGTGGTTGGATAGCCATGATCTCATCGTAGGTCCATTCCAGGCTGTTGCCGACGACGATAGGCTCGGGAGCTTCTTGAGGTCGCTCCAGGTAGGCCTTGCCGAGGGACTCTGGTGATTGATGAGGAGACAAGAGGCTAGGGTGGAACACATTGTGTATTCGCATCGAGGCAGGAAGACGGAGTTGGAAGGCTCGGTCGTGAATTGTGTCGGTAATGGGAAAAGGACCGAGGTTCTTGTGTGAGAATTTGCCTTGTTTCTGCAATGCTTGGACGTTCTTGGCGTTGAGCCAGACTTTCTGGCCGAGCTCGAAGGGAGGAGCTTCAAGACGATGACGATCAGCGAAGGCCTTTTGAGCAGCTTGAGCGTCTTTGAGATGATCCTTGAGTTCTTGTTGAACAAGCTTGAGACGTTGAGACATGTCGTAGCTAGTAGCATTGCGAGAATCGGTAGTGGCATCGAAGCGTAGACCAGACCGA